AGCAACGATGAAATCTTGAATTTGGCATATTTCATCGTAAAATATATTTTATCGCTATTTCTCTATTTGCTAGTTGTACTCTAATTTGAATTTGATTATAATTTGATTCGTCATCTGTCATTAGCAAAATTCATTCAATTATGCATATTGGTGATTTGAAACGAGCAGTAGAAGATGTTGTACTACGACCAGATGATAATCGTCTTAGTGAAATGGAGAAACGTTCCACAATTGCTGCACTTGATCTATGTCAGGTAATTATTATTATTTGTTTTTTATTAATTCATTTACATATAAATATTAAAATAAAAAAAAAAGCACTAGAAAAATCTTTAGTTAAATATTAAAAAAAAAAAAAAAAAAAATCTTTTCTTTATCTATCTTCTATATTTCTTTATCTATTTAATTCATTTACATATAAATATTTGTATTTATTTCTCTCTCTCTCTTTTTTTTTTTAAATATGTTTGATAAAATTTTTTATTATATTTGATGAAATAAAATAAATAAAATTCATTTTATAATACATATGTACTAACAATTTATCATTAAAATTAAAGTATAATTTATTAAAAATTTTCAGTTAGGACAAATACAACAAACTCTTCCATGTATTTCAACATCAAATCAAAATGAAATACAACAACAACAACAACAACAACAACAACAACAACAACAACAACAACAACAACAACAGCAACAACAACAACAACAAATTGCTACAACTCTTACATCATCTTCATATAGCGGTGAAATGCTTACAAGTTCAACGGAAAGTACTTGTAGTACTTCAATAACAACTTCTAGTGGCCATATTTTAGGAGCTGCACCATTAAGCATGAGTACATCACTTGATACTATGGTTAATCTTTCATTTTTTTTTCTCTCCCTTTCTCTCTCTCTCTCTCTCTCTTTCCTCTTTTTTTCTCCCATTTTTTGTATATTTTTGTTTACCTGTTAATTAAAAGAATTATTAATCAAAATCAAAAAAGAAACATTTAAAATAGATTATTATCAACAATTCAATTGCAGTTATAATTTTTAATTTTGATTAATTTCATTGTTATCTAAAGAAAATGCTTGTTAATATTTTTAGGTGCTACGACAAACCTTATCATTTCGACCATCATTAGGCGGTAGTGGCGGTGGCGGTAGTGGTAGTGGTGTATCACGGCGTTCAAGTCGTGTCATTCCACATTACAGTCATAGCAAGCGAAAACGTTCAAATTCAGTTTCATCATGTATGAATAAAAGGTTTCTTTTTATTGAATTCATTAATTTCATTGGTGTAAGAATTAATTTGTAATTATTTCTTTAAAGCGATTTAAAATTTCAGAAGTTACTTTGATACTTTCTTTCTTGATTTATCCAACAAATGGCATGAGACAATTTAGAAATAAATTAAAAGATTTCTCTAAAGTAATAATATTTTATTACTTTAAAATATCATTTTGCATCTTTTATTACTTATTTACATTTTTTTTTCTTTTTATCTTGCTTTCTGAAATATCAGTTTAAACATATGATAGCAAGTAATTTAACTTTTCATCTTTCACTAGTCAAACTTGTCATCTGTTTGACAATCATAACTAAAATCTTTCATTTGATAACTTGTAAGCATAACAGAATAAGTTATATGAATATTGTTTGATTTTGTAAACAGTTTAAAAGTCTAAGTATTCTTATTGTTATTTAGATTTTAGAAACATCTACTGAAGATATATTTCATAAATTATATTCATATTTCATTTGATATTCTCATTTTTGTTTGTTTATTTTTTTTTTTCTCTTTTCTTTTCTGCTATTTTAATGCTAAAAAAAAAAGTGTGACATTTTAGTTTTTTAACACAACATGGCATAGCAAGTACAGCAGGTATCAGTGAGACAACAATCGGTGGTGCATCTGCAATTTCATTACCCCAAACAACTCGACACACACCATTTCGATTCGGTGATTTTGATGAAAATTCATCTTCTGCTACAGGTGGTGATAATCCTGTGATCTCTCACACCATCACGGTAATCATTTTAGCCTAGATTAGCAATTTTATTATCATAATTGACAATTTAATTTAATTAATATACAATAAGTGTATCATTCTCTCTTTTTTTTTGATGTTTCTCTTTTGTATAATTTAATTTTCCTTTTTTTTTTTTAATTCAATATTCACTGATTAATTACATTTTTAGAGTCTTACTGAACCAATTAGCATTCAACAACAACAACAACAGCTATTGTTATCTGAAGAATGGACAAGAATATGTAATGAAAGAGGAAATGATGATCCAAATCGACAGCAATCCAATAAATTTGAAGGTTTTGTTTCATTTTTTTTTTCTTTTTACTTCATTTTTATTCTATTTTAATTTTGAAATTATAATCTTAAATTTGCTAATTTTATACTTAGTTTATTAATTTATATTACAATTAAAATAGAAGCATAGATTGAATTCTGTTTAATCCAAAAATTCATAAAAACATTCATAAACAATATCTAATCCTTTAAATATATTTACAAAATTTGTTACTATTATTTGCTTCCTTTATTTTTGATATTGCATATATGTTTTATTTTATGCCATGTTATTAGACAATAATTAATTTATAATAGCTATGAAAGTTTAAAGTAATTTTCAAAAAAAAAAAAAACTTGATGACAAGTTATGCTATCTGATTTTCTTTTTTTTAATCTATATACTTAAATATAATGCATAAAATTTAAAAAAAAAGAAATTATTTTATAACATTTCCAAAAATGAAACTTTTGTAATGAAATTCAGTCATAAATAGGATTTTGATAACTGAACTATTTTTGATAAAATTATTTTTCACTATTTCATCGTACTATGTAATAATAATAATAAAGTAAACCGAATGGATATGGTTTAGTTCATTTTAAAAGTAATTTAGTTCAAATCTACTAACTGCAATAGTATTTTAAAGCATTCTTTTATTGACATATTTATTTTATCAGTATCATAAATTATAATTTTAATAATTTATGTTATTAGTTGAAAAAGAATTTAAATTATTGATTTATGATATATTATCTGATTGATTTATCTTATGCAATAAACAATTCAATTACAATAAAAATCTGACAATGAAAGTTTTTTTTTTTTATTTTTCTTCTACTATATATAAAAAATAAAAACAAATTTTTACAGATATAATAGCAAATAAACAAAAGATAAACAATAATTGTGCACCAAAATTATTTCCTGTAAGCTCATTTACTGCATTTCGTGAAGCACATAAAGCTTACGATTCGGAGGATAATGAAGAACAGATGGAATGTGATTAAAATATTTGCTGTATATAGAATAATGTACATTTCATTGCTTCTTAATGCTTTCAATTTACATTTAAAATTATGGTTAGTTTTATAAAATTATTTTCTTTTTTTTTTTTTTTTTTCAAAATTTTCTTTTTCTTTTTCATTCTTTCTCTTTTTTTTTTTCATTTTTAAGATTAGAAAATTGAATTTTCCCTTTTATTTTGTGTGTATTATTTTAGAAATATATTTGATGAAAAAAAAAAGATTTAAAAAAAAAAGAGGGAGAGAAAAATGTTTTATATTTTTAAAAAAAAGCATAATAATAAGCGAAGCATTTTCTTTCTCAATGAGTAAATTTGATTTCAAAATGATGAAATAATATTTTGCAAATATTGCATAATTGACTATTTGTGTCTACTTTTGTTTTGTTTTGTTTTGTTTTAATTTTTTTTTTTTTAAAGAAATTGCGGACAGATTTTTCTCATTAATAGTAAGTATTTTTTGTAAATTGATATCGTTTGTTTAATAACATATGGCTTTTTATTTTTAATAATTCTGAGAAATTACAAATAGTTAAAAATTGGATTTTCTTTTTTAGAAAAAGAAAAGTTCGAAAAAAAAAAAAAAGAGTAACTGCATTCGTCTAGAAAATATCATCTTATAGTAGCATCATAAGTAAAAGTTATCATTTAAATGGATAGGAAATTTTAAATTTAATTATTTACTTTTCATTTTTTATTTTCATCTAAGGGCATATATATATATTTGCTGATATTTTTGTAAAAGCTTTCATTGCTTTCTTCCGTTTATATTCCAAATTATTATATATTTGATATTTCATTCAATCTTTCATATATTCTGTTAACATGCATATGCATGTGCATGTGCATGTGCGTCTGCGCGTATGCATGTATCTTTAATGTAATATTTTTCTTGTATGATAATATAAATCACTGTAAGTTACAGTGAATATTTCAAAATGACACATATTGTGTTAGCATAAGATCTCCATAAATACTTTTTAACTAATAATAGTTTGATCAGTAAAGATAAAAAAAAAAAAAAAACGTTTTTATTGCTTACCGATACATTCAACATTTTTAAACATATATTTGCTCACCGATATACTCAACATTTTTAATAGTATATAATAATAATAATCAATAGTAAAACGACGATGATTAATATCAATATCATAAATGCAATCACTTGGCTCATTTTGTTTAAGCATAATCATCTCTATCTGTCTACTATTAAATGTAAGCATTCTGATGATGCTTTAAGTAAAGTCAAATTGACAATAATTTGCTGAAATATAATCAAAATTCATCTTTACAATTCTTGAAAGGTTACGAAAAAAAAAAGAGTGATTGCGGTTGTTAATTTTTGATCATGAAAAGATGGATATAATAATAGATAATTCGCATAGACCTGATAAAAGATAATACTTTTATTACCGGCTTATTATATGATGCAATTGCAATTTATTCCTAAACTATACCGATAGATCTTCTGTTATTCTACATTATAATTTGCAATTATAATAGTTTATTTTGATAACGAACTGATTTATTGATTTATTTTAACAAACTCAATAACAAATCAACAATGAACAATTTCTTATTTATATAACAGAAGAAAGAAGTTATCTTGATTCAAATTTAAATGCTTAATTTCATACATTTCATATGTTTATACCAATCAGCATAGCATCACTTCCGTTTATAGTTCTTCTTTCTTTATTCTTCCTTCTTTTGACTGAAATGATACAAAATTTAGCCAAAAAGTTTTCACATTGTTATTTTAAACCATTAATTTTTTCACTTTGAAGTCATCTCATTCTAGCAACGAATCGAAGATCAACAAGCAATCAATAGTCAACTAGGACTTTAAAAAATTTATAAGTTCTTACTTTGAAAGATAAATCTACATCATCTTTCCATTCCTCATTTTCATCCATACTTTGGTTCGAATTCCTTTCTCTCTTATCCTCGCTTAGCTCGTTTTCTTCATCTTTTCTCAACTTCCTTTCATTCTCCAGTTTCGATTCTACTTTTTCTTTCTGACTCGTTTCTGAATCGAAGTTACTTTCGCTTTCTTCATCCTTTTTTTTTATTTCTACCATTTTTTGTTTTTCATTTAAGTTAATCTCTTCTTCTTTCCTCTCATCTTCATTCGAATTTTCTTCCTCTTTCTTGTCCTCTCCTTCTTCCTCTTCCTTCCTCTTCTTTTCTTCTTCACGTTGAAGTTTCTCATCGATTTCCTTCTTCATTTTCTCCTCACCTTTTCTAGTACCATTCAACGTAAGAGCAGCAAATTTCTGAAGTATGATGAATGTTCACATGAAATTAACAATGATTAAAATGTTTTCTCTTTGAATTCAAAAGATTTCCAATGGAAAAAAAAAAAAAAGTGATTTCCATGAAGGAAGAAAACTTTCATAAAAATACATATCTTTTTTTATTGTTTAATTTTATCTTGTTTAAAGATTACCTTAGCTTCTTCAATTGAATCAGTTATAATGATATTGTCATAGACTGTGCTACTGTTTACTTGCCATATCTCAATTCCAACTGCACCGATATCATCGTGTAAATAAAGATTCGGGTCTGATACATAATCTGGATTATCAATTCTAGGATGTATCCATTCTCCCTAAATTTCTTCTTATATTCAAAATCCGAAAACAAATAATTTTGATATTTTATTATCATACAATTATCAGCGGAAGAAAGACAGGAACGAAATACTTGGAAAATAAATTCACTGGAATTTCAAAAATTAACCTTATATGCTGGATTTGCAATCTCTCTTGGTACCCATTCACCTTTGTAATTCGGATTTATCATTCCCGGTGGTTCCCATTCACCATCCCATTCCTCATTCCAATCATCTGGTTTCTTAACATCTAAATTTAATAAAAATTCTGGCTGGTCCCAATCATCTGGTTTTTTATCATCTGGATCAGGTATGAATTCTTCATCGACCCAATCAATTGGCTTATTTACATTTGGATCCTGAAATTGTGTTTTTTTTTTTCGATGCCATCAAATATTACTCAAGAATACTCAAATAAAAATAGAAATAAGAACTGTTTAAATTACTTTAAAAAAAAGAAATTTTAAAATCATTAGCTATATATTTAGAATGTAAGAAAATAAGAAAATTTTGGTAGAATTTGTGAAAGACTTTAAAAGCTCGAAATACTAACCATAATTCGCCGCGGCTTAAGAAAATCGTAGTGATCTTCCAAATCTCCACCAATTCTTTCTTCATAATCAGCAAATATTTGAATGGAATTATTTGGATATAAAATTAAAGTATAAACATGAGATAGCTCATCATCCTGAAATAAATGCAACATTTGGAAAGATTACATGATAATAATTTAAAAGAAAATTATAATTTTGTTCAGACTGAATAAAACTGAAGTTCAAATTTTAAAATTTCTATCTACTTTATAACTATTCATCTTTCTTAGTAATTTTAGTGAGATTTTATTTTTTTTTTTAAAAGAAAAATCCAAACAACATAATTTAAAATTTATACTTATGATGAAAATAAAATAAAAATAATTACAAAGATGGGCAAAAAAGAATTGCAATGATAGTAGGAATTCTTGTAGCGAAATATAGCATGAATTTTTCGTGTATATTTACCACATATATCTGGTCCAAACATAATTTCATATGAAGTTTCACCATTAAACTGCTTCTGATCCAAGTTTGATTTCATTAGCTGAATTGGAATAAATTCATTCTACGATGAAAAAAAAAAAAATGTTTTTTCTGAAATATTGGATTTTCTTTCTTTTTTGTTATATTTCTTATCACTGCATATTTAAATGTATTCTCAAAAATTTCACATCAACACTCAAACAATTACGTTTTCAAATAATACTATTTTCAATTTGTATATATGAATTCTATTCATCTCTACATACACATACAAAATAGTCGGATTATACTATCCCAATATAATTCGATTGTTTCAGATTATTTAATAATTTTCAGAGTTATGAAAATTTTTTATTTAATCAACTTCATTACAATTTTTTTAAGAAAACCGAAGTCGAAATTATTTATAGCCTATGTTTGTGGTAATATTTCTATCAAAAAACATCCAAAAATGCGAACAACGTTACAATTAATGATTTCATAAACATTCAACATTCCTCTTTTACCAGAATATCAAAGCGTAAAAGTAAACAAAACTTACTATACCTTTATATACAGACCACCACAATCATCATCAGGTAGAGTAAATCGTTTTGTTGCATATTGAACAATCAGCAGTTTATCTTTATTTGAAAATTTTGGAAATTTTGCCGAAATAGCATAATTTTTGACATCCTGAAATACGTACACAAATGATTCATACATCTGTAAATATTTATATCTATTTGTTTATTTATTAATATTGCTACTATTAGTAGCAATAATATAATTAAATGCATAAGCAAATACTTCAGTGGTAGTAAGACCAAGGTCCTCCTCTGGATCATTGTAGAATTGACCGTAGGAAAGATTAAATTTTCCGTAGTCATTTCGATATTCAGATAATATCCATCGCTTTTTCCAGCCATCTCCGTCTAAAAATATCTGCTAATATTTGAGCAATGAAAAAATAAAACTTAGCATTAAAAAAGAAATACAACAAGAAATAAACGATATGTATGATTTAGAGTAATCTAGCTTTTTATGTTACATGAAAAAGCTAATCACAGATTTCATCTCGAATTCTATTCAAAAATGAATAAAGAAGTAATCTTTAGGATTATAGCTTACAATCCAATTCAAATGCTATAATCCAAGTTTCCAGTAGAAAACTTCATAATGTTATATTTCATCTCAAGGGAATAAACCTTCAGTTTTTCCTGTTTATCATACAGCTTGCTTAACTGAGATCTATTAAATTTTCCACCTAATATTAATTTGCTTTCATAGTTCTTTAGGTTTAAAAAAAAAATTTTGACAATGAAAAATTATCAAATGTCATATCTTGAAGTAATTTTCACCAATTATTATTAATCCTTATCTTCCGATGAAATTACTCAAGATTTTTTGTCAGACATTTTGATGTTTTTACCAGTAGAAAATTAAAAAGAAAAAGAAAAATGAGAAATCTGGTCAAGAAAAATTTCAGAAACTGTCAAGTCTAGTCAATGCTTAATTTTACTAAAAGAGTTGAGAAGAATTCTATAAGTAAATTAAGTGATAGAAAAATTAATTGCAACCTTTAAATTGTTCTTGGAAATAAATCTTGCTCTTAGCGTAACTGATAATGCATAAAAGCACCACAAATGATAGAGGAGAAGCCATAATTTAAAATTTCATTCACTTACCGTTGCTTAAATCCTTCTAGACATTCAACAATAGGCATAAATTCTACTGATCCACGTCATCTAGGCGACAGTCATTGGTTGGTACATTGAATTAAAGCCTTTAATGAGCGTCCATTACAGCTGTTTTTAAGTCAATAAACCGGACAGCTCTCATCTTTCACTTAATCCAACAATTAGCTTTATTAAACAGAACCACTAACTCCTGAAATATATTTATACGAAAGCTTAAATTAAAACAAAAGCACTACAGGCAATATCTCATATCCTATCCTCTCGAAGGTATCTGTAAAACCGAACGTATCACCGGATTAATTCCGTATTAGTCTTTATCCTTTATGACAGCAATTTATCCAATCCCAGTTACACTGAATCGTCCCTTAAACTTCTTCCCTTATAATACCTTCACACACATCTCATTTCATGAAAAAATCAATGGCAAAATTGAAGAGCAGCATGAATTGGCCAAAAAAAATTCGAAAGCCACAAATGTCATTACCACTACTCAAATCATGAAACTGATTCAGTTGGCAAATAACTCTAACAATGGTTCATTTTGATGAAAAGTGAAAATATATCTATTTTGTATTCAAGCACTTCAAAAGAATAAAAATATTTATTCCTGATCTGAACAAATAAACAAAATCAAGAAGCGAAATAAAAGGGAGAGAAATGAGGATAATGAATCAACAAATTATGAGTAAAATTAATATTGAATGAATAAATTAATAACAGTATTCCCAGCACCAAAACTTTTAGTCGTTTTCTACATCACTTTTGAAGCATTAAAATGCTACCCAAATAATACAATTTTCAGTAAAATTTCCCAAGGAGATCCTAGTGGTAAAAAGTAACAATGCCAGATATCACGAAAACCGATATGGCAATTGGCATGTCAATAAAATCACTTTGGTACATATCATCCATTGCTTTACAGCTCTTCGTGTGTTTCATCATCCTGAAAAATTATGATGGTAGAAAATGTTTATTTCCTAAATTTTACATAAAAAAAGTATGCAAACATAACATCAACTTACTTTTTTCTTTTCGTCTTCTTCTTTTTCTTCTTCTTCCTTATCTTCTTCTTCTTTTTCTTCTTCTTTCTTTTTCTCCTCTTCTTCCTTTCTCTTCTTCTCTTCCTCTTCGTCTTGCTTTTCTTTCATCTTCTTCTCACCTTCCTTAGTTTTTTTCAATGTTTTTTCACCAAACTTCTGCAAATAGCCCAGTTGAAACAGATGTGTAACTTCAAAAATCGATGGCCTCTTTGGACTACCGCATCCTCAAGAAAAAATAAAATAAAAAGCTAATATCAACAGAACTACCTTGAAAGAAACTAAAAATATATTTTAGAAAATATACACGAAACCATACCTTGGCTTCCTCCACACTGTCTGTTACAATGACGTCATCGAAAATGGTTCCTGATTTTACTTGCCACAAATCAAAGCCAACTGCTCCAATATCCCCATAAAGGTACAAATCATCATCTGGGGTGTAGTCTGGATTATCGATTTCCGGATGAATCCATTTGCCCTGAAAAAAGAAACATATAAGCTCAAAAAATAAAGATATGATACGCTGCACTAGTTACAGCATCTGGAAATCAAACAGGAAAACTATAATAAAATTATAATTTCACCTTGTATGCAGGATTTTTCTTCTGCTTCGGCTTCCATTCTCCTTTATATTCCGGATTATCAACCATTGGTGGTTCCCACTCTCCATCCATTTCATCATCCCAGTCTTCCGGTTTTTTGGCGTCCGGATCAGGAATATGTTCCGGCTTGTCCCAGTCTTCGGGCTTCTTGTCATCCTCGTCATCAATATATTCTCGCTCATCCCAATCTTCCGGTTTCTTTGCGTCCGGATCCTGAATATACCTATTTTATCATACATCTCATTAAATAAGTAGAGACCATGCTCATATCAATTTAAATTGAATTTAAACAAGAACTGAGGGAATGATGACCTTAATCTTCTTCGGAGGAAGAAAGTCCCAATCGGCTTCCAGCTCACCAGACTCAACCTTTTCGCCATTAATTTGTACTTCGTAAGTGTTATCAGAATTCACAATCAATGTGTAAAGATGCGTGAAGACGTCATCCTGCAGTAATAAATAAATGACAGACTGAATACATAAAACAGTAAAAAAAGTTAAAGTAAAATTGCATGTTTATCTCGGACGAACCCGAACATGTATCGAAACCGAACGGGTAGATACGCGAGAAGGATTGATATAGCTTCTCAAATGGATATCGATGTATAATAAAACTACCGATAGCTCCAGAAAAAGCATAGACAACTTGGAAATAAAAATATTTATTAGAATATACAACCTTGCATCGGATGTCTTTCTTGATCATGTGATTCCTACCCTTGTAATGGAATATGACATGAACTTTCTTTGTTCCAGGTCCACAAATGTCCGGACCGAACATAATATGATAAGGAGTTTCGCCATGGAAATCTTCTAGGTTTACATCTGATGCCATCAGCTAAAAAACAAGGTTATAAGACTTCAGAGTTGATAAAAAAAATTTATTCTAAATAACAACTGAAGTCCAGTGTGACAAATTCGAACAGGAAACACTTCCTGATGTCAACTATAAAGTTTCCTGTGCGACATCAACATCAAATTGTGTTATCATCGAGGAAAACTGATGCAATTTAAAGTGTTAAACTCCATCTCACACGATAAATAAGGAGAGGAAAAGACCTTCTACTAAAAAAAAGTCCTAATTTATTCAAATAGGCAAAATAAGTTATTGCATTCGTTGTCAAATATTGTTTTGCAGTCACAAAGCAAACAAAATAGAAACCGTTTTTCACAATGAATTTTACCTTAATGTAGCCACCGCCACAGTCGATGTCTTGTTCGTGCTTAACGCTAAATTGGACAACCAGTGATTTACCCTTGTTTGAAAAACCCTTCTCAAATTTTGCACCAATCGAATAAAACTTTGCATCCTGCAATACATTAAAAGATTAAATACATCTCTTCAAGCAAGCATTACACAACTTCAATAATTGCTTGTAATGAAAGTGTACAACGACAGATATTTGATTACGAACGATTGCAATTAAGAAAAAAGTAACCTGTGCAGTCTTAAGACCTCTGTCTTTCACAGCGTCACCGTAAAATTTTCCATGCGATATTTCCCATTTGCCGAAATCATCCTTATGTTTTGATTTTATCCATCTTTTTTCCCAGTCATCATCTGAAAATAAGAAAATAAAAAAAGATTACAAATCATTCTGCTGTAACAGTAACAACAGCCTGTTAGTGACAAATTACCTTCAACCCACTTCTTATGCTTTGATCAGAAGAAGAATCAAGGAACTCAGTCATTTACACTATAATCAAATTTTTCGACTTTTTTTTTTTTTGCTCCCATCATTTAACTAATCTAATTCACACAAAAAATTGAAATTATCGTGTCAAAATTCTTTGATAAATATTTGAACTTACCCGAAAACTCTTCCTTGAAATATATTTTAGCACTGACTGCCGAAAAGCAAACAAGTCCTAACAGCAAATACAGCTGCATTTCTGAAATTAACACAAATATGATGCAAAATCTTGAAAATATATTTCAATAGTAAGTTATTTAATTCGACAAGAAGCTTCCTGCTTATACATTAAATTAGAAACGTTTAAGCAAAAATTTTTCATTTCAAAGTTCTTTCTGCTGATCTCATTTGAGAATGTGAGAGGAATGATACTAAACTACTTTATATACGGTGCATTAATACATATCCAAATAATCTCTAGATAACAAGAAAAAAAAATACCTATGCTATTTTCACCTAATATTTCATTCTTCCAATCTATTTCTCTCATCGGATAGCAAACTATTAAACCAGTGCTATTTGCATCTCTTCAATTATCTCCTATTCCTAACAAAAAAAATTTTAGGATAATGATCTAAGTAATATTAGTGAAATTAATTCAAAAGAGGAAACTGATGAAATGTGAGACATTCTAATGCAATGTATTATAGTAGTTTAGAATAACAAAAAAGGAAGTAGTATAGAAGCATAAGTAAGAAGTAATACAGCCCAGAAGAATAAGATATATAAGAGGCCTAGAAGTTACAAGAGTAAAGCAATAGAGCCAAGAAGTAAGTAATAAAGCCTAGAAGTGCCATCATGCCCAACTCTGATTAAAATGACCTACCCAACGAGTATTTTAATTGCCCAAAAAAACCACCCACTTATCGGTCAGACTGTCAATTTGAGAAATCGCACGCTCACTGGTCCACGTCAGCACTCAACCAATCAGCTGACGACATCTAAGCGTCTGATGGGCGGTGCTATTGATCAATAACGTATTGATGTTTTTGTTGGCTTGGAATAGACGACGTAAGACGGATAATTTGAGAAGTGAAATGTTTACGTGACCTTTTCTCGTCAGAGAGTTCACGTTTTCTATTATAAATAAATTAAAATATTTATTTCTGTGTAATTTATGATATCTATAATAACATGATACAAATTACATATGAACAAAATATACATTATTGATTCTAAAAAAGTTATACTTTTCTTTTCAATATATTTCATAAATATTATAGCGAATTTTTTTATGCTCAATCATTTGTTAATTGTTTACTTAGCTTTTAATTGTTCATTTCCAATTCATTTGTAGTTAATATTATTTCAAAAATAAGCAAATAAATAAATGGTAACATTGAGAATTGAACGAACAATTTTGCATATTGTCGTATGAAAAGTACTAAAAGGTCAAAGTGCAACTCTTTCGACAGTAATATCAGTATTCATATGAAAATTCATTTCTATAGATTAAATATATAAAATATAAAATTCATTTTTTTCTATACATTATAGATTAAATATATAAAATTCATTTTTATAGATTAAACAATTATTTTAAATAATTAATCTCATATAATTTTTATAGCAGCATAATAACATCCATCAATAAAAGTTATAATTTAGAAGAGAAAGAAACAGGAAATCGATAATTAATTTCATCATTGCAAAATTTAATCAACTTTATCAAGTTTACGTTACTTGAAAAAAGAAAAGAAAATTTACATATTAATATTTTTCCTTTTAATATTTATGAAAATTTACATATTAATATCATTTCGTATATTCTTTCATATCTGCAATACATAAATTAGTATTTATTCAAAAACTTCAACAGAAAAATATCAGAAAAAAAATTTGGTATGAAAATATCAAAATTTCAACTATTAATAATAACATCATCGCATATTTTACACAAATTTTGATATGTAAAAATCGAAAAACTTCCACAATTATTTCCTTTTTTTTTTTTTTTTTTCAAATGAGTGATGAATTTTTAATTCATATTTTTAGTTAGCTAAATTTTGTTAAACTTCTTTTGTTTTTATTAATTCATTTTCTCTCAATTGTCTTAATGTAATTCTTTCAATCATAATTCTATCAATAACAAACTTCTGATCAAATAATTCTTATTTCATTTATTAATTGCTTGTTTGTCTTTACTAATATTAGTGTTAACTGATGGTTATGACTCTTTTGTGTTATTTTTGTTAATGTTAAATTAGTCATCTGTTTAATTATATTCTTGTACTTTAATTTTACTAATTTTCTTGTTTCTTTTTTTTGGAACATTCTACATCTATAAGTTTGCTTTGTAACAAATATATGAAATTTCATTTTTCTCTTTCGCTGCTGTATGAGTGATAAATGTAAGCAATATGAGAAGAAGAGAGATGCGTATCATTCGTGTTTATGTTTACAAATGGTGCATTTAGTGATAAAAATTTGGTGAAGTGGTGTAAATTTTGATAAAATGTTAGAGCAGTTGTGTACACAATACGAAGACTTCTTTGGATGGATCCTTCGATTAGACTAAAGATTGATTAATTGCATGAATAGGAATTTAAAAACAAAAATTATTGCTTAATTAGAACTACCAAAATTTCACACATTATTTGTTCATGTCCATTACGAAACTGAGAAGAAAGTGAATGTATCAGTTATCCCAATTTGATTCACAAAGTTTTTAAACTTAATCTTCAATTCGTGATATTATAACATAATCAAAATCTTCAAAACAGTTTGTTTTAGCATGAGAATTATCTCCAGATGCTGATAATTTAGTGAGGAAATAAGCTGAACTTTCACATTGTTAATAAATCTTCTATTACATCGTTACCAGATGAGTATAAACAGATCGAGCTTTCTTGATATATGCCGAATATATCCGTATCGGTGAGAAGAGTATATAATATTTATTATTTACCCGGCTATATTATTGCCCGCGTAGTTCTACTCGCCAAGAAGGAAGCATATATTTACAAATGCTATTCAATCCTACGAAATTAAAATGTACAAAGTAGAAATATTGTGATCCCTCTTTTCAAGTTACTGATTTCATTTAAGCACTAATTCTGAAAATGAAACTTCATTGAGGATCAGTTCATACTAAAGAAGCAATCAACTACAACGAATGGTATTAAATTGTAAATTAATGGTATTAAATTGTAAATTAATAAGCAATCACTGTAAATTTGCATTGACTCGTCCCACTAAAACATTTCAAGAGTTTACGTAATATAAATATAACAGCTTCTACTCATACGTCACCAAATGTAAATTGCATTTCGATCCGTGAACGGACACAAAGCTTAATAAATCATACAATTTCCTTCACAATAATTGCAGCATTATAAAAAAAAAATTATTATAAAGAAATTTGTATTATAAAATTATTGGAAATTTCATATGGTTTTACTTTTTCATATTATATAGACGTTTTGATTAGTATGTTTAATTGATTATTTTCAGACAAAGCCCAAATGAATCATTTCGACAAATTTCACATTGCATGACCAAGCATTTGAATTTCTAACTTATTTATTACTGCATATATATTTTTAAAAAAGAAAAACTATCAGTAGTGTGCCACTGAATCGTAAAGATTTAAACTATGAGATACAATATGCGAATACATTGAATGATTATTGCAGGCTTGACAACAAATATCCCTAAACGAGAACTATGCATCCTTTGGTGTACCTTCATTAATGAAGTCTTCCGGTTTCTTCCGGTAAGCTTCGTAGTTCATTTCCACACATAGCTTTGTCATAAAATAGAATAGTATACCTTGAGGTAGCCAGAGATACCATCGATCGATCCATGTATTTTTTAATACCTGTAAATGATTTCATCGTCATTGTAAAATGTCTGGGAAGAACAAACAAAATAATATATAAAAACAATGATTTATCATTCGAAGCCTAGTTAGTCAACATGGAAAGATCATGAAAATATTAAAAATATGTGCAAAGGGCATAAGACTAATATTTTATCATTTACTTCGTTTATTCATAATCAGATTATAACTCTTTGCCTTATTTTGCTTATCACTGTTCATATCACTTCACTTCTAAACTAATGGTCAATAATGATATGATGGGAATAGAGAAATTAAACATTTCGATGACAGCTAAGCACAACTGTTAACAATTAATTAATTAACATCGATTGATAATGGAACATGGATGTTTCGATAACCATTCTGACATTTTAGTCTGATCAATATATAGTCAGAAAAGCTTACTTTTATGACAGCATCTTTCCAAAATCCTTTGAATACTTTTTGCTCATTCGGAGCTAATGTAAATTTGTACTGTCCATAAATCTGTAGTAATTTATTTGATAAATAAATGTACGCAAGTAAATAAATACGAAAATAAATAAATGGGATGAATAAATGAGTCTGAATAGGTGGACCGAGTGAATGGAGTAAGAGTAAATAAAGTTGTAAATTTTAACGGAATAAAACCATACACGGAGTATTTTTTCTATAAATGATAGCAAAACAGTATACATGGGTACTAAGACAAATAACTTACCTTACCAAGCTTACCGAATTCTAAACTCAAACGAATCGGTGACAACTTCATCGTCTCAGTTACGTTTCAGTTTACTTCCGGAAAATGAAATGAAACTTCGCAACAAGAGGCGGAGCTCACAGAGTAAGGAAGGAATTGCGTATGTTCTTTCTTTCTTCTAATTCTTTTAATTCTGCTATTATTTATTGTAGTAGGGTTAATAGGTCAATTCAAATGGTTAAAGGGGTCAAATAAGGTCAAGAAGTGTTAGGTTAAATTGAAATAGGACTAATATTCCCATTTTTCGAAAAATTGTCCAAAAAAAAAAAAATTACTCTGCAAAATGCAGTAAATATATTGCTCTCCTTTAAATTCAATTAAAATTTAAAATTTTTGGACAGAATTAAAAATCACAAAGTTTTACGTTTACTTTACCAGGTTAACGTCGACCATTTGCTTATTATAACTGATCGTTCTTCATTTCTCTTTCAATAGTTGTTACACTTATTATTTCATGAACGATGATATATTTTTGTTTTCAGATTATGTGAAGTATGTACTAAAATTCCAGTAACTGATTTACAAGAATTACAGAAAATATAATTAGTTCAATGAATGAGTGCTTGGATCGTGGAAGTTGTAGTCCCACTCAGGAAGAGGTATACTTAACCTTCTTTTGCTCATGTTCTCTTCTAATTGTTATTTCAACTAAATTTAATATTGGAATTCCTGTAAAAGAAAAAAAAAAAAACACTTTTTTGCATGTTTTATATCATCGAAGCGAACTTCCATCCGATGAAAATATTCCTCTATCACTCTCGAATTTCTCTATAGGATCACTCTTGATACTGACACTATAGCTTTACCTATTATTGGTTATTACCGGTCATTGAGTACTCATTTTCGCTTGACTCTCGATAATTCTAGATTTAAGAGAGAGATTCTAGATTCTAGATTTAACTATTATCAATTGCTGGATTTAGCTATATAGTCATTACGCAAATAAAATCTCTCCATAGTACTTCAGATAAATTCTAATATAAGAGTAAAGGAAATAAATGTATGCGCATACCTTCTGCTATATTCAGGTTAAAAACAGACAATCATAGTAATACTAAAACATAATACCAAGCCATTTTCTTGATTTGTATTTACAGAGCTATCTAAAAAGATGCGTACAACGGTGCTATGCTGTCTTAGTTTTGTTAATTCCTGTATTCACAGCATAAGGAAAAGGTTTTAAGTATACTATCAATCTAGAAAAGATGAAAGGATAGCTTTTCTTCAAGTTGACAAAAACAAGTGTCTTTCATTGCTTCCTGTTTTTTTTTTTTTTTTTTTTAATTTCTACTTGCATTAATTTAATTTTTTATTTTCTAATATCGCTTCTTGCCCCCTATATTTATCGTTTTTTTATATTGTTTCATTTCGTTTTCTGTATGATTATTCACCGGTTGCTACGTTCGCACTTCACTGCTTTCATTTGTTTCATGCAAGCTCATGCAGGACGTATATAGAGACTATTCAATAGTCGGTGGCATGTAGGATCAAATTCTAATTGCTGTATTTTGAAGTGCATTCATCAAAAATGATGATTTTTATAGATGTGTCTTGTTGTTGATGCTGTAGAACGGACAGTCAAATTGGTGCAAATTGGTGACTGCAGCAATTCGAAGTACTGTCTACTGCAGAAATTATCAGGTAGCAATTGATTAATATCGATTTTATGGCATTTATTGGCAAGGGTAACCAGATACTTAATATTTCTAATTCTTTCAAACTCATAACAGAGAAGACTACATCGATATGGATACGACATGCCTATTGTACATAATTTTCTGATTTATGTAAAATATTGAGACTTCTTGGCTGAAATTTTCGAATATTATTGAGTGATTGAACTTATATCTTTATTTATTTGATATATGCCCAAAATTTTAAGAAAACTTATTCTCTTAAATGGATTATTACTTACTGTTTTGTATTTTCAGAAAAGCAGTTGAAAACTTTTGGCATTCTTTTGGCAGAGTCAGAATTAGAGGATGACGATTATATACGTTTGTTTATGGTTTTTCTTGTCTATGAAGGGAAATATGTTTATCTAATTGCTAAAAAACATTTTTCAGATTGTGATCTTTGCGGAGTTTACTATCGAGCATCATGTCGACTGCATCCGCTGTTTATTGTTAGTGATAGAGAAGTGGGTTGCATCATTTATTCACTGCTCATTTATAATTTTCATATATATTAATATGTATACAATTTTCATATATAAGGCAAGGTAAATATGTATTTAGTAATTATCTATGAATTCATGCTCTGTGATTCAAATTTCTCGAAATTCCAGACTAATTTGATTTCCTAAAAGAACTAACGAGAGTTATGCTAGTGTTGTTATCTTTCAGCTGTTATTACTTGTTTCAGGTACGCGAGGACAATAAGCCAAGAGCGGAACAAACTTTACCTGCTTTTTTTGAAATTAAAACTTCCAAAATTCCGAAAGCAGGATTGGGCGTTTTTGCAAAAATGGACATACCAATAGGATTAGTATTTGGTCCATATCAAGGTAGTTTAATTTTTATGTAAAATGAATAATGATTGATTTTAATTTTATCATTTCTGAGTAGTTTAGGAATATTGTTATCTGATCCGAAGAAAGCCGATCAGAATGGTTATTCGTGGGAAATTCGTATCAGTGGGAAACCATCACAATATATTGACGGCAGTGATCCAAGATATTCCAACTGGATGCGTTACATAAATAGTTCTAGATGTAAGCAATGATTGATTAATTCCTCGGTTTTTTTCGGCTACTTAGTCACTCTGATTTCTTTGATAAGATAGCGAGACAAGGCTATTTTTAAAAAATCACGCAATTTTGACATTTCTGAAAGTTAGCTTGTGACTTGTTCATTTTCCTTCCTATGAAGCTTCATTTATTCCTACATCGAGGATATTGTTTTGTTCGTAGTTGTTCTTAAGTTATTTTTAAAATAATTGATAAAATCCTAAATGACATAAAATTTTTAGTTGAGAACGAACAAAATCTGATTGCTTTCCAATACAATGGTTCAGTTTATTATCGCGTCTTCAGACCGATTAGTGAAGGGATCGAACTTCTAGGTAAATTTTTAATTTTCATAGTAATATGTTCTTGTTGGATTTTCTTTCCACAAGAAAACGTAAACTTCGATACACACTGACATTTTAAATGAAATAAAAATTAAAAATGAGCAGAATGACTCAGTTATTGATCTTGACAAAAAAAAGAATGACACTCTTACTTGACAAAAGTTTCAGTGTGGTATGGAAACAAATACGGTGAAAGTTTGGGTGTACTTAGTGTAACACAAAGGCATAAAATTCCGCTGGAGAAGAATCCTTACATCTTTGGTTGATCAGTATTACTAATAAGTAAATGATCATTTTGTATTTTGTTAGCCCAGTGAGTTGATGCTTATCATGTCATGCTTGTATCACATCAAAAATTTTCCAGTTCAAATCCTTTTTCATTTAATTTTTACACCATCCTATATACTGTGATAGTACTTTGTTGTTCGGTTTTGTTTTTATCTTCATAATTGTGGGTAATAAAAGTGTAAAAACGGTAACAGATACGCTACCAATAAGATATTTAAAATGAAAAAATTATAAAGAAAAAAGGCAATCAGTATAATTGCTTATGATTATACTTTGTGTGCGGTGTTGTTTTTATCTTCATACTTGGAAAACAAACAATCAGATAACTAGCATGTTATCAATAAAATATTGAAATCACAAGGAATCATAACGAAACAGCCATATCAAAATATCCAACTGGAAGAATCATGTTGAGCAATCAATACAACTAGCAATAGCAAATATGTTATCAACGAAATATTCGAATGGAAAGGTTCAGAAGAAGAAAAAGAGACAACCTATAAAACTAGTATTTACATGGAAGCAGCGTTGTGAGGGATTGTTCATTACTTCTTCTTTGTTTTTGTGGCAATACTTGAGGTTTTCTGTTGCTTTTGTTCATCCTGTGTTACTGGTACACGCGATATCAAACGTACGTTCTTTTGGAAATCCCTTTTTATATTTTTCAAATCTGGCACAAGAATATATCCTAAAATCAATCTTATTTAAAAATGTAGTAGTATCACTTATTGACAGATGTCCAGTCACAAACTGTAATGGCTAAACTTGAACTTCACCTGATTTTGAAGAAGCTACACCATGCATAAAAGAAAAGGACGAACGTAGTTCAGAAGCCTTCCTTCCCTAAGAAACTTTAAAATTCTTCACATCAAAAGAATATTAAAGAGCTAAAGAATATCACAATTAATATTCATTAGTCAATAAACATCGGTCAACTTTACTACCAAAATTAAAAACATCCAGTTGCAATCACTGTATATTAGAGACCGTTCACCGTTTCATCACTAAAATAATTATTATAAAGTAAGCAAAATAATGTTACCAATGAATGAATACCTCTTTCGATGACTGAAAATCGTTCATTTAAACTAATTGCCCGATTGCTATATTTGGAACCTTTTTCAGGAAGTGTTACGAAATTACGCTGAATAAATTGTCGCCCTTCTAAAGCTTTGATAGTATAATTATATCGTTGTGACATTGAACCTAGAAATATGCTAATGATTACAAAGCAATAAAAAAAATATGTTATATAAAGGCAAAATATCACGACTGTAAATGATCAACGCTGGATAAACTTAAATTGAATTATGATAAAACTTAGACTGAATTATGATGCATAAATGCGGTTAAAATTACAATTAGAACGATAAGAACCAATTAATACGATTAAAACTAATTTCGAGCATCCAAATCATTGCTACCTGAATTCTATCTTTATTCATTGTACCCAAAATTATTGCTAACCGGAAAACTTTCCGAAACTTCATTTGCAGTAATTCCACTTAAATTTCAAATTTAAATCCCGCTGCCATTTATTACCAACACTGCAATGGCCGAACCATATTTCCTGAATTTATGCTAAACCGATTGCTGGCAGATGGTTTGCCCGAGACTTTTTCCCGAGATGTTAAGGGATTAATGTAGGTTGGTGTTGGTTTATTAAGTATTGTTTTTATATGAGAATATAAGTTAATATTAATTTATTAAGTATTGTTTTTATATGAGAATATAAGTTAATATTAATTTTATTAAGTATTGTTTTTATATGAGAATATAAGTTAATATTAATTTATTAAGTATTGTTTTTACACAAGAATATAAGTTAATATTAATTTATTAAGTGTTGCTTTTATATGAGACAAAACAATGAGGGATAATATTTTGCTTTTCTACATTCTATTATATTATCACATGTTGATATGTGGACGTTTTATGCAGTTTAAGTTGAAAATTAATTTGAAACGTAATATGGAGATAGCGATGAAGTGAATATTAGTACATAATTAAAACACAAACCTGTAGTGTTTTATTTATAATCTTGAAATGCATTTTGATTTGAGAAAATGAAAGAGAGCATAAAAAGGAACGTTAAGAATATGTTTTATCGGATTATTTAGATAAATCTCACTGATTTTTTTAATGAATTTTACTGAGCTTTACGAATGATTATCGTTCTTTTTTATTTTCCTTTGTGTGAATTTTAACCAATATCTGCAGTTTTTTTCTGTCGCATATTTTTCATCTTTGTTTATTGTCTAAAGATGGGTATTATGCCTATTTTTTATCCTGAATACATTATTAATATATTGTTTCTAAGTCAAAATAGCGTGTCCCACATGGGACTTCCCGTTTGGAATCCCTATAAATATAAGATGTAAAATTGCAGTAGAAGTCTAATTTTAAAGTAGGTTTTCTCATATTATTGGTCTGGTTTATGTCATTCTTTAAGGTTAGCTAATTTCTTTATACTAACGAAGCTGTTTTATATTACATCAATTACTTATTTTAAATTTTTTATAAAAGATAACTCTGCTGTAATTACTTGTTTGCAGTGTATTTTTGTCAACATTCGACATAATTCATCTCCTTTGTTCGGCTCTTTTGTTTGTCCAGCTGATAGCAGTCATTAACTATTTTATACATCTGACACACGCAGAAAACGCAGAAAAGGTGTCACGTGGGAAATGAGTTCACTGCGCAAAGATGTTTTGGCAAGGAAAGGATTACCAACAGTGAGTGAAGATGGAAGTAACGTTGCAGCAGGGTAAGTTATCTTTAAAGTCTCATTTTTTGTCTTGAATATTTATTCATGAAGCTATTAAAGTTTTAGATTGGTACAAAAATAGTTGCTACATGAAATAACAAGAAAAAACCGCTCTGATTTCATGAACTTGAAAATAATAATTGCGGAGAAGTAAATTTGCTATAACCACTTCGTTTACTTAAAGAGATCCGACATTTGATTGTTTAAGAGCAGATATTAGTCAGTGGAAATTCTTTGTAATTTATTTTTTGTTGAATTTGGAAAGTTTTAGGACAGTTCCATCAACGAGTAAAGGACTTCGTCGTGGTACTATGATGGATGTAACACCACTCGAATGGAATGAATTTTTTGATAGGAAGCTTAGTTTGAACGTTAGCGACGGTGTTTTTTGCGTTTATACAAAAGGAGACGTTGGACCCATCTTTTACATGCTTCACGGCGGAGGTTATTCTGGTCTAACATGGGCAGCCGTAACAGTAAGTTCTCTCAATTTTGGGCATTAATACAATTCGCTTTCAAACGGTATCATTTAATCCTGTTGAAATTTCTTGTGAGGTTTCCAAAACATTTTTTTTTTTAACAGTCTTTTTTTTAACGGTTTTTTTTTTTTTTTTTTCGATAGAAATTACTGTTATAAGTGTGGTGATATGCGATGCGATCTAAGTTAGACGTTAAGTAAATGAAATAATTGTTGTCATGATAGGAGATATAGCAACTAGCAGCAGATTCTATATAAATCATACATTATTCTGGTAGCTTTATCTATTACATGTGTTTCTTTAGATTATAACTTCATTCCATTATTGGTAGTTATAATTTTAGGAGAAGCTTTCATCACAACTACAGTGCCGAATAGTAGCACCAGACTTGCGAGGTCACGGTGATACAATTACAACGGACGAGCAGGATTTATCTACCGAACGTCAAACAGAAGATATTGTGGAAATACATAAAAATATATGTGCAGGCGAAGCAACTCCGACATTTATAATAGGACATAGGTTATTTTGTTGACATTATATTTCAGAAAGTCAATCTTTATTATTCATCAATTCGCGATTTTATATTAATTGTCGTCTTCATTTCTGAAAAGATGTGATTTTTTTTTTTTTTTTTTTTCAGTATGGGTGGTGCCCTTGCAGTACATGTAGCAGCTAGTGGTCGTTTAAAGACTGTGATCGGTATTGCTGTCATTGATGTTGTAGAAGGTACAGCTATGGAAGCACTGACCACGATGAAACATTTTTTAAAAAGTCGACCGCAAAAATTTGGAAGCGTCGGTGGTATGCCTGTGTAGTTTGGTTATTCATTCTGTTAGAAATAAGGAAAATTTATTAATATAAAACAAATTAGTGAATGAGAAAAGGAGTGGTTTGTAACCATTTTTCCAGTATCCTCAGTTAAATGTTGAAATAGCGAAATTAAACTGTTTGAATTTTCAGACGAATGTCATTTTTATAGTTTGATATGTTTGGGGAGTCTAAATTAATTCAACATATTTAAGCCGCAGTAGAATGGTGCTGTAAATCGGGAACGGCGAAAAATTCTCGAGCTGCTCGTGTATCTATGCCTGCTCAAATTAAAAAGACTGGCGATGTGAGCTTATTGTTTTGTTATTTTACTAATATATTACATTTATGTTACTTTTATATGCTCTAAAAAATAAATCTTTCAAAGGCTTTTCATGTGTTGTGATGTTAATATTAGTGTAAAGTTATTTTAGTTGTATACATGGAGAATTGATTTGTCTAAAACGGAGCCGCATTGGATTGGATGGTTCAAGGGCCTTTCCAAACTATTTCTCGGCTGTCGTGTACCGAAGCTTCTAGTTCTTGCTGGCATTGATAGGCTGGACACCGATTTAATTGTATATTTAATTTTTTTTTTTCTGTCTTTTTATTTCATGTCTGCTTTATAGTTTTCATTAAGTTCAGAAATTAAAAAATGAACGTCAGTTGTGTACAAAAAATTTTTCCTCGTAATCTCATCTAAAAAATATGAATGAGGTATCAGTTTCGTCAGCTTTGTAGGTAGGACAGATGCAGGGCAAATTTCAAGAAACGATACTGCCGAAAGCAGGTCATGCCGTGCAAGAGGATTCTCCAGAAGATCTTGCCGATACGCTAGCAGGCTTTGCGTTCCGAAATCGATTTTGTCGTCCAGCGGATTTTTGACTCTATTTATTGATGTAAATCCATGGTTGATGACAGGGAATTATTATGTCGAAGTTTTACTTTCCTGTTCAGTTACTTCTTAGCATTTTCAGGTATTATCATTTTTTGCTGTATATTCCAACAAATTTTCAAGTATGCATAACTTCATCTTAGTGTATGTTTATTGCATTTCCTTGCTGCCTTATGATGACAGTTTTATGTCAAACTGAAAGAAATGTATCATAAATTTTATTGTTCTACACTGCTGCTATTTTCGCCAAATATATATTCCGATCTGGTTAAAGTGTGCGGAAGATATGGCACCTAAATTTGCATATTTTTTACAACCAAAATTCCCTTCAGTTTGAAAATGGGTATTTTGATTTCTTTGATTATGATAAATGTTGGTGAGAAAGTTGCCCGATTTTTGAGCAAATATAGGTATTTCTTTGATTGTTGGTGCCAGGACTTAGAACGAAATGAGAAACTGACAAACCGTAGGTGTTCGTTCAGCATATGTGACGTTAACATACGGTGCAAAGTTTTGCAATTCTTTTAATTGATATTGTGATGGGATATGCAATTTCTGTGCCACATTACCTACTGAAATAAGTCAAGTAATAATCACTGAAAAGATCAAATAGTGCAGGCAAGTAGGTTATATGCTGGAAAAAATGGATTTCAAAATTAATGCATTTCGTTCTTTTCAATGATTTCATATGATTTTACATGACGTTTTGTATATATGAACTAATTTTCTTTGGCATATTTAATTAATATAGATAAAACTACGCTTTCAGTAAATATTTGGTGCACATAGATTTTTGTCTACCTGTGTCTTCTAAATTGTTAGCCTCATAAAGTTAAAGTAATATCTAGTACTTAAACTAAAATTGTGCTTATTACCAGGTCCAACATTCATATCGAGCAAATGATAGAATGATGATGAGGCATGAGTTTTGTCTTTGTTTGCGTTAGGGAATGAATCATTTTTGGAATGATTGGACCAGGTCCAGTCGGGAAATTTATATCGATTTCCTGAAATTTCATTTCATATCCAAATTAAAAATAGCATATCAATGCTATTGTATTTCATATAGATAAAAACTTATCAATGTTCGTATATCAGCATGCACTGATTACTTATGATTGATAATATGCTCAGAAAACATTTTCACAATATCATCATTGTAAACATGATAGCGCTCTCACCTGTTTTAATATCATATTCAGTTTCGAATAAACTATAAGCTGATTTAGAATCACTCAACCAGTTGTTATTATTTAATTCAGTACCATCACTTTTGATTGTTTCTAAAATTACTGGAAGATAAGACTTTGAATTGAATGTATGAAATCATTTATACACGTAGAAAAATCAAGGAAATAGATGAACTTTACGAATAGATCACGTTACACATTTCGATTGATATGTTGTGATATGTATTTTGTAATAATGATTCATCAATTTGTTCAGTTATTTGAAATGAAATCCAGTCATACCTACTTCGGTAAATGCATTATTTAGAGCCAGATTGTTACCCATATTTTCTTTTCGTTCTACTGCATCTAATCCACGAGTAGTAGATATGAAGAGATGGCCATTATCATTGTCATTATCATTATCATTCTTATCAATGTCATCATAATAATGATTATCGAATGATAATGCTGAACTGATTGAGGAGGTATTTGGTGTAAAACAAGCGCTATCTGCAGGTAGTAATAACAACTGATCCGCAGTTGATGGAGGTATTGAACAGGACATGTCATGTCTAATTCCCATAACTTTGTTTGTCGTTCTTTTCATTTCAGATTTATTTTAATATGATAAAATGCTGTAAGAATTAGTTGGTTCAGTTACATTGAAGAAGCTAAAATAGATAATTTGTTGCATTTTTTTTTTTTTTTTTTTTTTTTTGGTCTTTCCAGAATTTTTCCTCTTTTTTTTGTAATAGATTTTAAATTTTTAACTTTCTCCTTTTTCTTTTTATATTTTCTAATAGCGGATTTCTTTTTTTCATCGTAACAGCTGTTTAAATTCATTGCTTGTTAAAATTCATTAATGATAAATTTTAGAAATGATCAAAAATTGACCGGTTATAAAAAGCACTAAACTTGCAATAATACATAAATCAGTGAAAATTCATTTTTATGAAATATGAAATTTTGAATTTGTTTTTAGTCATTTCATTCATAGTATATTCTCGACTATACTGGACACTTTTTTATTAAGTATATTGTGCAGTTACTATCTCATTTTAAAAAAAAAAAAATTCTATTATTCTTATTCCTATTGCTGCTATCAACAACTCCAGCAAATTTGCTATTAAATTCTTTTCTTTTCCGGGAATAACCTTGATTGTTGTAGAACATAATAATTCTATCGAATTAAAAACTGAAACTAAAAATTATAATGCTGTCATTTTAATTACAAATTTTCTTTAGTAATATTCCATCTCCATTGCAATAAATTCGTCTTTCTATTCTATTTAATACCTAGAAATTTTGTAATGAATTGTAATTTTTTTCTGCTGACTTATTGATTCCCTTGTTAACATCGATGTTCACATAAAATTCTCTCAAATTTATTTTTGTTTCCTCATTTTTCTCATTTTGATTCTTTATTCTTTAATTTTAATCATCTCGGATGTTAGTTTAACTTCAACTTTCCAACTTTCTTCTATTTGTTCATTGAATAGTTATGACTTTTCGTTGTATTAGTTTTTTTATTTAGAATTTTAATTTTTTGTAAAGCACTGATTGCTACCTAATTCATTCATATTTCTATATCTATCAATCCAAATCGTTTCTTTTGTTTTCAACTAAATTCAAAATTTTCACTGAACTAAACTAAACTAAATTAAAAAAAACCTTCTCTATTTTTGGTGTTCTTTATCTCTCCTTTATTGATCAGTTTGCTCATTATCAATAATCAATTCTATGCTAAATACTCGAGAATTCTTTGCACTTCCCAACAACGTTTTTTTTTTTTCCATATGTTATCACTCTAATAGAGTAACTTTTGTTTACTTTTTTAACTTTTCTTTTCTTGGTAACAATTCTTATTTCATCTTATTCCATTGTATATATATTTTTATTAACTAATTTGTTGATCATTGTTACGCTAAATAAGTTGCATTCATTCCTTAAATCTCAACAAGATCCTTCGTAACTTTTATAATTTCTGTTACTTTAATATATTCTTTTAAAAATATAATAATTATATCTTCTATCATTCATTTAGACTTATTAGATTTCTCGTTTATCAAGTTAATTGAGAGATAATTTATTAGCTTTTCAACTATGTTTCTTTCTCTACAGTTGTTTTGTTTCAATTGTTCTTTCAAATAATACATTTAATTGAAGGAAAATTTTTCAATACTTCCATTTAACAATACGATCGTATTTCTGTTTTTCTTACCACTCATTTCATTATTCATCTTTGTTTATTATGAAAGAACAATTGTAAATAAAATAAATAAACATCGTTCCTTCAAATTTTCTCCTAGGCAATGTCGATTAGATGTACTTAATTTCGTTGTAGCTCTGTTATGCCTTCTCTTTTATCAATCATTTTTTAAAATTGACTTATAAAATATCCCAAAAATCCCAAAAAAAATTTTAAATATCTATTGAATTCTACTATCTTCATTTCTGGATGTATCTTCTCGACTAGTTTAATTTTCCTTTATTTTCTTTTTGAATCTATGAATCTATCTTTTAACAGCTATCATTTTGTTGATTCTTTCTCACATCTAATGATGTATCTTATCTGTTCCTTCAATTAGAAAAAAAAAAAAAAGCTAAAAACTAAATATAATGCATTCTATGATAACTGATAAAAAAACATTCTTCTGTTTATTTATCAAATAGCACTCATTCAAATAAAATTTGTATAAATCGATCGAAACAATCTTTTCATTCATCTTTAACAAAACTCTGATGCTTCTTTTCAAATGCACTTACCCTGGAGATGATCCCTTCAATTATTTTCAAATGTTCATTCATCAGTACTCTCCTTTCTTTCTAAAGAATATTTATCGACTTACTTCCACTATTTATTTCATTTTTTTTGTTTTTTGTTTTTTTTTTTTTTTTCTTCTGCACTTATACTTTCTATCTTTCCCAAAACCAGTTTTTATTTTTATATGATATCCCTCTTTTTTTTGCTTCATCTGATTGAATTACCTTCAATTTTACCCCAAATAAACAATTTACACATTTTTTTTTGTCCCTGTCTTTTGGTCTCAACTTGTGACACAAAATTTATTTGTGCAAATCTATTTGAGCACTCTCTATCGATTGGAATATTGAATTGTAATTTGCACTTTTTTCTTATCTTTTTTTTTTATTCTTAACATTATTACTAAATTTGTATTAAATATTGAAATTATATTGCTGAATTCATTGTTATATTAACATTATGTGAGAATAAAAGTTTAATTATTATCCAAGTTTGAGAAATCGAAAAGAAGAAAAGAACCAAACAAGCTGAACTAATTCTTTCAGTCTTTTTTTATGATCAGAAAGAAATCTCGACATCATTTTTTTTTTTAACTATTTATAAAGTGTTTAGTACATTCTTTCAAAACTATTTCAATAAATTTTCAAATACACCAAATTATTGAAATAATTTACAGAAATATATTTTTCTCTTCCTAATTGATTTTATCGGTGATATTATTTAATACTAATCGTATGTACAAATACAATTATAAACAATAAAAAAAAAGATTTATTAAATGCTTGATAAATTTTGCGAGAATACAAAAAAAAAAAGAAAAAGAAATTAGTTTGCTATGCAAAACAATAATAACATTTATTGATCGGAAGAAGAAAAAAAATAAATGAAACTTATGCTAATAAAAAAAAAATGGGATTTAAGGATTATATGTTTGAAAAATTGCAAAAGAGAATTAAAAATTTTAAAAGAAATGAAGCAAAGCTCATAATTTTAATTAAATAAAAAATGATTTGTTTAAAAGAAATTTTGCAAAATACGTTGCCCAGTGCTAAAAATGCAGTGAAATGAATGAAAGCGAATAGTATAATGTTAGTATTAAATGTTATAATTAATAATTAAAATGAATTATACTCCTTTTTTAGTTTCAATAAATTCTATTACTCTGGAATCAATCAAAAAAAGAAAAATTTACTTCTTGTTAGATTAATAATTAGTTGAAATAATTCAAGAAAAATAAATTATTTCAAGACTTTCTCTTCCTTCTTTGTATGCCAATAAAAATAAAATTTATGGGAAAAAGTAGTAAAATGATATTAATTAATTAATTAATTAATTATCTTTGCAAAGGAAACATATTACAATAAGAGGTGTTAATTAATGAACAAACTTCAACAAAACATAATTTGTAATGCTAACTTTTACAATACATTTTAGCATCTTTTCAATTTTGTTCTTAAAAATAAAACAAATTTCAATAACTGTGTAAATTGCTATCTCCCTTCTCAAAAAAAGAAGCAATTAATCAGTGTAAACTGTTAAAAAAAATTTTTAGTAAAAGATCAAATAATTTTTGAGTCATCCGATAATTTAACTAAAATTAATTGACACTTTTTTTTTTAAAAAAAAAAAAAAAATTTTTGAATCATTTTTCATTTCCAAAAAAAAAAATGAAACAATTTGTTGAAATGTGATAGTTAAGTTTGCTTGTTATTCAAATTGATATTTGGAAAAAAAGCATTATATACTCCAATGAATATAATATAAGATTTCATTTCACAAATTATTTTTAAAATTCAAAATGACAAATTATTTTAAAATTCAAAAAATAAAAATGTGTTGAAAAAAAAAAAAAAGTATACAACAAATTTAGGTGAAATTCATAGCTCAATATAAATGAATGATTCATATTTCATCAAAAAAAAAAAAATTGACAAAATTAATTAACGACGGCAGAATAAGCAACGTAGAACTGAAAGTACGAATGATGCAAGCATCATTACTGCAATTACTGCCAAAACGACAATAACCCATGTCTAAAATTATCTATTAATTTCCTTTTAATTTATTTTATTTTCAAAATTTTAAATAACTTAAGAAAAAAAAAAAAAGGGAAGAAAAACATTTAAATTTATCTATTTCTTTACTTTTATCTTATCTAATCATGATCACTACTTATCTAATTTTTTCTTAGCAAAAAAAAAAAAAAAAGATCAAACAGAAAAAAAAAAGTTAAAAGTAAATTTAAAAAAAAAAAAGTTTACTAAAGAAATTGAGTGAGAAATTAACCTGTAGATTGAAACAGCATTCTTTGTTAGCAGTACCGCAACATTTGTAATAATGAAAAATGCTTGATGATGGACATTGTGTACCAATGACCGGTACTGGACACCATGTTGCACCATCCTATAAATTAGAAGATAAAATGGAAATTCTATATGGAATATATTTATAGGAATATCAAAATGAAATAATTTATTTCAAATTAATTTTGGGAAAAAAAAAAATTTTTTTTTTGCCAAATTTATACAATGTTTTAATTTTCATTGTAATTTAACTTTTCTTTTTTTTTTTAATTTGATCCAAATTTGTTACTGCTTATAAAAATTCTGCTATTATTTGAAATTGTAAAATCGGAATTTTTTTTTTTTTAGACTTTCGCTTTTTTCTTCTTTTTTTAAAAAGAAATTTTATGGAAGAATTAGAATTGATAGAGAAAATTTTAATCACATTTTAAAATGACTATAAGATTAATTTTCTATCATTTAATCTACACCATTTTCTGGGTTGTTTAGATTGCCACGAAAGTGAAAAGTAGTTAAGATTAATGAATAACGCATTACTCATAATCGAGAGTGAATGAAAATGAAATTAAATTACAACTTTTTAAGGTTAATTTATACCTTCATAAATGGTACTGTTATTTTAAAAAAAAAATTATTTTTCTACAAAGGAAAAGATACATAATAAATACATAATATATAATAAATATTATGCAGTGAAAGAAATTAATAATTAATTAATAGTTAAATTGGTTTAAATGAAAAAGCTAATTAATTAAATAATTAATTAGCGTTTGTACAAATGTACAAATTAATTAATTAATTAGCTATGATAAGAAAGTTATTTTTAGCAATGACATTTTAAAACATTAACCTTAGTGCTTGTCATTTCACGTACCACACTTTCTGCGTCACCATCGCATAGTACAACCGTAGCAACGATGGACAAAAGTAAACCAGTAGAGAGCATTTTACTGACGTTGATTTCTTCTAAATTTACTACGTTTATTAATGTACAAATAAACGTAAACGTTACCCTCACACGTAGACGTTGGCTATTCCAGCATTACACGTGTTATCGTTTTATTATTGTTATTTTGTTATTTAATAATAGTATATATGTTGATAGTCCGTTATTTAGTTACAGAAAGCAAATCTTTGTTTTCTTCCTTAACAGATATTGTAGATGACGTAGATTCACGCATAATTAATAATTAACGCTTAAAATTGGGTTAAATTAAAATGTATATATTAGTAATAGTATCATTACTACTATACGATAACAAAAATATTTATAATATTAATAATTATATTATTTATTATACGATATGTTATTATTATTATATATTATTATAATAGTATTATTTGTAATTGTAATTGTAATTGTAATAATAATAATAGTAATAACGATAATAATAATAATAATGATAATAATAGTAATGACAATAATAATAATAATAATGATTATGATGACAATAATAACAATAATAACGAAAATGATAAAAGTTGTAAATGCTTCCTTCTCGTATTATTTGAGTTTCCTTTTTTTTTCGAACTGAGGAAATTGCCAGCATCTATTTGCTATTTAATAATCTGTTTACTCCAACGTTTATTCTATTATAACGATATGGAAGAAAATTCAATTATAATATTGTGTGAAGGTAAAACTGTATTAAAGATTGTCTCAATTGAACATTCTTTAAACAAATATAAAATTTGCATTTAGCAATAAGCAATCATCGTTTTAAATTTCATTTAAATAAGCAATCATCGTTTTAAATTTCATTTAAATAAGCAATCATTTATCCAACATACATTTTCCCATTGTGGCTGAGCTTTTTCAACTATTAACAAAAGCATATGTGCATTGTTTAGTATGTTAAAAATAACTCAAATTAGCTTACAATGTCAAATTATTGTAAAGTAAACGTTTTCTAATCTAACAGTCATTCTTATCAGTAACTGATATAATGTTAAATTCCATCTTTGACAAATATAAAAAGTAAAGATCATCTGATAACTCTCTAATCACTGTAATCATGCTTTGTTGTTGCAAACCAGTGTCCACTATATAAGGATTTGGTATTAGTAAAGTACAGTTGGGCTGCTCCTTCTCACTTATTTAATTCGATTGATTTAAATCTTTTAAATTTTCCATTAATTTATTCCTTTTTTTAAAAATGCTATGAAATTATCAGTGATACTGTTGATATAGATTAATACTTATATATCGTAGCTGATAGTAAATTAAAGTAGTACCTACGAATCATTGAAATGTTCCCTAACAAAACACCTATGATTTCTCGAGAAATGATAAGACGACTAATCGACTGAATGATTAATTGATTCTGATCACTGATAAGAAAAAGTAGAAATGCTATGCTAACTGAAATATGAACAAATTATGTATTCGTACAATATAATAAATATATTTTATTCTTTACATATTTCCTGTGTTATGATAAAATTAAACTTTTGTAATTTTGAAATAATAAATATATGAAAAGGAAACTTCTCTATTATTACTATTATTATACAAATATGTTATTAATTATTTGTTATTTATAAATAAAATGTAACAACAACTATACAAGGTAAATAATATAAACTAAAAAAGAAGAAAAAGAAATGAAAAGAAAAAGAGAAAATATTTATTGTTGAATTTAAAGTGAATAGTAAAAAGCTGCTTAGGAATTTAAAATCGATAGAAAAATTGATAAACAGCAAAAGGAAAGATTGCTTAGTGGTTTAGGCTTTTATTATAGAGCTTTATCAATGTTTGAAATTTTATTATGTTTATTTCAGGAATAATCAATGATACTTCTTAAATGGATGATAAATTTTAAATCTTACATAAATACGTATGTGTTAATTAATTTTATTTATTTCACCTAATTCATTATTTCATTATTAATTAAAATATTACTAATTCATTTATATTTTCACATACACACACAGAGAGAGAGGGAAGATGAAAAATGGGAATTTTTCATTGTAAAAAGAAGTGGCATGCAAGAATTTAGTTTTGTTTTGGTTTTTTTTTTTTTTTTTTTTTTTTTGGAAAGAAAAAAAAGATCAAATTCATGAATCATTTTCATTCATTCATAACAATCATTTTATTATTCATATATTTATTTATTTCTTTCAAATCTTTATTTTTCAATTCTCTTTCAATCAAATATTTTAAAAGTAGAAAAAAAGAAAAAAAGAATGAAATGAAATGTATAAAGTATAAAAATAATTGAGGATGAGAAATTGAAGAAAAAAAAAAATGTAATTCAATGAATGCAATTTCAAGTATGAAATCTTTACAAATGACTAAGTTATAAATAAAATGAAAAATATTTTTTTTTTTTTTTAAGCCAACAACAAAACGACGGATATGCAAACAGAATGTCAATCGATTAGAGATGACAACAGCCAGTTGCCAAACAACTTTGTCTCACATTTCAAAATTTCAATCAATAAGAAAAATAAATCACAAAAACTTTTCAGAACTGTAAATTTTTGTTTTCCTCTCTACCATTTCCTCTTCTTCTTCTTCTTCTTCTTCTTTTCTTTTTTTTTTAAAAGAATTGAAAAATTGAAAAAAAAAAAGAATTAATTAAACAAAAAGAAAAAGATGGAATTTTCCTTTCTTTTATTATGGTAATTATTTGCTTATATATATATATATATATTTTTTTTTTCTTTTTTAATGAAATTCATTTGTTAGCTATTTATAAGCATTTATTTTAGACATATTTCAGCAATACCTAAACTAAGTGCAAAATTTTTTTTTTCTAAAAAAAAATGTTATAGCTAATTTTAATAATGGAAATTTTTAAAAATGAATCATAAAGTTAAGTAAATTTTCAAATTTATATAAATGAATGAATGAAATAGCAGTAAGTATAGTAAGTAGTAGTAATAGTAGTAAATAGTAAGTAGTAAGTAATAGTAATAGTAGGAAATAGTAAGTAGTAAGCAACACAGGGATTAGGGATGAATGATGCAAATTGAATTTTATCAAACCAACCGATCCATCCATCCATCCATCCATCCAACCATCCATCTATCCATCTATCGATCAGAAAACAATTAGATAAGAAAGTAGAAAAGGATTTTTAGTTATTTGAGATTTTTAACAAAAAAAAATTGTTAAAAATAATGAACAGTTTATAGTTAGTTATCAATATGATATGATAATTAATCATATAAAATAATATTTTTGCTTTTTTTCTTTCTTTTTTCAGCTCTTCTCTATCTTTTTTTTTTTTTATTTTAATTTAAGAGAATTTTTAAAAAGAAAAAAAAACAAACAAAATTAAAATTTTGCAGAAAGTAAAAAAGGAAAGAAATCAAAAGGTAATGTAAAAGAAAAAATCTTTGTTTTTTTTTTATATATTAAAGAAAATCGATTAAAATTGTTGAAATAAAGCATAGGAAAATGAGGAAAAGTTGAAAGAGAGAGAGGTAAAGGGGTAAAGCAGAGAAAGAGTGAAAGGGAGATAGAAGGGAAAAGGGACGGAGGGAGAGAAAGAAAGGGAGAGAGGGAAAGAGAGAGAGAGAGAGAGGAAGATCGATCGAATTTAGAAAATTATACTACCGCCTGTTATGCTTACTACCAATACTACTACTACTGCTATTACTATCACCCATCATTTAACTATTACACCTCCTCAGTGACTCTCTTACTCATTGATTACCTTTTTTATTATTCCTTCCAATCATTTCTCTCCCTCTGTCCCTCTCTCTCTCCCTCTCTCTGTCTCTGTGTTTTCCCTCTCTCTTTTGTCGCATTTGGTAGTGTCATTTTGGTGTGCATAAGGGCTATATGAGAACTTTTTATTATCAAAGATAATATAATATACCCAAAGTAATAATTTACTTAACTATTACTATTACTTAATTACTTAACATAGTGCATAGTTCATAAGGAATGAAACTTTAACATTTAATAATTAATTAATTAACTTAATTAGTATTTTATTTGCTAATTGAGTAAATAGAAAAGAAATTGTTTTTTATTCATTGTATGGATGAATGTTAAATAAATGAGAAAAATTTTTTTTCAATTTATGAATTACTCACAAAAGAAAGAACAATAATTGTACTTTTCGTTACACTACGGAAGAAGCAATGAAAATAATTAATTTTTGAGTTTCTTCCAATTTTTGAAAAATTTTATTATTCAAAAAAACAAAAAGAAATTATTTTGAATTGATCAACTGTGTCACATCGTTACATCCAAATCCAAATGATTTGATCAGTTATTGTGAAAAGTAATTTAGTAAACAATAAATAAATGCATGATTGTTAATTTTGAAAAAAAAGAAAAAGAAAACTGATAAACTAAATGATAAACTGATCATATTTAATTCATACCAGTTCATTGATTTTTAATGTTCATTATTGATTGATTTAATTTAGAGGTTTGGAGGTATTTTAAATTCATCAATTATGTCACATCGTCGATATATCAAAGGCCTATTGTTCAAAAAAAAAAAAAAAAAAGGAAAAAATGAAGAAAGATGAATTCATTGATTGATCAGTTAATCTGTTTACCTATTAATTAGAGTGTTATCATTCCTGCTGATGACCTTGACCCTTCATATCGTTTTTATTCAGAAAAAAGAAAAAACAAATTTAACTTACTTTTATATGTCATACTTTAATAAAGCCTTGAGATAAATGAAGTGAATCATATCCAAATATCTTAATTATAATATCGAAATATTTACTTCAATTAATACAAAAATAATTGTTTGCAGAAAAAGAAAAAAAAATTTACAATTTGTATGCTAAATATATTAATTCTTCTGAAAACATTAATGGCTTAAAAAGTAAAAATGATTAAGTTTTAAAGTAAGCAAATAATGGTATTTCCAAATAATAATCCGATGAGTAAGCCTATCTTTCTTTAATAAAAGAATTTGTCTCAATATGTATGATTATACTGAAATTGAGGTCTTCCGGTTGTCATCACTGATTGAAATATTCCGGAAATTTAAATCTTCAGAGTGATGGATTGACTGAAATATTGTGCAGTCAGAAGGACAAAGAAATTTTTTTTAATTAATATGCATTCAGTGTAGCACTTTATTTCTCTCTCTCTTTTTTATAATTCATGAAATTGCAAAAAGTAACAAAATTTTCAGTTAAAAATTTTCACTCCTTTAAAGAATCATTTGCATTGGATTTAATTTTAATAGTAAACGTAATTCGTAAATTTAAAATATATAAACCTAGTTTTATAAAGTGAGCGTAATTAATTTAAAATGGAATGAGAAAGAATTTCGATGAAATGAGCGAATGTTATGCATTGTTTATTTATTTGTTTATTTATTATTATTATTACGAATGAAAGTTATTAACGAATGTTAATTAAGAATACGTATTAAGTTTGGAGAATTCTAATCGTAAAATCGGAAAAATACCTTGCAAAACTGTCATTTCCATAATATTTTCACTTATCAATTGATCATAATCAATTGATCTATAAACTTTAAAATGCTGCCTAAATGAATACCCAAATAATCATCCATTAATTAATCAAATTATTTTGAAAAAAAAATATCTAAAAGGAGCTCTGCAACTGATATATGATAAAAGTAAATATCAATTTTGTTAGGATAGCTCAAGATTTGTTTTCTTAAAAAAGGAGAAAAAAAAATAAAAATAAAAAGCTTATATGTGGCATCATGGAATAATAGACAGTGAAGAGTAGTAAAGATTACGAGAAGAAAGATTAGATTTAAAAAAGCCTTCTTTATTTTTCTCTCTTTTTTTTTTATCTGCTTAAAACATAAACAAGTGAAAAATAAGAAAAACAAGCTATATACTCTTCTATAAAATTTACATAGAGCCTTCCATCCAAAAAAAAAAAAAAAAAAAAAAAAAACAAAGGCCAATTCATTCATTCGTTTCAAAAATAGACAAATAGTAATGGCAAAGTAAAAGTCAACATTAGATATGTTAATTTGATAAACACAAATTTTGTTTATTTGGCAAAGATAATGTCATAGCGGAGAGATTGAAGTTATGTAGTTTACATTTATGTAATAAATAAAATAAGATGGAAAATTAAATTTGCTTTTGATTGGAGAAGAGAGAAATTAGCATTAATTTCATGTTTTAAATATTTACCAATATCAAATATATTAAACGATGATAATATATCATTAAAATGTATTATAGCCATTTCTTATTTGGAACATTAGAAAAGTTAAAAAAAAAAAGCTTTAAAATTAAATAAATTTGTTGGTTATTTCTTGGAATAATATATTGCTTTTTATCAGTGAACACTTGATATTGTTTTGCTTGCTGATTGATATTTCATTTTAAATGAATTTTATTTTTTTTTTTAAACGATATTATGATATAATACGAAATATATTCTGGTAAAAAAACTATTTAATAGTAGCAGTAATTGTTAATAAAATTTATCAAAAATATAAAAAGTAATTGTTAATTAAATCTATTAATTGTAATTATACCATTAATTAAATCAATATAAAAAACTATGATTTATACTGAATAACTAACATTCATTAATGACAAAATTCATTTCGTTATCATTTTCAAAATTTAAATACATTTAAAAAATGGAAAGATGATAACAATTTGCTAAATTTACTGGAATATTACAGCATATCCTATTTCACTGATCAATTGATCATTTCAGATTAATCGCTGAAAATAAACACTAATACATTTCATATTTCTAATTTAATCCACAATTAGTTGATAATTTGTTGCATACACAAATAAAAAATACAAAGAAATTTTTTATTCATTTTATTATAAATCAATGATTAGTTTATAAAATAAATACATATTTACTCACAAATGCATCAATATTCTCTCAACTTTATTAATACTCTTCGTTCAGATCATCATCATTTCTATAGATCATTCAAATCAAATCAAATAATTTGATAATAATGTTAAGTTCACCAAAATTTATAGCTATACTTGATGAAATAAATTGCCATATAATTAGATCCAAGTAATTGTTGGATCATTATTTGTTGCTGTTGTCGAAGATACAGCAAAATAAACACTTTCATCGTCGGAATTTTGACTATTCTGCATTTCTTTCATACTTCGAATCGAGAAGTATATACTTCTATCATCATTATCACCATCGTAATCATCACTATCAATCACAGTATCATCATTATTAATCACAGCATCATTTTGTTTACCCTTTTCACTCTCATCCTTATTTATTTCTGTCATTTGATCATTCTTATTGTCGTCTTTTTCCAGTTCAGTTTCATAAATGGTCAAAAATGTGGCTTGTTGAGCAATTTTATTGCTTTTTTGAATTTTCAATGATTTTGATTGATTTCTTGGTGATAATGAATAAACATGTGCTGGCACTGAAAGAGACACAGTAGATTGTTTACAAACTGAAACATTTTTTGTAAACAAAAAAGTAAGAAATTTTCATCTAAAATAAAACTCTAAAAGACAGACATTAAAATTTCTATAAAACAATTAATAAACAAATAAACAATATTTTTGCATTTTTTTTTTCTTTCTCCATTTCAGGTGACATGATTCTACGAGCGGCTATTGATGAAACATCTAACTCTAAATGATCATCGAAATTTATGTCAAATGATTAACAAATAAATGAATGCGTACTTTGCTATGGCCGATAAACAAACAAATAAACAAGTTAAAATCATACTATCAAAGACTTTGTCGTAATTCTGCATTTGCCTTCTACCCTTTTCCTTCTCTCTAGGTGATACCATTTCTGCAGTGTTCACCGACGATTCCTCACACGCTGAATGATAATCAAATTCGAATTAAGCAATTAGTAAAGATATAGAAAATAAACAGTAAACAAGTAAACATATACTTTCATAATCATTTTTGTAATCCTCTGTCTTCGTTCTATCCTTTGCTTTCATTTTAGATGATATCATTTCAGTTGTAGCAGCCGATAACTGATCATATGTAACTAATGATTTTTCAGAATCTAAATGTTCATCGAATTTTTATCAGACAATTAGCAAATAAATAAGATAAACAAATAAGTAGAGTGAGACTATTTCCAAACAAAGAAATAAATATATACTGTTAAACTTTTTGTCGTAATTCTCTATTTCTCTTCTATCCTCCTCCATTTTTCTAGGTGATACCATTTCCGCAGTGTCCACTGACCATTCTTCACACGCTGAATCATAATCAAGTTCGAACTAAACAATTAGTAAACAAATAAAAAAATAAACAAACAATCAAACACATACTTTCATAATCATGATCTTCTGCCTTTCTTCTATCTTTCTTATCCATTGTAGATGATACCGTTCCAGCAGCAACGACCGGCGATTCTTCAAAATAATTGTCAAATTCATATTAATCAACCACTAAATCAAATAAACATATATGAAAAAACAAGCAAATAAACATTTACTTTCAAATTCTTTATTGTAATCCTCTATCTTTCCTCTCTCCTTTTCCTGTATTTTAGGTGATACCATTATTGCAGTGTCCATTGACGACTCCTCACACGCTGAAGGATAATCAAACTCGAATTAAGTAACTAGTAAACAAATAAAACAAACAAACACCAAACAAGTAAACACATACTTTCATAATCACCTTCGTAATTTTCCGCCTTTTTTCTATCTTTCATTTCCAGTCTAGATGATAACATTCCAATAGCAGCGACAGGTGATGCTTCAAAATGATCGTTAAATTAGTGTCAAACAATTAGTAAACAATTAAGTATAAATAAACTAAGCATGTGAACAATTACTTTCATAATCTTTTGCGTAATCTTCCATTTTCCGCTCCTCCTTTTCCTTTGCAGGTGATACCATTCCACCAGCGGAAATCGGCGTTTCTTCAATTTGATCGTTAAATTAGTGTCAAAGAATTAGTAAACAATTAAGTATATATAAACTAAGCATGTGAACAATTACTTTCATAATCTTTTGCGTAATCTTCCATTTTCCGCTCCTCCTTTTCCTTTGCAGGTGATACCATTCCACCAGCGGAAATCGGCGTTTCTTCAATTTGATCGTTAAATTAGTGTCAAACAATTAGTAAACAATTAAATATAAATAAACTAAGCATGTGAACAATTACTTTCATAATCTTTTGCGTAATCTTCCATTTTCCGCTCCTCCTTTTCCTTTGCAGGTGATACCATTCCACCAGCGGAAATCGGCGTTTCTTCAATTTGATCGTTAAATTAGTGTCAAAGAATTAGTAAACAATTAAATATAAATAAACTAAGCATGTGAACAATTACTTTCATAATCTTTTGCGTAATCTTCCATTTTCCGCTCCTCCTTTTCCTTTGCAGGTGATACCATTCCACCAGCGGAAATCGGCGTTTCTTCAATTTGATCGTTAAATTAGTGTCAAAGAATTAGTAAACAATTAAATATAAATAAACTAAGCATGTGAACAATTACTTTCATAATCTTTTGCGTAATCTTCCATTTTCCGCTCCTCCTTTTCCTTTGCAGGTGATACCATTCCACCAGCGGAAATCGGCGTTTCTTCAATTTGATCGTTAAATTAGTGTCAAAAAATTAGCAAACAATTAAATATAAATAAACTAAGCATGTGAACAATTACTTTCATAATCTTTTGCGTAATCTTCCATTTTCCGCTCCTCCTTTTCCTTTGCAGGTGATACCATTCCACCAGCGGAAATCGGCGTTTCTTCAATTTGATCGTTAAATTAGTGTCAAAGAATTAGTAAACAATTAAGTATAAATAAACTAAGCATGTGAACAATTACTTTCATAATCTTTTGCGTAATCTTCCATTTTCCGCTCCTCCTTTTCCTTTGCAGGTGATACCATTCCACCAGCGGAAATCGGCGTTTCTTCAATTTGATCGTTAAATTAGTGTCAAAGAATTAGTAAACAATTAAATATAAATAAACTAAGCATGTGAACAATTACTTTCATAATCTTCCATTTTTCCTTTCTCCTTTTCTTGTTTTTTAGGTGATGCCACTGACCATTCTCTACACTCTAAATAATCATCAAATTCGTATCAAGTATTTAGTAAATAAATAAATAAATAAACATTTACTTCCATAGCCTTTGTTGTAATCTTCCATTTTTCTTCCATCTTTTTGCTTTGATTTAGGTGATAACGTTCTAGCTGTGTCGGCCGATGGTTCTTCAGAGGTAATTGATAGTTTTCCGGATTCTGAGTCTTCAGATCCTAAATGCTCTTGGTTTTTCGAATAAATTCTTGTTAAATAATCAATAAACATTTAAATATAGAACAAATAAACAGCAAACATTTACTTTCATAGTCTTTATTATAGTTCTTTCCATCTTTTTGCTCTAATTTAGGTGATAACATTCTGGCTGTGTCGGTCGACGGTTCTTTAGAGGTAATTGATAGTTTTCCGGATTCTGAGTCTTCAGATCCTAAATACTACTGTTAGCTTTTCAAATAAAATTCTTGTTAAGTAATTAATGAAGTTATAAATATAGATGAATAAATAAACAATAAACATTTACTTTCATAATCTTTATTGTAATCCTCCATATCTTTTTGCCATATTTTAGGTGATAATAGTCTGGCTGTACCGGCTGATGATTCTTCAGAAGTAACTGATAGCTTATCAGATTCTAAATGGTCATAAAATCCTTGTTAAATAATCAATGAACATATTAATATAGAACAAATAAACAATAAACACTTACTTTCATAGCATTTATTATATTCTTCCATCTTCCTTCTATCTTTTTCCTCCTTTTTAGGTGATACAGTTTTAACCGTAGCATTCGATGATTCTTCAGAGGTGACTGATAGTTTTTCAGATTCTAAATGATCATAAAATTTTTATTAAGCAGTCAAGAAACAATAAACATACATAAACAAATAAGTAAATATGTACTTCCATAATCTTTATTGTAATCCTTTATCTTTTTTTCTTTCATCTCTTTCATAGATTTTGTCATTCCAATAGCTGTGATTGCTTGTTCATCCGATTTCTCTAAATATTCATCAAATTTTATGATAAACAAATAAACATATATCTTAGTCATAGTTAATGGAAATCATTTACCCTGATAATTTTCCTTCATCTTTTTTCCCTTCTTCTTCTTTTTCTTTGATGTCATTCCGGTGGATGTGATGGACGTTTTATGTTCATCAAATTTCTCTAAATGAGTTATCAAACTTAAAGAAATCCTTTACCATGAATTTTATTTCTAACTAAATTTTATCAACTGTAATAAAATTTTCTATGATTATAATGTTACTTATGCTGGTGTATATAGGAATAAATTACCGGATTTTGACTTTAACTTTGGTTCAATTTTACTTTTCTTCTTAACCTTTTGCTTGCTCTCCTTATCCACCTTTCTCTTAACTTCTTTCTTTTTTTTCTTTTCGGCATCATTTTCTTTTTTCTTTGAAGATTTCCTTCAAAAATATTATCAATGCATCTTTGGCTTGTTTCAATTCTAGTAAAAATTCCATTTTTTAATTTACATTAAATCATTAAAAGTTTACAAATAGGTTAGAAATAATAAATAAATATATTTTAAATCATTTCAAATGAAGAAATCATTTAAAATACATCCATTTCCATATTCTTTGTTTGTCATTTACTCTTTATAATTTACTAATCAAAAATAATCGATGCTTACTTCTTAGCCAGTACCTGAAATACAATTCTTTTTGCACAGTCAATAAACAAATTATTACCATCTATTGATGTGAAGAAATATTTTAGAATATTGAAAATTAATTCCAAAAAAAGGCCATTTACCTTGTCTGCACTACCAGATGTGCTTCCACTAGATATCTTATTTGGTTGTTCTTCTAATGGTGGTACTGCTTCTAAAATAAATTCAATGATTTTTTTTTTTTTTTTGAAATCAAAAACTTGTTCATAATAAGGAATCAAGTTGCATGAAATTTTTTAACAAGCTTGTTGATGCTTATTTTAGAATTTTGTTTTGAAATAATTGAAGCTAACATCACAGATTAGTAAAAACCTATTTAGATTTTTTTTTTTGAAACGAAAGTATTTTTGATTAAATAATACTGACAATTAACCATTCATACTAATATAATGAACTGCAAAGAAAACACGGTAAAAAAAGTCCGACATCAAGAAACATTTGTGAAAAGAACTGAAATTAAATACTAAAAAAAAAAAATAAGTAAAATTTTGCCACCTTTTCTTTTTTTATTCCTTCCTTTCACACGAATTTTCTAGAAAAGAAATAAGCAAAAATTTAAATTTTTGTTTCAATAGAGTTTTATACGATAAAATTTTTATACATTCATGATAATATAAGTTTTAAATTATTTGAAAATTAAAAGTGAAATTTTTTAAAATTTTAATTCTAGTTTTAATTCAATTTCTTATATTTTTAGACTCAATCTTATTCGGTTACTGTTTTGCTGATCATTTTCTTACTCATTTTTCCTCATATTTTTCATTTTTTTTAAAGAAAAAAGAAAATGAATGACATACATAGCGTTCGTTGAAATAATTGTAGTATGGGTTGTAAATATCAACAACTTTGTTGTGCTTAATTTAATTTTATAATTAAATATACTTTACTTACAAATTGCAACAAAAACCAAATGCATAAAAATATGCAAAGCAAAAGTTTGAAAAAAAAAAATGACAAAAATTGATATACCTTAGTATTTATATATCTATGTCGTCTTTTCCTTTTTGGTTTACTTGCGACAACATCTGAAATATTTTTGATAACAAAATTCTAAGAAAGATATGAAAAAAAAAATTTTTATTCAAATCTTTTTTCTTTCTAAAAAATTTAATTCATCGTCATTATACCGAAACATATTCTCCCTCTCACTTTTTTCTTTTTTTAAAAAATTATAACTATTTATTTCAAATAATTTTATAATGTAAAAATTACTCATAAACTGAAATTGTTATTGTAGATTAATGAAATTTTTGAAATTTCAAAAAAATTTTATGAATTACAACTGTAAAAAGATTACCACTCGAATTGGAAGTTGACATTTGTGGTAAAAAAAAAAAAAACTGAAAAAATAAAATACAGTATTGGAAACATGATTATCGAATGATCAAGTTCATCTAATTAATCCTAATTATCATGATTACTCAGCCATCCCTTTTAACCTACTTGCTACTCTTTACCTTAGACAGCATACTCCTTTAGCATCAAACTTATCTACGAAAAATCCAGCTAGATCATTAGACCATCATCAATTCAAATATTCTAAATGCATGAAAATTCTCAGATTACTTGAAACTTCTAGAATGAATAATATTCTAATTTAGAATATATTTAATCCCTATCCTTTTCTATATGTTATGATAAGGTGTAGAGATCAGTATTATTTTAGGAGTAAATAATTTCAAAAGTTACCCAATCAATATTATTAGTATTTTCTAAGTTCATAAGTTTCTTATTGCATTAAGTCTCCTGTACACTTCAAACTTTATATCAACATTAGAAAAATAAGCTATAAAAAGCGAGAAAAGAAAACGTTTGATTTGCTTTACAATATGAATTGAAATTAGTCGCTAATTTAAAATGGACGAAACAATTCGGACTTTTCCAGCCGGTCAGTAAAAGATCGTGGAAAAAAAGTAAATATTGATGCATATTCGCATTTATTTATATTATTCGATAAAATCCTATATTAGAATTTATCAGTTATTTATGGAATGAATGAAAAATTTGCATAAATCTAGAGAATTTATTCATATGCAGCCATATCATCATTATCTTTCGATCTGAATTCTAGTTGATTCGATTTTCCATGGAATCTTTTGTCTCAATATTTCATGTTCAGTAATAGAATTTCTCCCAAATAATATTTTTAGTCCATATAATCTTTATTGGAAAAGTTTCTTGGCATATGTATTCCTGCTGTCGTACTTTGCAATAACAACAAAAACATAAACAAAATATTAGATTAGACCAATAGTCGACTAAATTTTTACTAAATTGTGTTACTATCACTTTACCACTGTTAATGCTTAAGTCAAGTTGAGTCGAGTATATCGAATAGTATCTAGTCTACCCTCACTATACTGAAAATTTCTCCTCTTCTACCATTGAACTCTCTTCTGAGAGCAATTTCATGTGATCCTTGTTTTGCTGACCGAACATGTTACGACTTTTGCCATTGCATAATGTTATTGATTACTTTTGAGTTATGATTCGATGAACAGAGCGAATTAGCTAACACAATATTCAGCGAATACATATATTCTTAACAGATTGTAACGTTCTATACAGCAAACATAAGTTTAACTATAATTTAAAACTGTTGCGTAAATAATCTTCCAATCAAGATATTTTAATAGTTTTAAATTTTGTGTAGTGATTCTTTTACACTATTATAATAAATTTAATACAAAAGTATTTTAATTTAATATTGATATTTTTATTTCGGTTTTTTCGACACATTAGCAATATAACCATTAGTAATTTTAGTTATATTGCTAATGTGTCAGTGATTTTATCACAGATCAAAACTTCATAAGCTGGAGGACTTCAATACTCTTTTACATCATTCCATCTCAAGAATAATTATTTATTTCGATGCAGAAATGGTCCTTAAATTAATTAATTTATTGAAATATCAAAAGCGATTGAAGATTTATTCAATGCTTTGATTTTTTTCCTATTCTCTTTTCTGGTGCTTTTTGAATGTTAGCTAAATAATCCCTAAAAAGAACATAAAATTTGATAAGAATCCTTAAAAAGAAAATATAAAATCTTTGAAAACATGAAATAATTACTTTGATGTGCTGGTTCAAAAAGATAAATACTAAAATACATTTCATTTTATTTCCTTTGCCCTCACCAATGATTAGAATTTGGCTTTTTTACTATCCAAATGAGTTGTGGCCAAAATACAGAGTATGTGCAGTGCTGAAATCTTTACATTTAATTGCCACTTAAATTTTTTGGTTCACAAACACTGCACTTTCATTCATTTACAATTTACGCTTGCAAAAATTATGTAAAAGATTGAAATAGAAGTATATCCTTGTTTATTTCAATGTTTTCCATTAAAAAAAAAGAGTGTTATTGGTGTTTTTTAGAGATCATTGTGGAACTTTGAATTTATTTAGAGATAAATGTTCTAAAGCCATTACTAAAGCCTTTGCCAGACCTAACACCCCAAATAATTCATCATATCATAGTTGATTTAGGGCCTAGCCCAAACCATTTATCTAGTTACTGATCTCTCTCTCTTCCCCTGCATTATTCAGTGATATATCAATTGCTTCTCACTATAGAAAACTTTTAATTGTATGTTCAAATGCGTTTAAATCGAAAATTTTCATCCAAAATTATATTGCAAACACGATGAAAATTAATGCTTATTTGTGAAATACGATATATTATTATAAGCAGTAATGAATGATATGAATACAGGACATGTACGAAAGCTATCATTTCCAAATGTTTTAATTTTCATTTCGAAGTCTTTAATCCAGAAATATTACCAGCTCCAGCTGTACCTCCAGTCCCAGCACCTTGTCCCGGCATCAAGTAGGCACTTTTCTGTGCACCTCCTCCTATTCCTGCAGCTGCACCTGCAGTGCCAACTCCAGCTGTACCTCCAGTCCCAGCACCTTGTCCCGGCATCAAGTAGGCACTTTTTTGTCCACCTCCTCCTATTCCTGCAGCTGCACCTGCAGTGCCAACTCCAGCTGTACCTCCAGTCCCAGTAACTTGTCCCGGCATGAAGTAGGCACTTTTCTGTGCACCTCCTCCTATTCCTGCAGCTGCACCTGCAGTGCGAATTCCAGTTCCAGCTGTACCTCCAGTCCCAGTAACTTGTCCCGGCATGAAGTAGGCACTTTTCTGTGCACCTCCTCCTATTCCTGCAGCTGCACCTGCAGTGCCAACTCCAGCTGTACCTCCAGTCCCAGTAACTTGTCCCGGCATGAAGTAGGCACTTTTCTGTGCACCTCCTCCTATTCCTGCAGCTGCACCTGCAGTGCGAATTCCAGTTCCAGCTGTACCTCCAGTCCCAGTAACTTGTCCCGGCATGAAGTAGGCACTTTTCTGTGCACCTCCTCCTATTCCTGCAGCTGCACCTGCAGTGCCAACTCCAGCTGTACCTCCAGTCCCAGTAACTTGTCCCGGCATGAAGTAGGCACTTTTCTGTGCACCTCCTCCTATTCCTGCAGCTGCACCTGCAGTGCCAACTCCAGCTGTACCTCCAGTCCCAGCAAATTGCCCCGGCATGAAGTAGGCACTTTTCTGTGCACCTCCTCCTATTGCTGCAGCTGCACCTGCAGTGCGAATTCCAGTTCCAGCTGTACCTCCAGTCCCAGTAACTTGTCCCGGCATGAAGTAGGCACTTTTCTGTGCACCTCCTCCTATTGCTGCATCTGCACCTGCAGTGCGAATTCCAGTTCCAGCTGTACCTCCAGTCCCAGTAACTTGTCCCGGCATGAAGTAGGCACTTTTCTGTGCACCTCCTCCTATTCCTGCAGCTGCACCTGCAGTGCCAACTCCAGCTGTACCTCCAGTCCCAGCAAATTGCCCCGGCATGAAGTAGGCACTTTTCTGTGCACCTCCTCCTATTGCTGCATCTGCACCTGCAGTGCGAATTCCAGTTCCAGCTGTACCTCCAGTCCCAGTAACTTGTCCCGGCATGAAGTAGGCACTTTTCTGTCCACCTCCTCCTGCTGAAACTACAGCAGCAGTTCCACCTCCAGCGCCAAATCCTTGTTCGGGCATGAAATACCCACTTTTCTGTCCACCTCCTCCTGCTGAAACTACAGCAGCAGTTCCACCTCCAGCGCCAAATCCTTGTTCGGGCATGAAATACCCACTTTTCTGTCCACCTCCTCCTGCTGAAACTACAGCAGCAGTTCCACCTCCAGCACCAAATCCTTGTTCGGGCATGAAATACCCACTTTTCTGTCCACCTCCTCCTGCTGAAACTACAGCAGCAGTTCCACCTCCAGCATCAAATCCTTGTTCGGGCATGAAATACCCACTTTTCTGTCCACCTCCTCCTGCTGAAACTACAGCAGCAGCTTCCACCTCCAGCACCAAATCCTTGTTCGGGCATGAAATACCCACTTTTCTGTCCACCTCCTCCTGCTGAAACTACAGCAGCAGTTCCACCTCTAGCGCCAAATCCTTGTTCGGGCATGAAATACCCACTTTTCTGTCCACCTCCTCCTGCTGAAACTACAGCAGCAGTTCCACCTCTAGCGCCAAATCCTTGTTCGGGCATGAAATACCCACTTTTCTGTCCACCTCCTCCTGCTGAAACTACAGCAGCAGTTCCACCTCTAGCGCCAAATCCTTGTTCGGGCATGAAATAACCACTTTTCCGTTCTCCTGTTTCTAATCCTCGATCATCTGCACTTCCAGCTTCCCAAGTTCCTTGTTTATCCATGTAATCTGTACTCCCTTTCCCTGAACTATCCTCATCATCCTTTTTTGTAGTCATTCCTTTTGATCCCGACAGAATATCAATCTCTTTTGAGCTGGAAACAGTTGCTTTGATACCTGATTCATTAGCAGTATCTTTTATTTCTGCTACTTTACCCTTTGCACCTCCCGCACTTTCTGCAAAAAACTATTTAATTTTAAAAATACTGATGTTCCCTTATTCCAAAAGTTTTTACTTTATTGCTACTTTATTGCAATTATTGCTACATTTAAATCAAATAATATTTAATAAGTCTAATTAATGTGACAAATAATTTGTAGCTGTAAATAAAATGGTACTCGATTGAAAGAGAAGTCAAAGTTCTCCTAACTCATTACATGCACTAAACTCTGATTAGTATGTAGCATTGTTTGCAGTAGAAAATTGGAGAAATCTCTTTCGTTATACTTCCAAACAGCAAGAGATTCAAGCTACTACCTGTATGACACATTTTAAAATACTTTTAATTTAATGAGATTCATTTGAACGATAGGAATAAATCCCTTCATTCCTTATCTTTTTTTTTTCTTTCTTAAATTAACAAATCTAGGATTAATTGCAAATTTTTAGGAAGCAGTTTATATCTGACGAAAAATTTTTTCTAAGGATAATTTCCAGATATTTCCCAGAAAATGTTTCTGGAACTTGAATCATTCTAATACTTCATATTTTGAATATCTCTTATTACTCCCTCAATAAGAAAATATTCTTGTGTACATTTTAATTGTATAATAAAATTTTACTTTTTTAAGGACATTTCTCGGGACTAATTTAAGGAGTGCAGTATAATGTTGTGGTTTATGAATTGATGAAATATCTCATTTTCATAAATAATAAAGTTTTACTTTATAAAATAAAACACTATCATCTAAAATGAGTTACCAAATTTATAAACTTTCCTATGATTTGCTTTTCCAATACTAATATCAATTTTTAAATTTATATTCAATCGCTGTTACGTTTCTAATCTAAATTTCAAACATAACTGTATGTTGAGATTAAAATTATTTTAAATTTTGCTTTAAATTTTAGAATAGACTTGAAAAATGGATGACTAATTTATTATTTGCTGGTGAAATTAGTAGAAATTCCGAAATGAGTAAAAATTCAAGTCAAACAAGAGGGACAGGAGGAGAATGAATATATTAATCTTACCACCTCGATCGATTCCCTTATCTTCTTCTTCAACCTCAGCTTCATCCCTTTCATCCTCAATATCTGTGCCATGTAAATCCGTTTCCGGAAGCGCTTCCTTATCTCGATTATCTTTTCCTGTTGATTTCATTTCTATCTTTTTCTCTTCTGCTGGTTTTTCTTTAACCTTTGCCATTGCTTCATCAGGTTTGTCGATTCTAAATAAAGAAAATCCATCATATGATGGGGGCTAAGTTAATTAGTTTTCTTTTTTTTTTTTTTTTTTCAAAAAAGAAAAGACAAAATTTAACACTTTTGAATTTCTTTTATAAAGATTTTCAAAATTTTTTAATTTTTCTAGTTTAAATATTGCGCATTTTTTGACATTTCGTTTCCAAATTTTTTCATATTGAAGTATAATAGATTTTTTGACACCTTTAGTTTGGGTTATTAGATTGCTTTAGTTCTAATGAAACAATTATAGGTAATGGAAAAGAATAGAAGTACAGGTAAGTACATATACATATTATGAATCTCTTTGCCATAATATAAATATATTAATTTTTACTTGTCTGATTCCTGAAAAAGAGAAATTCGTTTTGTTAAAATGAAATAATATTTCAGAAATTCAGAAATTGTTGTTTAGGAATTTACAATTTCTTGTGATCATTTTCACTTTGAATCATTTATTCAATTGCTCCCTAAATTCCTTCGCTTAGTTAATAAGTGTATTTTGACAATTAGTGAAATTCTGAAGTCTATCTTGATTTTAATTTTTGTGAATTAGCTGATGTTTTTCCTATCAAAATTAACACAACCAAAAAATCTACTTAATTTAGGGATGAATTAAACGTGAATTCAACCAGTTATAAAGCGAAATATATAATAGCAAAATAAATGAAATAAATTTAATTTTTGAAAGGCTAACTTTCTTCGGTGTCGATATGTGGCGTCGTCCTGTAATCATATTCTATTAAAACTCTTTTTCATCAATGAAACAAAAAAAAATTACATGAAAATAAGACTTATCTAGTAAAAAAAAAATTTTTCTTAAATATAATTATTCGAAAAGTTTTTTTTTTCCCACCTATTTTTCAAATGTTGATCAAAAATAGAATTTTTTAAGAAAAAAGAACATTACTTCTTTTCTTTCTACTTCCTTTTCCCACACGAACTTTCTGAAATAATAATTATTTACTTCCAAATTAATTTGACGTAATTATATTGTTGATTTTTTGAAATTTATATTGAGCAAAAAAAAGCTACCGATCACAATTAAAACTAACTCATTTATTTTTTAATCTATTCTGCTTCATTATTATTATTATTATTTTTGTAATTTAGAAAAAAAGAATGAAATTAGAAAAAAATGACCAAAAACCATCCAACTATTCAAAAAGAATGCAGTTTTATAGGACGGAAATGGTTAAGTAATCTACTAGAAAGCCTATGATGCCTAATTCAATCATTTATTTATTATTTATCATTTATCTAAAAATTTAAACAAGTAATAAACTTGCATAGCGTTCGTCGAAATAACTGTAATAAGGATTATATGCATCCACTATTTTATTATGCTAAAAAATATTATTCATTTTTTTTTTTTTTGTTTTTCTTTTTGCTTTTGTTTTTAAATAGATGATATGAAAAAAATTTTAGCTTAAATGAGAACTAATTAATTAATTAATCAAATCAACGAACTTCTACATTCTTCATACTTTTCCGCAACGGAACAGCATCTGAAATATATTCAGAACTTCTCAGGATAATATTCACAAAATGTATTATTTGAAATTTGTAAAAATTTTCAAATTTATTACAATTAGTTTTAATGAAATTTCTGCATGTTTTAATAAAATTTTATTTGTTATTCTTTTTCAATTACTTTAGATAATTTTTAGTGATAATGACATTTGAATGTATTTGCATCATTTGTGGACTTACCTGGTTTGCGAGACCCAGAACCAGATGACTAAATTAAGATTTGATTAAAATTAAAAGTTCCATTTTATTCAAATATTGATACTTTTTACAAAATTCATTTAGGTTACACTCATTTGTACTTATATTAAGTTTCTATCAAAAAAAAAAAAAAAATCCAATTAATCATTGTTAAATTTTTGATTGATATTTATTTCTACGACATTATTAAGCGAATAAATAATGTTGTTGAAAGACTTACTGTAAAAATCTGATAGTTTTAATGTCATTAAAAAAAATATTTCAAATTAAATATAAAAAAATTCGGAGTTCATTATTTTATCATTGTAATTTTTCCAAAAAATTGTAACATACTGCTTCCTCTTACATTAATTTCATGAAACATTTATAAATTAGAGTAACACAATACAATCAATCAATAACTTTTCATTCGCTATTTTATTCTTAAAATCATAAAAGTCAAAAAAAAAAAAAAAAAAGAAGAAATGCCATGATTAATTATTATTGATTTGTTATTGTTCAGTTGATTTTTCAACAATTTTAAAACGTCCGTCTGCCAATAAACCGATAAAGAACAATGCAATATGATAAAGCATTTTTTCATCTTTTATAACAATTTCTGCAATAAATGCTTTTACTTATGAAAGATTATAATAAATTTCACAATCAAAATTTATGCATATTACATATACACAGTGATAAATAATTCATATAAATAAATTCATGAAAGAACATTAAAGCAAATGATAAACAAATAAATAAACAAGCAAACTAATAAATGAAATTATTTGCAAGTGGTAAAGTTTGAAGAAAAAAAAAAAAAAAACACTTTTATAATTATGTTTTGTATTTATTTGCATACATTTATTAAAACAAAATAATACTGAAATATATAGCAAATATAGTTTGTTTCCCAAAATAATTTACATGTGATAAATAAATAAATACTAAAATATAACCTAAGCGGAATTATTCATATACCTGACCAGAAAATGCTCATGTGATGTTGTTAAAATCCCTAAAAAGGGCTGATTTCAAAATTTAAAATTATACTTGCTATCCATTTGTAAATTAAATATGATTAGTATAATATTTTCCGGCAAGAACACACATATAAGAATTTTGGATAAACTAAATTTCTAAACGAATTTTTATTTTTTGGATAATTTGAAAAATTGATTTCCTGAAACATAATAAATTATACTGAAAAAGACTACAAAAAATAAGAAACATCAATAGGTATTAATATTACTATCACAGTACAATAAGGTAAAGCAGAAGAATGCTAGAGAATGCTGCTAATTTGATCTATTGATTACGATAGATAATAACGAATAATAATAATAATAATGATGCAATAATCATGATTATGATTATCCGGATAATGATAATCTGTGATCTCTTCCATGACAATTTATCATATTTAGTATCAGTAAAACTAATTAAACAGTTTTTTTTCTTTTTTTTAATTTGTCTTCGTTATGCAATAAAATGAATAATTACTTGAACATAAAACTGTTTGAATATATATGTCTTATTACTAAAAAAGGAAAAAATTCAAAGATTTAGTTCTTTAAATTACTAAAATTTTCAGAAATTTAAGAATTCGTTAATTGATTTATTGATTTCCAGTTTTTTTTTTTTGCTATTGGCAATTTAATTTATAAAAAAAATTAGCAAAAAAAAAAATATAAAATTTAATTTGTAGGAAGAAATTTATATGTTGTCATGTGAATCCAGATGCACCATACAATCCAGATGTGAGTTACAAATGGATTGCAAATGTAGTCTCAAAACTTAAAATTACATAATTTCGTTTAGGTTTCGAAAGATATATTTTAGTTTCAGAATGGACAGTTTCCTTGTTTAGAAAGACTTTTGAATTCAATTACTTCAAAAAGTCTACAAACCTACCTAGCGTAACTCGTCCTATAATATTATAGATTTTCATATTTAGAGGCAAAATTTATGCTGTCTACTAAGATGAAACCAGATGGCACTGTTTAATTTAAAAATTAAAACTCTGTTAGATAAAATACGCAATACTTCTGCAGTTATCACATTAGAATTTTGTGGTGACAGAACCCAAATATTAATCCCAATGTAACACACTATTTTTTACGATTATATGTAAATACAAATTCACTTGTGATAAGTTATCAAATTCATATCATTTGCTGGATTTTTAAATTCTTTCGTTAATATTTTAAAGTTTAAAGTACCAGAACAAATATATAGAAAGGTTCGGTAGATTGCTCAAAAGTTACCATTATCTGATTTTGATTATGATAAATTATAATAAAGGATTTAAATGTCTTTTTTTTTTTCGGTTAGTTCGCATTCAACTTGTGAAGATTTATCAAACCAACTGTGTCAAATAACTGGATCTGAAAATTCACTATACACAATTCAATATTGCAAGAGCTATAAAAGCTAGGAAAGAACATTACATGAATAAATAGTGGAAATAAATTTGTTAAATTTCAATAATTTCGAAGTAAACAATTCATTTAACTACTGTTACACTCGCATAACCTTGAAAGAAAAAAAAAAAAAAACAGTCTAAATTGACATGAAAATGCAGCACAATGTGCAAAATTATTTCTTCATAAGCTCTTTCATTGTTGTTCCATTGCATCCAACATTTTCTGGGTCCAAATTTAAGAAATGAATGATACAATGCGCAGGATCGATATCCAATGTTTTCTTCATGAACTCTGATATTGATGAGGAATATTCGATATTTTTATCAGCCGAAAATGATCCAATTGATTTAACCTAAATTATATAAAACATGCCATCAAAAAAATCAATTGTTATTTAAGGATTGATGATAAAATTTGCTTTACTTGCCAAAATGATTGCAATTTTATCCCTTAGTAAAGATTGTAGTAAATGAATGTAACATAAATATGTATTTCCAATCCATAACTTCAGTTACTTTACATTCTCTCAAATATTCATTATACATTTCAACAACCTAAGATTCACTCTTTAACATATATCAAAGATCTGGTTTATTTCATAGCGTGTCACAACAGTGTGATGCAGTTAGAGAAAGTATGGAAATGATGGATGGATGGATGGGTGGGTGGATGCATGGGTGAGATGCATCTGGTAGATTCTTTATTCCTAAATTTTGATGAGATTTTGTTAATCAAAGAATAGAAGTGTACAAAACAAGGTGGACAGAAACTCTTCACATTTACTAGAGGCGCTAACAATAATTAGTTTAAGTTTAATTTTTCCTACAAGAAATGCGAATAGCAGCAAAATAACATATGGAAAAGATAATAGACAAAAGGGAATATGCACTTATGTTATTTTGATTTTAGCTAATTGACCCGAACCGAACAAATTTTGATAGTAAAATGGTGATTGGTTTTGCTTCTGTAAATATTAGAAGGTAGCATGAGCAGTACACGTTTAGACTGGGGTGGAAGATGTTATGATTGTTTTAGGTTAGGAATCAATAAGCTTTGGTGATGTTTAGCAACGTGTTGTTTATGCTGCATTACGTGATAAATGTTCGCATGAATACTTAAAAAGATCTGACTGCAAATATTTATGTAATATTAATTGAAGCTTAGCACCACTGGAGGTGGTGCGAAATGTCTGTTGGAGGACGAGCTAGCTCATCACGTGGGAGCATTTTAAGAAGAGGTCATACACTCTTGCCGAATCTTTCCATTGCGGGGAAACGTGAAGCAAAATGCGAATCAACTGAGTATTCTACTTATTTCTTCCTTAATCATTTTATCAAGCATCTCGTCTCACTTTTTTTTTTTTGATTATTTGTACATTTCTCTCTGCAAAGAAAGTAATATTTATAATTCGGATAGGAAAAAAAAAAGACAAAATATATATTTTATTGGGGGAAAAATTGTTCATATTTTTTAGGACAAAGGGAACACGTCAAGGAGGAAGAAGACGTGATCGAGGAGATCGTGGGAGATGTGGACGTGGTCGAGATCGAGAGACAGGAAGACAGTTGTTTATAGAGCAACAAGGGATATTTTCTTCCGGTTTAAATGATGACGGACGACATAATAAGATGAAAAGTAGCATGTCGGATGGTAAGTTTTTCACTTCTGTAATCAAATTCGTAGGAATTTGATTTTTATGAGGTAAGACTGTAATTGGAGCAATTGTTACAGAATTACGCACAACAAATCTGGGACGTGTGAAGAAAGTAAATCCAGAACATACGACGAAGGAAAAAGATATAAATTCTATAACATATGAATCAGAATGGTTGTCTGATGAAGAAGCTGACAGTGAGGAATTGCGAGAATTGCTACGAGATGGGGTACAGTTATTACAATTCTAATCCAAATTTCTTGATTGAATATGGCAGTTTAGTTTGGTCTATTCTTGATGTATCATCATAGTGAGGATGATTATCCAGACATTCACTCATAATGAACAAAACAAAATAAAAAAGAAAGGAAAAAATGAAAAGCAATAATGTGTTAAGAGAAATCAGATAACATATAATATATATATATATATATAATAACGATATACAAATAAAAAATATAAAAATATATAAAATAACGATATACACTTCGTTATTTTATGCTCGAAGTTAGATGTAAATGAATTACATTTGTTTTCAGTTCTTGTCAGACTTGAAACCGGGTAAAGTTATTCCATTAGTTCTACCAGAAACAGAGCAAGAGCAGTTCCAGATATTGGTTAAAGAAGAGAGAAATGTGGAGGATGGTTATGAATCTATGGATACGAGTCCTCTGCTATCAGCAAAGAGAAAGTTAGTTTTGAATGTTGCTCTGAAATGCTTATTTCTTTCCTTTATTTCTTATATCTTATATATATGTATCTTTATTTGTTTGCAGAAGGAAGAATAATCAGGATCTTAAACAAGAATCTAAATTTGAAGAGGACGTCAAAACGTTTCAACTAAAGGAGCAGGACACTACTCACACAGTATTGAATCCAACTGCAACAAGTAGTCGTACAGCAGCTACTATCATGCGGAAAATTCAAGAAAGTATTCTTTTCTTCTTCCCCGTTGTCTTGCCATCATGTTGATATCTGACTGGTCCGCTAATTAATAGTTAATGCGATTTCAGATGAAGATGGTTCAGTTTTGTTGCTGCAATTGCCAAGTACGTTGTCCGCTGTCAAGGAGTCAGTTAGTCAGGAAGATGCAGTAGAAGGATCCAGGGTAAAATTTTATCCCTTTTTAAACATAATTTTGTCCTTTGTTATTCTTAAATACAAATCACTTTTTATGCGTTTTTTTCTCAGTGTTCAGCCATAAACTTCAGCCAAGTATAGCTGCTATGTAACTCGTATTATTGCTTTTCTTTTTGTGATTTCTCTGATCGCATACTATTCTTTTGGAAATTCTTGTATTACCAATTCTTTTTTATTATATTAATGATTTCTGAGTCCTGTCTTTTTAGTCCGAAGAGAACACAAGTTCAACAGTAAAACACTGCCTTGACAGTTTTGCAAACGGTTGCAAAATTGGAAAACTACGAATAAGAAAGGAAGGTCGCATGGAACTGTCGTTTTGCGGGATGCCCTTAGATGTAACTTGCGGTGCTGCTACAAAATATAATGAGGTTAGCCGCTTCTCGTCGACTAGCATGCTGCTTCGGCAAATTTAACAAGAGTTTTTATGATGTATGTACACGATTTGAATATATAGTATGCCGCACTCTTGTTTAGGAGTGGGTGAATAGTTTGCTATTTTTGCTACCACTGCGGGAAAGATATCTTACCAAAGTGATCACTAAATTCCCGGAAATTTTTTTTTTTTTTGATATTGCCTAAAAACATGCTGAAGCTTGGAAATTTCAGTCAGTATTACTTATCGATTCTGAGAGTCAAACGACAACCTCGACGATCAAGAGTGAATACAGCGATGAACAGTCAGCATGCAGAGGGTATATTCTAGGTAAAATTGTAGATTCTTTCATCTGTTCACATGATCTTCCGGAGGCTCTTGATAGTAAACGAGAACAGCAGCAGCGAGATAAACGAAAATTCTATAAAACCAAAAACCAACGAGATGAGAGGGAGGATCTGGAAATGAAGGATTTACTTATAGAGTTACGCTCACTCGAAAAGAAAGAGGAATCTTGGTCAAAGTGGACTCTAGAATATTCAGATTTTCTAAAATACGATGATTCATAGTATCTACTATATTAGGGTTTCCAAATTCAGTATTAAGTAACAGTTTTTAAAATTAATTCTTTGGGATACAAACAGTGTTTGATTATTAACACGTATGAGAAACGTATACAATATTTTCGAGAAGTGCCTTCTACTTTCATTTATTTTTAAACGCTATAAGTTCACTTATGTATGAGAAAGTATTTTCTTTCCGTCTCCTATATTTTTATTATTTCCATATGTACACTATTGAACTTCTGAAACTATTTGAGGAGTTATTTTGCTGAACTTTACATAATTTTTTTCTTATTTGACTAATACGGGTTGCTGTTTGCTTATTACTAGCTTCTTACTTTGTTTTCCTACTGAGGTAATTTCTTCTTTCAAAATCAATCCGTTGTTGCTTTAACAGAATGTTTGAGGGAATGTCAACTTTCGGAAGAATTTTATGAAAGTTGCTTTGTGTGTCGAGGTTGTTAGTTGTTCTCGCTATTGTTCGATTGTAAGGCATCTGCTTTATAAGCAAAAAATAAAAAGAAAAGGGAATTTAATAAATTAAACTGACCACTGTAAAACATGATGGATTTTCAGTGGTGCCATGTGATAATTGTGCATTTGGCATTACCAGTAAAAGTATCCGACTTGTTGGTTTTCCTAGCATTTTCGCCATTAACTCCGTGAACTGAACATTGAAATCACTCGGAAATCTACTCGCGGGAACGTTCGAAGCAAGAGTTATCAGCGGCATTCTAGAATGTTGCTTTGCAAAGATAGTTTTTTTAACTTGAATTTCAAAAAAGAACTAAGGATATAACGAAAGAAAGACAACTGCATGTTCAGTGCTTCATTTCCACATAGCAGTGAAATCTGCATGTAGGGGATCATGCCTTTCTATCACTGAGTTGAGAGCATCTTTTATCGAGCATTTTCCTAGGTAATCAATCTGAGAACCATGAATATAACTAGAAACTTTGCCAATGAAACTGTGAATGAGTAGCGGGCAAATGCAACAAATCCTAACCATGGGAAAAGTAGACTTTGAGATTGTATATGTTTGTGTTACATGGAAAAGATTAGCAAAAGATCTCACAGAAACTGCCTGGAAGTGCTTAAATAAACTTGATTGAAATATGCAGATGAAGTGGTATGCAAGTGCAGACATTTGATCATTTTTTAAACAAATCACTGTCCAAATGAACTCTGAAAACTTAGTTCTATACTTGGCTGCAAACATCCATATAACACCAAATATAATCGTAAATATAATGTATACACCACCAAATATAATGTATACACCAAATATAATCGTAAAAAGAAGTAATGTTCTGAGTTTGTGATACCGTTTGCTGAATATGTCGTTTAGATTAACCTATCGTTCCGAACCGGCTTATCACAACCGGTATAAATAAACTGCTGTATAGCTGGTTCTGTTCTAATTGTCATGTTGTATCACCACTACTAATCAAACCAAGAAATAATTGACAAAGAGCAAGGATTATCAAAAAAAAAAAAAGTGAAAAAAAATGTCAAGAAGAGAGTTTTTTCTCTAAGAAACATAATTCAAAAAAAAAAAAATTGCATTAAGATTACAGATTCACTGGTCTTGATCAATCAGTATCTCACATAAATTCCACTCCTACTAAACGGTAGCAAATGAATCTTATTCTAAAGAAGCAAATAGATTATCCATTCTCTTCCAATATTATTTTACACGTTAAGATGGCCTAAATCATTACAGCTCTTCTCACAATATTATTTATCCAACTAGTTATATATATATTTTTTTTTTTTTCTAGCTAAATTTATTTTGCAAATAAAGTTCGACGCTAAGTTTGACTTATTCTAGAATCAAGGTCAAGGTCATCATACTACCTATTCCACACAACATAGTTAATGAAGGTACAAATTGTCCAGCTGATGCCATCAATCACTACTCACATTCTTTGTGTAAATACCAAAAAAAACCGATCAATATCTTTCAGTCGTTACGTTATCAAACATTTTTCCATAGTGGCAATTTTTCTTCTAACGTCTACTAAAAATCTAAGCAAACAATGACCATCACAAAGGTTAACGCATAATCTGTAATTATGAATTCAGTTAGTCTCAAACTGTAAACTCATCTGATCCGTCAATATTGCACTTTGTAATTGAATGTAATTCTTAGAGATAACATTCATCTAAGATTTCTAATAAAAATAAAGTGACATTCACAGTACAAATTATTTGTTGTTCGAAAATTTCGTCGTAAATTGATAAAATCTTTCATAATAAGCTAGATAATGAATATTTGCGTCAATAGTCGAAGAATATATGGCAAATTCAACAACCATGGATAACGTATGGAAATTATGAAATAAAACGGCAGCATATTTGAGCATAAGATTGGGATTGTACCTTGTGCATTCAATGAATGAACGACTTAATAATATTGTAAATCATTTATGCTCACATATTCATTGCTTTTAAACACGTTTGTTGGTTGCAATACTTTACAATTAATAAAACTGAAAGATTAAAACTAAAACTTTACCAGAAAGGCTGGTAAATTACATGATTTACTATAACGCTGGTACTATATGATAAATTACATGAGACATGATTTGCATAAAAATGCATATTGAAATACTTTCCAAAAACTGGAAAGTTGTTCGAAAAACATTTACCAAAATTTGACATTATGTTATGCATTCCTGCAAATTTAGATTTCTGTTCATAAATTACTATCAATGGAAAACAAATATAGACGTATTCTCAGATTGCTACAAATGCTTTCTCAAATGCACATAACGAAAGGAAGTATCAAATGACCACAGGGATTACAATTTTGAAAACTCAAAAGACGCGATAAAGTGTATATTTCATATTATTAAAATAGGTTTTAAGTTCTTTCTTCTATACGTCTAACAACAAATAAAACCTAACGTATCAATAGTTTCGCGAACAAAATGACATTTAAGAATAAGGACGACCCTTAAATAAAATGCATGTCTTTCTGAAAATTACTTTGATGTAGAAATCATGAAAAACATCTGTTTCCTGAGGAATGAAATCTCAATAAGAGTTCAATACTCGAAAAATGAACAACTTCCATAACAGTTGCTAAAGTTATCTGTAACAAAAATCAGTAAATAACAGATGAGATACAATTGACAGTCACAATAACTATTGTGAGTTATTAATATAAAAGTATTTCTCAATTGTGAAGGCTGTTGTCATCTGGTTCACTGGTTTTAGTGTCTTCCTCGGCATAACCTCGGCGTGCACGATCGAATTTACGAAGTTTACGAGCACGGGCATGTTGCTCTAGAATAAAACACTAAAACTCGAGAATAAAAGTAATTAACACAGAAGAAAACAAATCCAAACATACTTTGTTCTCGTTTTTGTCGCTCTAGAACTTCGGCCATATCAACTGTATTGTATTTGACAAACAAAGGGTCCTTGACAATCGCTTCCTCCACTCGAACTAGTTCGTACGCTTAAATTAACAAAGTCAAAATGATCTACAATAAAATTTTACTTTCAATACAAGAAAAATATAGTCAAAACAATATAAATGAGCTTACTCCCTTGCTGATCACGGCGATATACAGGCTTCTCGCCTAACCAGCGACGAATGGGAGCAACACGATTCCGTGTCGAACGTCGTAAACCTTGGCCCTCTTCTTCGGAATGTACTGGAAAGAAAAAGACTTGTGTTACAGAAACTCAAACTTTTATAATAAAACTTGAAAATGAAAAATGATAACTCTGATATAAAAATGACTAAAAATTGTAGTTTTATAAACGTTACTTATTTTGCGCGCACATAGGACAGCAGCATGTTTGTTTTCATCCTTAGCCGCTATAATGTGTACAGGAGAGGCCGAAATATCAGATGGCTGACGTGAATCACCACTAAATGACGGATTCAAAACATAATCATGTTTGACAACTAAATCCTCCTTTTTTCCTGGTGTATTCACCGATACGTTTGAATCGTTAAGCACTGTAACAGTGAACGGTGAGAATTTGCGTCAGCGCTTAATAAACACTTAAATTTTTCATTGCTGTCACAAAATGATTTTTTGAAATAAGAAATAACTTGATCAAATAAAACAGTTTTAGTAGGGCAATACAGGAAAGTTACTAATAAATGACTTTAAATTCAAATGAATTTAAATTCAAATTCTCCGTAACTACAAATTCTCAAGAATTTTTCTGAAGCTTTAAACTCACAATATATTTACCCTCCTCTGCTATAATCGTAAAACTATATAAAAGACATAACTGATTTAATTAAAGAATGATAAACACATACTTGACAGAATCCTTCGTCGACCGAAGTAATTTCCAGTGTCAAATACAGGTGTCTTTTGTTTTTTTCGGTATTCACTGGTAGTAGTATCAAAAATGAATTTTGGTTCCTCCGATGATATGTTTTGTTCATTTACGATGCTCAAACTGGCTGTATCTTCACATAATTTTTCCACTGCATCACCATCAAAACTATCAATAACAACCAGCTGGGTAGTGTTCATTTCCTCTAGAATGCTTTCGCGAATACTTTTGGAAGGAAGACAACAACAATTTTCTGAACATCAAACTTATCTTTGATTCCGACAAACAAAAATAAAACCTTGAGCATTGAGTGGAGAATCTTTAGCAATTTCTGTTACTGGACTCGTATGTTTCGAGGAAAAATCGGGATTCTAAAAGTTTTTATGCAGAGTTGAAAAATTGAAAAAAAAAAAAAAATGCAGAAAAGGATGAGTATTAATACTCTACAGTTTTTATGAATTCAATAATAGAACTATTATCCAATAAATAGGTTTGAACTTACCTCAGCACTTTTTTCAAACTGAAGTTTTCCGATTGGCAACAATAATTTCGAAGGATGGGGTCGACGTCTGTATGCAGGGCCACTTCTCATAACATTATCAACAAGCATTTGGCTTATATCTAGAAATGAAAAATCAATTAAATTCTTAGAAAAATTCCAAACAAAAAAAGGGAAAAAAAGTACCAGCTTTAGCAACAGGTGTTTTTGGAACAGACGATAACGAGCTGTCTCCTGTAATTTTCTTCCATTTCTTTTCTGTATTGGAAGTTGGACGAGGCGTTCCACCACTTTTCAAATGCTCGAAAGCAAAACGTGACATCGGTATCTGTGTGACCGAACTTGTGCTTTGGTTTTCAGGTTTAGCTCCATTACATTTCTCAAAAACTTTAAAGTAAGACTAACATAAAACATGTTTGGTTGCAAGTCTAAAATAAAGCTGATGAAGTCAGTATCAAGGAATCAAAAGAAATATGAAATAGAAAATTTCATACTTGCTGTGGTGTACGTATTTTGCTAAGCACATGTGACTGGGGCGTTAACTCATAATCAACCAAAGCGTTTCGCTACAAAAACATACTTCAAAAGTCAACACTTTATTTCAAAAAAAAAAGTTTTGCTTTATCCTCTAAAAATTAGCGTATTCAAGTTCAAGAGACTTCTGAAATACTTCACCTAGTATTAAACAGATTTAATAAAAACCATACTTTTGACAGCGAAGGCGGAGTACCATACTGCGAAATTGTTGTTAATGCATTAGTTAGTAGAGGTGTCCGAGGTGTGGAAGCTTTCATAGCAGTTGGCGGACAGAAAAAACGTGAAGAGTTTGCCAATGGGCGACGTATTGGTGTTAGCTGAAACAGTAAATTTGATTTTTTTTTTTTTCGATTTTAGAATATACGAAAAGTTAAGAAAAAAAAAATTAAATAATTCGTCGGTTTAATCGAAAACTAGTATTAAAATGAATGAAAAAAAAGTACAGTATTCGCAGGCATAATCCGGCTGTGAAATGATACCGGTGTACCAGATCCTGTTTGCGTAGCGTGACTAAAACATAGATTTTTTAGGTTTCTGTAACTAGAAGTAATCTACAAATCAGCATTAAAAAAAAAAAATTGTTAGGTGAGACAATAATATTTTAATAAATGATAAATTCTACATAAATCTTGATCATTCAAATATATTTTCTTCCAGAAATAAATATTGCATTTGAGAATGACGTTAATCCCCATAAAAAGCAATGACATTTACCTAGCCAAAGCAGCATGATGGGCATTATAACGTGGACAAACATAACAAGCAGATCCTTCAACTGGAGTACTAGTGCCACGTAAAGCTGTAGATGCAACGGATTTCTAAAATAGATGATAAAAACCTTAAAAAAAAAAAAAAAAAAGAAATACTAAACTTTCAACGAGCATAAGATTTACTTTCTTGAACAAAGGTGTAGCATTTATAGGTTGTTTTCTGACAACTGTGCGTTTCATTACTGTCTCTACATGTTGCTTAGGTGTTTTGAAAGATACAACAGTTTGGTCATTTAGACGTGGGATATTTAGATTTGTAATACCACTGTCAATCTGCTTCAGCAGATCAGGACGAGAAGTCCGGCAAACTCGTTGATTAACTGGAGAAGTCTGTGATATCTGCAATAGTCAAAAAATACAATAACAAAAATATTCAAATGAATAGAAGATGAAAATAAAATTTTACTAGGCCATAAAGAACAGATGGAAGAGCTAAGTTCACGTACTTCACTTTTTGCACCAGTTGACAAATCGACTTTATCAATACGAGATAAATCAAAGGTTGCTTGTAGAGGGGCAGGACATGCAAAAACTTTTTGGTTTGCAGATTGTGGTGATATTCCATCGTCCTAAAAAGAACTGCTTCAATTTATAAAAAATAAGAGTAAGGATGGAATAAACATGACTATAAAGCTATTAACGTCAGATAATTAGTAATGTTCAATGATTTATCCTAGACCATATCCTTTAATAAAATTTTAATAATGAACTTAAAAACTCTTTTAATAAAAAAAGCCAATCTCAACAGCTCTACTGTAAAAATAAAGAACTGGGGCTGTTGTTCTGACAAATAATAGAGTAAATCATTTTTTACAAAAAAATTTTTTAAATTTAAACTTTGATAATTTATAATACTAAAGTTTTGAAAACTAGCATGATGCACAGTGATCGAATTAGTAGTTTGCAACATTTGATATTCAGCCACTTCCATGACTTTATTCAACATTTCCCGCTGCGGAGATGTATTTTTCGCAGTCTACAGAAAGTATTTCTTTGTATAAGCATCTTTATGACTACGCAAATAGTAAAGTTGCTAATTAATAAAATGTTACTGTGAATACGGTCAGTTTTCCTTTTAAGCATTGTAATTTTCTAGTTCATTTAAGGAAGTTACTTAAAAAAGTTTGAAAGAATAACACTGAAAGACATGGTTTTAATATCGCCATTAATCTAAATCAAACTTCTTGCATCTGGTGTATCACTCGGATAATCGGTATTAGAACTACTCCAACAGCGACATTTATCAGTTCTTTCAATAAATTTTCTCAAATGAAGACGAGAAATTTAAAAAGTTAAATATGAACGAGAACTTCCATCATATTTAACTAGTGAAAGAACAAAAAAAAAAGAAAAAAATCTCATAGCTTACTTCATCAGTATGATTACAACTGAATAAGGAAACGTCGTGCTGATCCTTCTCTCCATTTTGAGTTTGACCACCCTGAAAATAACTATTGTTGCTCTAAGGAACTTGCTAAAAAAAAAAAAGAAAAAAATTTAAGTACATATTTTTAATTACTAAAAAAAAAAAAAAAACCTCAGCTTCATGTAATTTCTCAACAATGATTGTTCCATCTAATTTAAACTGTAATATGGGTTTACATTCTTCGCTGCTACTCACACGGTCTTCACTAGCAGGCAAAAGTAAGTTTACATTATCTCCATTTTTTCCCATGATGTATGTCAGGTTTTTGTCGTTGTCCTAAAATTACCAAAGTTCCATGCGAAAACAAATCCAAAGAACTTTCAAGATTTGAGAAATAAGAAAAAAGATTGACAAAACAAACCAAAATTGAGTCAACAGCCCCACACACGTCTTCATTTTGATGATGTGTAACATGACGAAAATAAGAAGCTGAAATCACAATATGTATAATCATCAGGTTTCATCGTGAAAATGATAAGAAAATGCAAAACTCATTACAGTTGTCGACCTCCATCGGTTCACCAAAACCGTTGCCTTGGTCGCCTGCAGAATCATCAACTGCAGTTTTTTCTGCTTCAGTAGCACTAATAACGTTTTCTTTGTGACTTTTGTTTACTGAAATATGTTCAGTGTTAACTTAAGGTTGAGATGAAAGTAAATTTGTATAAGAATAAAAAAATACAAACCTGATTCACCATCTGTGTTGTATGACGTTTCAATATAAGTGATACTGAAATCTGGAGTTGGCGCACGATCCGTTAGGATGTTAAAATTAGGGTGCGTTTTTCTCTCCTTAATTAGATAAAATCGCTTCGTACTATATAAGTAAAGCGACCTCCAGATATTTTTATTTTAATACAATTAACTTTTTATTACTACAAAAAGTTACATTTTATGTTTATTACAAAAACAATTAACTCCAAAGATTAGGTAACAGTTAAAGAAATCAGACATTGTCAGAAAAAACAAAACTTCGAAATATTACTTTTTCTATTCGTTCCTCTGCTTCTTTTCGAAGAGCTTCCAACTGCTCATTTTTCATTTCAATCTGCACAGGTGGAATTTTTACTTCATCCAGAAAATCTGGTACATCCTCCAATTCCTCCGAACCATAATATCCCGTATCACTTCCTCTCCAGCCGTATAATTGATCAGTGCAAATTATTTTCTGAAAGTAAAAAAAAAAAAAAAAAAAACACATGATATTAATATCTCTGCACTCAACAGTAATATAATATGTTTCAACTTCTGCCATATAAATTAATGATCAACGCTACAGACTTAATTAACTGATGATTCGTGACAAATAATTTAAATATCTCTTAATCATAATTAAATCTACAATGAGAAATGTAGCAACATAACACAGAATACTTACTCGGCCACATTTTATACTTCTGGTGTGTTTAAACCATTTCGGTAACATACTGCTAACATCACGGGGACACTCAGATTCTGCTACCAGTGATGACATTCTCCTCTAGAAATGATGCAGACTATGAAATGATTCTAGAATAACACAAAAAGTACACGCCGCAGCTCTCCTTCACCTCTCACATACCAATAAATCGTATAGCAAGAATTTCCCTCCACCCAGGATCATAACATAACTTTTTAGATCACGAGACAGACAGTGAAAATATTACGTATTTGTAGGGAGAGAAGAGATGCAAAGAATGTAGGAATAGTACCATTAAAAGAGCAACGAGATGTCGCTGTATAAGAGAGAGAGAGGGAGAGAGATGTTTGTTTAATTCTTTTATTTAGAATTCCCAGAATGCACTCCCTGCTATTCCGCGGTGTTTACAGACTACCTTGTTTACATGTTCAAGAAACGACATAATGATGCATAATTGTGACAATGGTAGTGATTAAACTCTTTTTTTTTGTTTGCAAAAAATATCAATAGAGTCTGGCTAATTAGATAGTTATTAAAATTGAAGGAAATATGAGAATATTAGAGGAGAAAATGATAAATTGATAAGAATGATAACGAAACATGAAAGATCAAATGATAATAAATTTGATAAAATAGATTAATAAACCTCTTTTGATATTAGATAGGCGCAAATTTTATGTATTAATATTGCACTAAATATTATGATTACATATGCTAATTTGATGAATGTTTTGAAATACATTTCGGATACAGTGGAAATTTCAACTCACCAACTTACTGATGTAATATGAGATATGCTAATATAATGCAAAAATTTATCCTTTATATACATTTTAATATCATATATGTTATGCATGTTGAAATGCATACACTTAAACGTGACGTGTGCACGTATGTTACACGTATGCAAAAATTACGCAAGTTTCAGTACAATTCAAATTAGGTATGATGTATATCTTAACTACATATACACTTGGACGCTATATATGTTTGTAAATGTTTATATTTTATGCTCATATTTGTTTATAATATTCATATTTCACAAGCATATGTGCTCACAGACATATATTATTTATATTTTATTATTATGAACATCGTCTAATTCTATACGAATTTTAAATATGCTGATTTATTTCATCATCACGCATATATTTCAATATTATGCTTATTTTTTCATGTCATACATGTTTTTTTTTTTTTTTTTTTTCATGAGAAAGAAGCATTAATTAATATTTGAAATGATTAAAGTAGTCTATGAAGAAGTAATAAAGAGATTTCTCAAGAGAATCTGTTTGGAACGAAAACTGCTGAAGAGAATTTCTTTACAAGTTGAAGATTACATTAACTAAATATTCAAAGTTTTTTTATTTAGGTTGATTTGATAGCTGACAACTTACACTTTTCGTCCACTCCCACTATTTCAAATTATTAATTGAATTTAAAGTTTTTTGCTATTTTATACACAGATAAATGTTATTAATCTTCTGATTGGTGTACTAATTTTAGCCCATTGTCGACATTTCCCAATGTTAAATTCTGCTAAAGTTATCGCTCTACAGGTGATGATGAATTCATGGCAAGCAAGCAGTGAAGTCAGAAAAGCGGCCAAGGACTTTGTGGTTTTCCTTAACAAAGCTGTGACACCGTTTCATGGTATATATTTTATTTAGTGCTTCCAATGAGTATTTATTATAGTAACATCCTTACTAACATAAAAGGTTAACTTCAGCTTTTTTCTCCAAATTAAGAATGTCAAGTTATTCAATCATTACGGATTTTACAGCTGTCGAGGAAAGCGCTAATCGATTAAGGGATGCTGGATTTCAAGAACTAAAGGAATTCGAACACTGGACGATAGAACCATCAAAAAAATATTTCATCACAAAGTATGTTTCATTAGTTATCTGTGGATAGTATGGGTTGCTGTAGGCCAAAAATAAATTCATATCGAATGCAAATCATTATGAAGATATAATAATCTAATCTTCAGGAACAAATCGACAATTTTAGCTTTCGCTGTTGGTGGAAAATATCGACCAGGTAATGGATATTCTATGATTGTTGCACATACCGACAGTCCGTCACTGAGAGTAAAGCCAATTTCAAAATTATGCAGTGATAAATACTTACAGGTTAGTTGGTTTTTTTTTCTCCTTACGAATCTTTATCTTTCTAAATGACAGTAATTGAAAGAAATACAAGACGTTTAAATAAATTGTCGTGCTGACTATTCCATTTTTTTAAGGTTGGCGTATCAACTTACGGTGGAGGAATATGGCGAACTTGGTTTGATCGTGACCTCAGCATTGCAGGACAAGTAATATATAAAAAAGCAGGTTTTTTTTCTGGTTTTTTGATACTGCAAACACTTTTATGAGTAGTAAGTTTTAATAATGATGACCACTGAAAATTGTATTTTAATTATAGGAACAACAATGTTATTTTGTAAAGGAATTGACAATCTTCAGCATCATATTCAAACATGACTGTGCAAATTTTTTGTGTGTACCACTCATATAAAAATTTGCAGGATAACGCGATCGTGCAAAAATTGGTGAATGTTGATGCTCCCATCCTTTTCATACCAAATTTAGCAATTCATCTCACTTCCGACTCTCGCAACAAATTTGAATTCAATAATGAGACAAACTTGCGACCCATAATCGCCACTCTTGCAACTGAAAATCTAAATAAAGTGAATGAATGCTTTTCTTTTTTTTTTTTTTTATGCAGAATTAAATATTTAGCATTTTGTCATAGATGGAAATACCATCTAAATTTCCTACGACATGATCAGGAAAAAAGTTGGACTGGTGGAAATTTTTTGTGTCTCCTTTTCACAGTCCTCGAAACTTGGGAAGGCACTGTCACAGGTTTAGAGGCTTATGACTTCAGGATGTAATCATTTTTTTTTTTTGAAGATGGAATGAAGCAATAATATTGTCGTGTAATTTCAAAAAAAGAAAAAAAAACTGAGATTGATCGATCTGGAAGTATTTCAGAATGCGAAGGAATGCTCAGCAGATGATGTTGGCATTAACTCCAGTAGTGTGGTAAACGATCATCACATGGTATTTCTGAATACAATAGCTAGTGCAGCTGGTTGTGAACCTGATAACATATTGGATCTTGACTTATATCTTTATGACCATCAGAAGGCGGTAAGACTTGAACATTCATTGATTTTTCGTTTGCTGTTGTCAAAGTTGTTTGACGACTTATCATCACAATCATTTAGGCAATTGGAGGTGTCCATGAGGAGTTTATTAGTGGTCAAAGATTGGACAATTTAGTTGGTGCATACACGTGTATCGCAGGACTTCTGAACAGTGTTGCTACAGAGAATGCACTTGCCGATGAAGAAAATATTAGATTGGCTGCTTGTTATGATAACGAAGAAGTAAGTGGTCGATAAAATTTTCCATTATTCTGATCCAATTCATCTAATAGCTTTTTGAATTTCAGTGTGGAAGTGATTCAGCACAAGGCGCTGCTAGTAGCTTTACTGAATGGGTCTTAAGACGTTTAGCAGCGGGTGATTCACGTGCAGCATTCGAGGAAGCAATAGGAAAGTCATTTATGATTAGTGCAGATCAAGCACATGCAGTGCATCCTAATTATAAGGAAAAACATGAGGTAAAGTTCAGCTAAATCTTTTCAACTTTCATATCACTGATAATGAAAGTGAGTCATTCATTATTAACAAATTGATATTGCAGGAATGCCATAGACCAGATCTTCACGGAGGTGTCGTAGTCAAAATAAATGCTAATCAGCGTTACGCTACAACAGCTACTACACATAGTATTTTGAAACAAATTGCAAGTCTGGCAGGTGTACCACTACAGGTAGAACTCTTGTTTTATTTGCAAATTTGATGGACTCTTCTGTGACTTCTTTATCAAAACTGCAAAATATGTTAACAACTAGATTGCTTTGAACTATCAAAAAAAAAAAAAAAAAGAAAAACTAGTTACTATGATCATCATTTAAACGAGAATATTCATTTTCATAATTTCACCTTCTAGACTGTTTCATACAATACGAGCTAATTTTAACTGTCATTTTAAATTTGCAAAGAAAATGCTGTTCATAAATGTCAAATCGTTGTACATATATGATATATTGCAGAAAGTAGTGGTTAGAAACGATATGCCATGTGGTTCAACGGTTGGACCCATACTTTCTACTCGCCTAGCTATCCAAACAGTGGATGTTGGTTGTCCACAGCTAGCAATGCATTCGATACGTGAATTGACGAGTACATCCAGCATTCATCAGGCTACTATGCTGTACTCGGTTAGTCCTTCTTCCCAAAAAAAAAAAAAAAAAGAAAACTTTATTAGGAAAAAACGTTGTCGGCGAAAAACGAACAGATTTACTCAAATTTTTTATTACTTAAATGTTAAATGTTATACTTGTATGTTTCCAAGCAAATGAAAGTCTGCAGCACTCACCGTAGGATTTTGTTTTTAAATTACTTACAATCTTTTAGGCTTTCTATCAGCAAATCCCGCACGTTTTGGCATCCATTTCATGAAGAGATCAACGATCTGATTATTATTAGTCTCTGTTGGTTATTGTTACATTTTTCCATTTTCATTTTTTATTGACATATTTTTCTTTTCTAAAAGAAAAACAGAAGATTTGTTAAGACATGAAATAAGCAAATGGAATAAATCAGTAACTCTCAGCTGTACTTACATCAACATTGTACACACAGAAGAAAAAAGCAGTTCTCTCAAATGTGTTTGGTTTAAAAGAAGTGCTCCAAATGAAAGCTAGAGCCAAGTACCTTCATTTTCCAAAAGATTTCTCTAATCCCATCCTTTCGGTATCCTTGTTTACCCTTACTTCCATTTTATAAGAATTACATACGAAGTAATCAATAGGCGAACTGACTATATATCTCTCTATGTAAATCCTAAATTTTTTGAAGACGAGAGTCTACATCTCATTCAAAAACATCTTCACGTTCGCAGATATATTTGAAAATATCGCGAGGTGTTTTTAATTTCTCACTTTCCAGTTCTGAGATCTCAAAACCGAACTCATCCTCCAGTGACATTATAATTTCAACGTGATCCAAAGAATCAAAACCCATATCCTTAACAAAATCACTATCTAATGTCAACGTTTCTTTTTTTTCTTCTGGAAACCGATCCCATGCTCGAATTGCTTTCATCACTCGCTGCTCAACCTGAAAATCCACCAGCTAATCAGTCATATACAGAGGAGAATGAAGTACAATTATAATTACTTTTGCCTCTATTCATATATAATTCTGTATAATAGGACAGACTTCTTCAAAAGTAAGCTTTCTCGGTGGTGTAAACGGCCCCATATCTTGTATAATTCTTGTTCCACGATATACCACTGAAGTCATAAAGTTTCTGGATGCACTACACGGTAATATCGTTGGCATTTGTGATAGCCTTAGCAAATTCACCCCTTGCGAGCATAAAATCGCAGACCGCGCAAAATTTTTGCTAAAAATACCTCTTAACGACATCTCCTATAAAATATGGTTAATAGTGACAATGCTTTTATTATTTGTCGTCGAGTTATAATCGTTCGAATGAAAATATGTCACAAAGGTACAGACACAAACTTCGGCAGTCAAACTTTTAAGGGCAATTATAAATGCTTTTAAACTGATCTTCCTCACTTTTTCAGTAAGGAACATTATTCACACAATCCTACAATTTACTTTTCACCAATTTATTTCCCGAGCAACACGATGAGTTCAATCTGCTCTCCAATCTGATGCTATTTTATGTTAAACACAAATTTCACCTCCCACTGTAAAAGAAAAATGCATCCAGACTTCAATTCTGCGAGTTCCCATTTACATTTTTTATTGGCTAAGTAATTGAAGAAACTGCAAAAAAGCTTCAGAAGTATGCAATGCCAAGACGACAACAAAGTTTTATTTCAATAAAACAGACTCAAATACAAATATTCCAGTAGACGCTTTATAATCACTTATGATGTTTACGAAGATTTGTAAGGATTGCCTGAATCTCGTCACGCTTTCTCTTTGCACGAACATGTGAACCAATACGCCTCTTCAAAAACTTTAATGCCTTCTTGTCTTTGCTGAAATGAAAAGAAGTCAAATTAAGTAAATCTTCAACAATTCATTTGCAGACAATTCATATATTTCACATATAAAATTATCAAAAGCTACCTAATTCTCAGCAATTCCATTGTTCGTCTTTCGTAAGGAGCAAACCCAGCAACTTCACGAATCAGTTCACGAACAATTTTACTCCTTTTGGTTATACGTCCTTTACGTCTACTTTGACGCATTTTCCTTTGATTTTTCGTTACCTACAAAAGTTAAACAAGACTTACAAAATTAGAGAGAATTCTACTGTGCTAAATAATGAATGCGATATTCAAATTAAAAAAAACAAAAAACAAACAAAGGAACCTTGTAACCAGCATTAAGACCCACAGCAACTGCTTCAACTGCGACCATTTCTTTTCCTAAAAAAGAGTTAAAAAAATAATTCAAGCTAATCAGCTACAAGTACGTTCTTTACATCCACAAAAAAATATAAATATTGTAAAATTGCTGGGCGGACAACAATTACACACTGAGAAAACACAAAATAAATAAGTTTTATTTGCTGATGAAAGCAGCTCCGCTGTAAAAGCAAAAATATCTGGAAAACGTTTTACATTAGCATACTAAAAAGTATGCAAGATGCGGATTGAAAATGGGAGAAGCAAAAAGTATACATGTAACACGTGGCACATACTCGCAATCATAAAATGATGTATATACAAAATGTATTTACAAATATTTGACAATCAGAATATTTTCAATTCCAATAAACAGAAGAACCAATCACACAATTACCTATTTTAATTACTAATAAGTTTCAAGTTTACAGAGACAAGAAAAAAATTACAGACAACAAAACTTTCATTTAAAATAATATTTAATTATCGAGTTTAACAGAGAATATTAACATCAAAATATATACATTTTGAAGCAGCATATGAGACTCACCAACAAAATTTCAACATTAAGTTTACAGGCTACTTCCAAAATTTTTCAGTGCTACTGAAATATAAATCCATGGAATTAAAACCTAAATTTGAATTCACTGATATTTACATTCCAAAACCTTGATAACAAATAGCAAAAAGACTCTATATATAGTACAATAAAACCAGCTCTAATAAGTAGAATTTCACGTCTACAATCACTTCAAATTTGAAGGTAAAATCCCAACGGCAATATACTGCAGTAGTAGATGGCCAACTGATTAATTAAAGAAAAATGAAAAGTTAACTTCACTCAGTAGAACTTCTGGCTCCACTATGTCCAGTTCTAAGATCCATATTTCGCATCGGCGAACGCGAATGATCATCACGAAGCGATATGTTACTCTTCTTTACCATACTTGTTTGTACAGTCTTACATCCAATTGATTTTAGTAAATTAGAAAGGCCGGATGTTATGTAGTTCGTAGTCGCTATTGAGGGACCAAATATATGAACGTAAGGGTGCGATCTTTGTTTATAGTTGCCTGCTTCTACCTGAAATAATTTTCATAAACAATAACGCATACAGCATTTTTTCCGGAAAGCTAAAATTCAAGCTTCACTAAGACAGATAAGAATTTTCAATCCAATTACTAACCAAAAAACTGCTTATGATGCAAAATGGGAATAGAGCGCCAAACAGAAATGCATTCAACACCATATTATCCGTAAGGCTAGTAAAAAGAGTAAGCACAGTGCCATAGCCCAAGAAGTATGGCCAGTTACGTTCAATAAGATTAATGCGTGCTCGTAATCCAATTCCAAGCGACATCCATAAGTATTCAAAACTAAAAAAAAATGTTAGATCGGATACATCCGTACTTGAAACAAATTTTCAGATCACGAATACTTTTCTGAAACGATCCGGTTATCATCTCGATCAATTACAAACATTATTTATATTCAACATTACTGCAGAGAATAACTTTGCTGAGCTTAAGAACACTTCGAAATAAAGGTTATCATTGGCAAATGAGGAAAAATTGAGCCGTCATTATCATACACTCATACCGAATACTGAAAGTGACACCCGAAATGAGACATACATTCGTTATTAAATTCATGTGTACATTCCTTGTTTGTCAAATACAAAAAAGACGAACCTGAATAAGGAATTAAGCAAAGTCATGTGAATAAAAGTAAACACTGAAGAGACAAGGGGTACTGGAATATTGCTGACGAATAGTGATTGCAAGAAAAAAACAAAATCGAGAAGCATCGAAGAACAAAAATCACCGGTCGTTCGACTGAAATTTTACGAAATGTAATTTTGTAATTTTCGTATTTCAGTATTGCAGTTCAAAACAACATTCAATCTATTCCTATTTACTAAATAATCTACAATCAGCAGTTGCAAAATCCAACACTGAGCCAAAATGACTTGCGTAGAATGGACCATAACGAGTGTGCGAAGTCTTCAAACACAAAAGAACAACTAATCATACCTCAGGGATAGACTTGGAGTGTGGACACCCGTGTACTTTAGTGAAGCGTTTGCAATATCAGAAGACCATATACTGTTGCATACTCGTGAAATGATCAAAGCGGACAAACAAAATAACCCATGAAGCAATCGAAGAAATGTAGATGTCTGTTTTGGCATTGTTACATATAATACAGAGATAAGTATCATATTCAGAATAAGCGAACACATAAGTCTGAAAGTCGATTAAACCTTACTCTTATTCACAAAATTCTTTTTCCTTTATCTCTTTCATCGAGATACTATAACTCGCTGTCAATCAAGGAAAGTTATACAATTACCCAGTAATTGCTTTTGGCTTTGCAACCATTTCAACATTACGTTTTTCTTTTGCTGAACTAGCAAGTCGCCTCTGTTGGAGCACAGTAGTCATTTTCGGACGCAACAGTTCTCTTTGCTTATTCTCCATTTTCCTGCGTTCGCCATCTGATATCTGATCCAATTTATGGATTACCTGAAATCATTATTTAACGGAACTAAAGTTTCTTATCCAACCAGATAAAGAATGATGACAAATGGTTAACTGTAAAGCTACCTGACCGATTCATCCCCAAATGTTTGAATAACAAAACAGAAATATATAACTCATATCTACGAAAGATAACTTTTTCTTCTCACTTTCCTTTTTTCTCTTTGATATATCACGAACACTAAGATCAAAATAAAGCACTATGTGTAATCTGCAGCTCAATAACATCTACACATTTAAATGCATCGATGTGCATGCGTCCACAGATATAATTAATTTCGCTTTTCAGTACTCACAGTGCAACATAATGGAGCTGCACGGCGCATGTTGGAAAAGCAAACTGCAGTAATCTAATGTTGTGCCTAAAAAAAGTCTTTATGAACAATATATAGAAATTTGTATCTAAGATACATCCATATACCATTAGTTGCATTGCTACTAATTAATTCCTTTAAATTTTCATGAATCAGTATACTATACTTAGGGAACAGAAAAAGTCCACTTTACACACTAGAAATCTTTTTCCTGTACACCGGAGAATCTCCACTGTCACTATACGATGAATGCGAAACGAACATATCTAGTGCTGAACTTTTCCTCTGATCGCGAAAGCTACTTAAAGTCAATACACTGTAGCACAAAAATCCGTCGTAAAAACTTACGAAAAGACTTTTCAGCGAATCTCGTAGACCATATAAATAATCACAGATACATGCCGGCAAACCCATATTTGTCCAATAACCCTGCCCCGTAGCACCAGGGCACGTTCTCCAGTGCAGGTAAGCTGCTTACCCGCACATCAGTGATTACTTCCACCACACCTGAAACTATCCATAGATAAAATATCAATAAGTGCAGTGAAATGACCAGATAAATTATAATATAACGTAACATTCTAATTACTACTGATCGATCAAACACTTCTGATAGCCATTGATAAGATAATTCTAATAATTAAAGTCTGAAATGAAAATAACTGCACCAAAACCATCCATCATTCCATCAAATCTATTCCCACTCAGCCATTTATCCACCTCCTTGCCTACATTAAATACAAACGAACAGAATCGGGTTTGGAGATGAATGGCCAAAAATCGATAAATACGTCCTATTTTTTCGTCATGCCTGCCCCTCATCCGCCACACACTCTCTATCAACTCTTCTGCTCGTCTAACTTTCCCCCAAAAATCATATAACTATTTTCCAACAACTTCCTACCCTTCCTGGCAAGAAGCCATATTTTTTCATTCTGCAAACTTCAAGCAAACGTTATACGATTATTTGTCAATAGCAAATGCAATTTTGGAAAAAAGAGAATAATTTTTCGCTTTGCTATTTTTGTTCTATTTTTAAATACATTTAGTAATTAATTGAATTCATTTATAACGAGGAAAAAACGAGCCAAATTGTTATTAAATCCGGGAATTTTCCACGTATTTTTGCTATCCCTCAAAGTATTATCGCTCGAAGATTGTTGTAGGTCGCATGTAGTCGAGTTTTCTGACCTATCACTGGGTAAATTTATTTTTGTACTTTAGTGAAGGTGGGAAGTGTGCAGTAAGTTTATGGATGGTTGGGAGTATGTGCTACGTGGGCGGTTACACGTACGTACGTGAATGGTGTGCATTCCATATGAGCGAATGTAACATCATTGCGAAGCATCACCTTACTTAACTCAGTAGGAAGACTTAAAAAAGGAAAATTTCACTTTATTGTCCTATTTTTCTATTTTTAAATGCATTCAGTAATTAATTGGATTTATTAGTAACAAAAAAAAAAAAAAAGTGGTCAAACCCAGTTGCTAATAAATTCAGGCATTTTTCATATATTTGCATTCTCAATAAGAAGATAATGCACATTTGAGTATATTTGTGAAATTTAAATGATGTAAAATTGTTGAATAATGACATAACATATACTTTAAGATGATGCATGCTGAGAAATATGTTTACAGTATAATGTCTTTTTGCTTTAGTAAAATCTTTATTAATACTCTGGTAAAGTTAATTATTTAGAAGCAGTGATATTTGTTAAACTGCTCCACATGGACTTCGAGTGTATATTATATTTTATGGTGTATTATACTGTAGTCTTGCTGGAACAGTTAGTGTTTTTTTGAACAGTTAGTAAATGTATTTTCAGCATAGGAAACTCAAGATGCCACCGCGGAAGGGTAAAGTTAAGGAGGATCAACCAGTGGTTACATTAGGACCGCAGGCTAAGGAAGGCGAAAATATATTTGGTGTGGCGCATATTTTTGCATCCTTCAATGATACCTTCGTTCATGTCACTGATTTATCTGGTTAGTTGTTAATTCTCTTCATGTTCGCTACTACACGAATAAAAAAGCGTGCGCTATCACTTGGGTTTTTTGGGATTTTCGACTATTTTGTATGCAAATTGTAATGTTACCAATAATTGCTTGAAAGTTGCGTATATAAAGGTGACAGTCTGGAGGACTGAAGTTCGCAGTTATCGGTTGCATTGTTCACTTTATCCTACTGTGTTTTAAAAACAGGCTATGTGCAAAAAGTATCTCTAGATTAATTAAAATTTTCCTGTTCATGTCTCGTCGGGTTGGTAAGCAAAGTCTGTTTGATGCGCATTCATGTGTACTTCAGTTCAGTCCTCAATGGCGAACTGTGGAAGGGACGAATGCTAAATTACCATTTGGTGTATTTCTGATTGGCTCTTTGTATGCTTATTTCATTACAACATCAAATTACAGTTGTATCACATCTTTCTAACATATTAGTTTATGGAAGATCATGGTGTATAGAACTTCAACTGTTCTTATATAGCAAGTAGTTCACACTTCCTTAGTTCTCGGTGGTCAGTTATATGTATATCAGAAACCAATTTTCACCTTCTGCAAGACATTTGATTTAGGCCGAGAAACAATTGTGCGTGTAACTGGTGGTATGAAGGTAAAAGCAGATCGTGATGAAGCATCACCTTATGCTGCTATGCTGGCTGCACAGGATGTTGCTGAGCGTTGTAAAGCAGTAAGTTTATTTTTTGCTAAATATCTCTTAAATTCCTGTTAAATGGCGTTGAAAAGTAGTTCGGAGGTAAAGCTTATTTCGCATTAAAAAGCTTCGAAAGGTTAGTGAAAAGTTGCATTTTCATGCGGCATTGACTGGAATTCGCAATAGACTACTTTAAAATATAACAGTTTGATAATAGATACCTAACTCGATTTCTTTGAATTATGTATATTTCCTACAACGACCAATGCCCAGTGATGTTTGAATTATCAGTTGCCTTTCTGAGTTATAAAGTCTCTGCTGATATAGTTTTCTGAGGGCTTCCATTAGTGTTTTATTTCTGCTGTTATTAACTTAATTGTATATGAACCTTTTTAGCTATCAATTAACGCTTTACATATCAAGTTGCGTGCAACAGGTGGAACAAAAACAAAAACTCCAGGACCAGGAGCCCAATCCGCACTTCGTGCATTGGCTCGTTCTGGTATTAAAATTGGGCGGATTGAAGATGTAACACCTATCCCAACGGATTGTACCAGACGTAAGGGTGGTCGTCGTGGTCGTCGTTTGTGAAATGTCAAAATTTATATTTTTTACAGTTTATGTGTAATTCAGTGTAATCCTATATAATCGGTTGTTACTACAGTTGATAAAAATTTATTGACCGTAATTTATTCTATTCGCAGTAAAACGCAATATTAGTTGAGAGGCTGATTGTTCTGTTGTCAGATACAATTAACAGATGGTATGCTTTATATGGTCCTTAACAGAAGGATATAGAAAAAAAGCATTCAGAAATAAACTATTGACATATTGAGAGGATTCATTAAAATAGATTATATTTGACGTTGTGGAGCGTTATTAGCAGTGTATTATTTTCATTGCAATAGATAATCGAGGCCTGTGCAAATATTTTTTTACAAGGATGTATTAGTTATTGTGATCATTCAATTGTAACGCAGTATTTCTATCAACAATTAAATGATGATTCAATGGAATATGCCATACAATATCCATTGAATTTGTAGTAAAAGCTAATAAAACAGATGGATATGATTTTAAAAAATAATATTTTGATTTACTGTACTGTAGTTATGCGCTACACTGTTTTTTTCATAGCTCTCTTATTATTATTATACATTCAGGAAGAATGCAATGGTTAGTATGTTCATTTTTGACTAAAAGATGAAAAAAAAAATATTCTATTCTGTTCATTTAATTTGGATGAAAAATTGATGTAATAATTAAAATCAAGATTCTCTCGATGAATAAATTAAAATTTGGAAATGACTGAAGTATGAAGGTAATTTTAATTAATCATTATTGGTACATGAAGTAGTATGCAGAAAAAGAATAGTGCATATTTGAAATTTTTCTAGAAATAGTTTTTTTCTAAAATTCCAATTTTTTCTTTTTTTTTTTCTGGAATAATTCCATTTTATTGCAATCAATTCAGAAATTTTTTAGATTTTTTTTCCAGGAAAAGAACAGATGAAAATATGTTTGGTGGGAAAAAGGAATATTTATTTGATTTTTGCAAGATGGAATAATTTTTATTGTTTTTTTTTTTCATTCCTTGTATAAATTTTTTAGGCATTGGTCGTTTATGTAAAAACGAAAAACAATGTTCAGATGGACAGTATTGTATTTGGGGAAAATGCCTTTGTTTTAATGGGCAAATTCTCAGCAATAATAGATGTGTTATGGATTTTTATTGCCAAAATGGGCAAGAGGTGCTTTAACATTTCAAAATTTTAGAAAAAGAAAACTGACATTTTTTAAAATAAACTATCCAAAAGGAAAAAAAAAAGATAGGGAGAAAATAATTTATCATTAAAATGAGATAATAATTGCTCATATCAAACAATCAATCGAGAAATGTTATATTAAATTAGTACCAGCATACATTTAAATAAATTTATTATCATAACATTGTTTATAGTTATCACTGCGTTAAATATCATTATCACTATATTTTACATTTGCTTTGATCACATACATTAAACTGAGCTTAGATCCAAATAATTCATAATAATTTAAACAGTGCTTATCAATAAAAAAAATTTTTGTACTTAAAATTACAGTCAAGTATCCATCATTGTATTTGTTGAAAAATGAATTTAACATTTAAATGTAAGCATAACCTTAACATTTAATACAATCTTGATTATATTATCAAAAATTAATAATTTTCGCAATTCTTTTTCTAATTAACTTTTTGGACATATATTGTGGCAAATACTAATTAATATAGGAAAGAAAACTAATCAAATCTTTGAGCTTCATTTAAAAATCATAATGTCTTTTTATTTAATTAACATATTAAAATTATGATTTGATTTCCTAACCTTATTCTAATTGTTCTACTATTACTACTACTGCTACTGCTATTGCTACTAATATTATTAAGGGTAGAATTCAAGATGAAAATTTTTTGTTTATAAGAAATTGAAATTAAGGTTTATCACGATGGACAATGCTATCATCTATCAGCAATCGGTGAGAAATGCCTTATCAATGAGCAATGCTACGGCGAATCATTCTGCATAAATAATTCTTGCACCTGTCTTCACGGTCTATCATTATCACATATCATTTAATTTAGCTTATATATATTCTGGCTTATAAGTGTGGTAAATTTAAAAATGATCCTAAAATATAAAGCAAATCCTAAATTAAATCATCGAGTATTTATATTTAACTTCTAACACTTCAATTCTTTTTATGGATAATCAAATTTATTATCAGCTAATATTTCTTGTATAATTTGATTTATCGATAATATCTTATAGCAATATAAAAGTGATAAGAAAGTATAGCTTTCCACTATGCCAGTAGGTTAAATATTTGAATTTTTCAATGCGATACAAAGAAAAACAAGTAAAGTATAAGCTAACCTTGAAGAACTTTCATCGATTTATCTATGAGATAGATAAGTTGATTTGATAAGAAAATGGTGATAAGTTAGTAAGATGCTATTGCATATCATCGATGAGAATATATTATTGTTGACCTATTTATCAGATATATTTGCTAAGAAATTCCGAAAAAAAAAGTTCTAATTAGATTCAACTTTATATATATTTTACGAAATGACCGGAACAACCGTAATATATTATAATTGAATTATAACCGGAACAGTTGTAATATACTATAGAAAAGAATTTACATTTTTGAATGTATTTTTTATCACATCTATAAAATAATATTAATCTATCAATCAAATTTTTTTCATTTTAAATAAATAATTAATTTGTGCTAGAAATTTCAAATTAGATTAAAATTTTGTAAAAAAAAAAAAAGAAATTTTAAGATTTAATTTTTATTTCTAAATTGAATTTTGCTACAGAAACAGTTAATGTGAATGGAATATGTCAAAAAAGAAATTTACGATCTATTCGTCAATGCGAAATTCATCAAATTTCTGTTCATGGAGAATGCTTAGATATTGTCGCAATTGGGGAAGTTTGTCAAATAGATGCGCAATGCTCTGGTGGCGCTAATTGTTTCAATCAACATTGTTCATGTCCGCCAGGAACTGTTCAAAATGAAAAAATGTTTCCTATTTACTTTTATTAAATTTTAAAATTAGAAAGTATTTGAATATTTTTAGAAAGCAGTTAAAAGTGTCGCATTGTTTCAAAGTTAGGTAAGAAAAGAGATGGCATCAGATAGGTATAATTGAAAGATTTGATTTTTTTTAGTAATTGATTGCACAATGATTTTATAATTTTGTGATAATATTAATAGTAATAATAATAAAATAATGGTAATAATAATATAATGACAATTAATAATAATAATAATAATAATAGCAAGTATTAGTAATATATTTAAAAATTAATTTAAGAATTCAATTTTCCAGTAATTTTTTCGTAAACAATAAAAATTATATGTAAATAGTTCGGAAAAAAAAATTTTTTTTTAAAATTAATATTATTAATGCATTATAATGCTAAAAAAAAAAGATAAAATTTATTGTTTATCATTGCAAATGAAAGAATTTCATTTTCTTTTCCTTTTTTTTTTTTTTCTCAAAACCTAATTTATTTAAAGAACTTTTTCTTTCTTTTTTTTTTTAAACTAATTTATTACAATTAATTACTAGAATTTGAGGAAACTTATATAATACAATTTTTGTTTACCCATTGCTACAATTTTAATTTTATATTTTATAAAAATTTATTCAATAATTTTACAACTTTTTCTTTTTTTTTTGCTGTTTAATTTTTATGTTATTATCAAATAAATGATAAATTGATAAAATTAATAGATGCAAAGCATCGAATTGCTCAAGAAATGAAGTATTAATTAATGGAAAATGCTTGTCACGGATAATTCCCGGCCAACAGTGCAAGCACTCAGTGCAATGTCTAGATGGGTCACAGTGCTCGTCTGTGACACACATTTGTGGTTGTATTGAAGGAATGAATAATGTTGGCGGATACTGTCGGAAATTATCGTACACTGATCCATGTGATTCAATTTCAATGGTTTTATATTTACTTTCTTCTTTTTTTTTTTTGTCTTTTATTAATTTATTATTTCTAGAAGTTTCAAAAAAAGAAATTTAAATTTAAATATTTCAAAATAAATTTGAATAATTTGAAAATAAGCACTAAATAAAAATGTATAGATATGATTAATTTGTAAGAAATATTAACGGTGTAATATGTTTTTTTCTCTCTCTTTTTTTTTAAATGATTTAAAATATTATATGACGCAAAAAAAAAAAAAAAAGTAAAGCCATTAAATTAGATTAATTATTAAAATTATGAATAAAAAGATGATGTATAAGTCATTTTCACTTATTTGTCATAAATGATCACTAAATGATAACGAAGTAATTTGATTTTAAAATAATTTATTGTTTTTGGAAATTTTTTTTAAAAATTTTGATAGAAATTTTATAAACTAATATAAATGAAATAATAATAAGTGAAAATCACGTTGATAATAATAAATAACAATAGTAATAATAATAATAATAATGATAATAATAGTGAATAATAACAATAGTAATAATAATAATAATGATAATAATAGTGAATAATAACAATAGTAATAATAATAATAATGATAATAATAGTGAATAATAACAATAGTAATAATAATAATAATGATAATAATAGTGAATAATAACAATAGTAATAATAATAATAATGATAATAATAGTGAATAATAACAATAGTAATAATAATAATAATAATAATAATGAATAATAATAATAATAATAATAATAATAATAATAATAATGATAATAATAGTGAATAATAACAATAGTAATAATAATAATAATAATAATAATAATAATAATAATAATAATAATAATAAATAATAATAATAATAATAATAATAATAATATGAATAATAATAATAATAATAATAATAATGATAATAATAGTGAATAATAACAATAGTAATAATAATAATAATGATAATAATAGTGAATAATAACAATAGTAATAATAATAATAATGATAATAATAGTGAATAATAACAATAGTAATAATAATAATAATGATGTTAATAATAGTGAATAATAATAATAATAATGATAATAATAGTGAATAATAACAATAGTAATAATAATAATGATAATAATAGTGAATAATAACAATAGTAATAATAATAATAATGATAATAATAGTGAATAATAATAGTAATAATAACAATAATAATAATAATAATAGCGATAATAATAATTTAAGGTATACGTTAATAATAGTTGTGTGGAGATCACAAAACCAGGTGATCAATGTATTTATGATTTGCAATGTCTCAGTGGGTCTATTTGTACAGATGGCTACTGTAACTGTCCACAGGGTACTACAAATATTAATGGATACTGTACTGGATCTGTCTTATGTAATCAAGATGAAGTAACTTGTAGTTTTATTTTTTCCATTCATAAAATATTTTTGTTCAAATTATTCTGAAAAAAAAAAAGGAAGAAAATAAGTTTTTATTTTACAAAATAAATATACTTTAAATATATATTAGAATAGCTAAATTTTTATAATGTTATTTTAAATTAAATTATTTTCAAAGATTATTTGAAATTAACAGATATTATTGAATAATCGTTGTTTCAAACGAGTTACACTCAATGAATTATGTTTTGTAAATGAACAATGTCCCAATAATGCTATATGCAATTATGCAGCTCGATGTGTTTGTCCAGTTGGAATGATGGTATGTTTATTAATAACTAATTTAAATAAATTAGTTATTGTCTTTTTTATTTACAACACAACAAACAATTAGTTATTGTTTATTTACAACACAAATTTTTGGTCTTTTGTATAAAAAATATATAAAAAAAAAAATCTAAAAGATAATTTTTAAAAATGCATTTATTTTATGCAATTTTACCAATTTATCCTTTCTCGACAATTTCTATTTTTTTAATATTAAAAAAAAAAAACAATTAAAATATTATAATTAATATGTAAATAGGCAATAAATGGTCACTGTCAACCTTCTCAAATCATTTATTGCAAGGATGTCGAAGTTTTGGTTGGTTATTATTAAAATTTCATTTATTATTAATTTTCATATTTGCTTACAAATTTTAAAATGAGATTAATGATGAATAATTAAAAGAATAAATTTTGTTAATTAGAAAAAAAAATAATATGAAAGGATGAGACGATGAAAATTGATAGTTTCATTTTATTATTATGTTTTTTTTTTTTTTTTTTTTTAAGTCACTCAATAATACCATTTATAAGAATCACATATACAATTTGAATAACTTTAAAATTTAATAATAATAAAAAACTTATTGAATTATTAGTAAGTAATAGGCTTATTATTGTATAAGAAGTTAATCAGAATTATTACAAATACTTTATTTCTAAAAAAAAGGAAAAAAAAATATTTGAAATTCAAATATTCGAAATTTTTTATTATTATTATTAAAAAAATATTTAATGTCAATTTGAATTTGTATATGTGTTGCAATTTGTTTAAAATTTTTTTACTATGCTACATTATAAACAACTTTCATTATTTTATGATTAATTTAATTATACCTCAATTTTAAATTATGTAACATTTATTTGCACAATTATGACAATAACAATAAAAATTTCAGTAAAATTAATTGTGTAACAATTATATTTATTTTGTACCAATTGATAATAAAGTCTAAAATTTCATAAATTTATGTCATTGATGATAATATTTTACATTTTCTTTTTTTTTTTTTTTCAGGTAAATGGACGATGTATCAGAAGACGTGTTCCAGGTACGTCATGCTTAGCTAATGAGCAATGCTTAGATGAATCACTTTGCATAAATGGATATTGTAGATGTACCAATGATACTGAACTTCTTTCTAGGTTAATGAAATAGTTAAATTTAATTTCATTCATTAATCACAAAAAAAAAAAATAATTGATATAATCAATTTTAATATATTTTATGAATATAATTTTATCACTTTTCAAATCAATTTTAATGTAATTTTATGAATTTTATGACTTGTCATTTATTTATTTATTTATTTTCATTATTTTCAGATATTGCATTCGACGTAATAAAACTAAAAATTGTGATACATATCAAATTTATATTAATGGTAAATGCTTAGATTTAGCAATACCAGGTGAAGAATGCATTAATAATATGCAATGTATTGCAGCAGCTTCAATATGTCATGCTGGTAAATTTAAATCAAAATATTAAATTAAATTTTGGATTGCATTAAAAAATTTTTAATAATTTCATTTCAATTAAAGTTAATTTTATAATTTCTTTAACAAAAGCAGAAAAAAAAAAGTAAGCATAAACATAAAAAGTAAAGAGATTTATTTGACTAAACATAAATTTTTTTATATCGTTTATGATTTATTGTTTTGCATTTTATTATTTACTTGCATATAAATTAATAATTATATTATAATTAAAACAATTTTTTATTTTTTTTTTTCATTATTTCAATTAAATTTTATCATTCAAATAATATTATGTATTATTTCTATAAAATTTTTACAGTTTTTTCTCAATTAAGGTAAATGCATATGTTCAAATGGTTATATTGAAGTGAAAAAATATTGTATTCGAGATCATTTTAGACCTTCAGCGAAATGCCCTGATAATCAGGTATGATATGATAATTCCATCATTCAATAATTAATTCAAAGTGTTACGTTTTTTTTTTTTTTTTTTTTGTCTTCTAATTTACAAAATAAAAATTAACTAATACAACTGAAATCAAAATAGAAAATTGAAAAAATCAGCTTAATCTTGAACATATAAAAATTCTTTTTTTTTTTTTTCATTTTTATTAATTATTTATTTTTGCATAAAAACCAATCATTCATTTTTTCAATTAAGGTAAATGCATATACTCAAATGATTACTTTTTTCTTTCTTTTTTTTTTCCTTCTCAAACTTTTAATATATAATCAAAATTTTTTTTTTAGATTTTAATAAATGGTCATTGCTATGAGTTTGCTAAAATTGGCCAATATTGCATCGATACAGCTATTTGCTTAGGTAATGCCATTTGTTACAATAATTATTGCATCTGTCCAAATGGTACAATTGCGCAAAATGATCGATGTGAAAATGTGAAGCATTGTTTGAGGAATGAAATTCAAATTGATGGACAATGCTATCCAAAAATTAATATTGGACAATATTGTCAATTTACTAAGCAATGCGTATCAATTTCAACTTGTCAAAATAGCATTTGTACCTGTCCACCAGGTACTGTAGCACAAAATAACATCTGTATATCATCTGGCTTATGTCCTACTAGCCAATTACTTATAAATGAAAATTGCTGGGATATAGCCTATATTGGACAGCAATGTCAGTTTACACGACAGTGTCAAGGCTATTCCAAATGTGTCAACAATATATGTCAATGTGCTAATGATACAATCATACGTGATGGATTATGCTTTAAGGAACATTGCAATAGTAATGAAATTAAAATTAATGGAATATGTTTTAAATTGGTATATTTTATTTTTAATTTAAATTAAAAAGAAAAAGAAGAAATTCAAGTTATTGGTTTTTTTAAAATTATTTTCCTTTTTTTTTTTTTTTTTTTTTTTTTTTTGTTAACAATCATAGAATTTTTAATAAAACAATGAAAACAAAAAAAAAAGTTGGATCAATCATTTATCGTAAGTATAAAATTTATGTTTGCTAGAAAATTTTTCACATATATATTTTTCTAAAATCTTTCTTTTTTTTTTCATCCTAATTTAAAAAATTCGAATATATGTAATATTGTTATTTAAGTTATACAATTAAAATTAATTTGATAAATTGATAACTTTAGAAAAACTTAGATAATCGAATTAATTAATTAATAATAGCAGTAGCTAAATTAAATTCAGGCAAAAATTGGTGAATTTTGCTATTACACGGAGCAATGTGAAATGAATGCTATTTGTCAAGCAGATAGATGCATATGTCCACCAGGTACAATTAACTCAAATGACACCTGTATTATCAATTCAAATTGTCAACCATATCAGATTTCAATTAATGATTCATGTCTTGATACTGTTTCTATTGGAATGACTTGCCAAGATAATTCTCAATGCATTGGTTTGTTTTGCTATTTTTTTATTTTTATTTTTACATATCTAAATTTTATGAATTAAAAAATTAAATAAAAGAAAGTTTTATATTCTCTAAAAATTTTTGAATTGAGAAAATTTAATTATGAATCAAATTTTTGACATTTTTTTTTTTCCAAACACAAAAAATGTTTATAAACTATTCAATGTAAAATATTTAATCTTTGATCGAATACGAACTATAATATAAATTTATAAGAAATTTTTTTTTTCTCATTTTTAAATAATTTAATGAAATAAAATTTCCAATTAACAATTTAAATTAAATATTTTCACTTTTTACTATCTTTCATACACAATTTTTTTTTTTTTTTTTTGTAAATTTTACATATTAATTTTTGCAATATTAATATTGTTTTTATCGTGCTAAACATTAATTAAACTTTGCATATATTTTTTAAATTAATAAATTTTTTAATAAAGATTTTAAATTAAAATGCAAAAAAAAAAAGAAAAAAATTTACAGAATCATCAAATTGTATGATCGGAGGAGGAAGTTTGAATAATTTAAATATTCGAACGTGTCAATGTAATAATGGTACGATATTTACTGGCAGTGAATGTTTACCGTCAACAATAAAATGTCCATTGTCAACTGTTTATACTTTCAATAATGTTTGTTATGCATTAGTTGAAATTGGACAATTTTGTTTGTTTACAATTCAATGTATGGGTTATTCGATTTGTTCACGACAAATATGTAAATGTCCAATTGGTTATTATAACATTCGTAATGCTTGTAGAAAAAATTAATTTTAATATTGATAATATATGAAAATGATTTAATTTAGTTAAATTTTTAATTAAATTTACAAATGTATATATTATATATTTGTATAATTATTTGATTAAATTTTATTTACTCTCTTCCTTTTCTTCTTTCTCATTTATTTGTATTTTATGAATAATTAATGATTTTTTTTTGTAATTGATTAGTGAAATTTTTATAATAATTTTAGAAATAATTGAGAAGATAAGGAGTTGTTATACATACATTATATATGTGTGTAAATAGTAAATGAACCAAATTATAGTTTTTTTTTTTTTAAAAAAAAAATTAAAAAAAATTATTGCACGGTAATCCTTTTTTTTTCATCTTCATAATTTCAATCGTGATAATGAAATTTTATTGCTGTAATTTTAAAAGCAATTAATTAATCAATTATTGATAAATGAGTTTTATTCGTTGACATTTTACAAAAAAAAAAAAAAAATGTTAAAGATGAAAAAAAAGAGTAATTAATATAAAGCAAAATTAATTATTATACAAGGAAAAAAAAATATAGCAAATCTTTCAGAGATATGATAAATATAATTAAGCAAAAGGCAAATTTTAAAAAAGCTTCTTTTCAGCAAATTTTTATCAGTTTCAACTTCAAACGATTATCAATTATCATTTAATGTAGCATTCAAAATAGCTGAAATTTCTTTTCTTAAACACTTTAATTCTTTTCCTACATTATGAAAAATTTCTAATTGAATTAGAATAGACAAAAGTTTGTTAGAAAATTGGAAATTCAAATTAGTTGAAAAATGAAATTAATTGTTTTCTTATATGAGAAAAAATCATTTTTAGTTTTTTTTTTCGAGTAATTATCAGCAAATTATTATTATTCAAATTGTATATGATGAAAGCAACAATTAATTGGAAATAGATTAATTAGTTATTATTATCATTACTGATAAGCTCGTTATCATTGTTATCATTATTATACAAGAAATTGTTCCACATTTGGCGATGATTTAATTCAATTCGATTAATATCCACGTTTGCCACTTCAATATTTACCGTATTCAAGCGTATATTTGATCGTAGATATACAAACTCTATCTGAAAATTTGAATTAATTATTTTTGAAACAAATTTTGAAAAAAAAAAAAAAAGAACAAAATAGATGATTAAAGAGAGTTTAGAAATGAAATTTAATCTTACTCTTCTGATTGACAAAAATTTGCTAAAAAAAAAAATTTCAAAAATACGATTAAAGGAAATAATAAATATTTTTTAATAATACTTTTAAAAATTTAAAAAAAATTCCTCACTTTTATTAAATAAGAAATACTGGAAATACCTCAAGTTTAGTTCGTGCTTTATTAATTTCAGCTAATTCTCGTATCCACATATTTACCTGTGCTTCGATTTTTCTAATTTCATTTTCTAACTGTATCACTGTTTTACCATCTACTAGAAAAAAAAAAAGAGACAAATTTCAAATTAATTTGTAGAAAAAAAAAAAGAAAGAAAGTAAGAAAGGATATCATAGAAATGTAACACATCTATCATTTCTAATGCGCTTAATTAATTAATTAATCATAATTAAAGATAGCCTAAAATTTTGATTTTTTAATTTGTCCAACATACAGCAGCACATTACCTGGTCCATTGGACAACTGCGCCACAATGTTTTCATGCCGTTTACGAAGTGACATAGCTGCTTCATTTAAAATTTTCAATTGCGCATCATTCTGTAATTATATCATTCAAAGATAACTCAAAGTTAGACGAAAAAGAAATACTTAAATATATATGCTATGGAGTATTTTTAAATTAAATTTTAAATTTGTTGACTTAATCTTTTTTCTTTTAAATTTGAAATTTTACAAAAATTCATAAAATCATACAGTTAATTTCCGTTCTCAAATAAGCTGATTTGAACGAACACAAGTAATTTATTAATGTAATTGATAAATAATTTGAAACTTAAATTTAGTTTAATCAATTTAAAACAATTAAAATTTGCATCTAATAAGTAATAAATAAGAATTATTACATTTCAATTTCTATATTTACTTACTTCATCAATGTCAACTTTCCACTGCATGAAACTTTGACATAATGCTTTATGATGTGCACAAATCATTTTAATCTCATTTAATTCATTTCGAATATCACTTTGCTAAAATTATAATATAATTTTATTACATAAACTTTTACTTATGTCTCCAAAAAAAAAAAAAAAAAAAAAAAAAAAAGAAAGAAAGAAAGAACCAATTTTTTATTTTTATTTCTTATTTTTTGAAAGAAAATGAGAAGTGTTTTCGAGAAAAAAAAATAAAAATTGTTTTTTTTTTTTTTGAATTTTTTTAAACTTTTTCTCAAAACTTTTTATTTCAGTAAAAGAATTCTTTTCTATTTTTTCTTCTTTTTACATTTATATATGTTAATTTATTTAAATATCACACTATTTGTTCAACATTTGCTTTCTTTTAAATCTTTCAAAAAATTCTCTCATATTTTTATTATTTTAATTCAATTTTCAATATATTTATATGCAGTTAAATTGATTTTCTCTTAGAAATAAGAACTAATTTTGTTGGAAAAAAAAAAAAGACAACAAAAATTTGAAATTATTTGGAACAGAAATGATGTTTGACAATAAAAGTTTAAGAAAGAAATTTTTATTTTTTATTTTTTCTTTTGAAAGAAAAGAAATGAAATTATTATTGAAAACATACCTTTGACCTCGGCTTATTAGCATATGATAGCATTTCGATTAAATCTAATTCAGTACGTACAACATTTAATTTTGTAGCGGCAATAATAATAATAATAATATGAATTAATTCGAAAATTATTTTAGCTTTTTTTTTTTTATTTCAGTAAACAATAATTAGTTGAATTTTTATTATAAAAATTGAAATGAAAACAGCAATTTTTAGTAAATGCAAAATTTATTTGAAATTGCCAATTTTATTCGTTGTGTTTCATTTCAAACACATTACGTTGCTTACCTCTAAATTATAATAATTAATTAATTAGTTTTACAACAAAAATTAATGCAACCATTTTGTAAATATCACTTCTAATTCATTGATAATATTTAAACATTTAATACGAATGAAACATTTAATCTTCATTTTCATTTCGAGAATGCTAACAAGTATTTGCTTTATTTTATAAAACTTTTAATTTGAATTTTTAAATGAAATAAATTTAAAACAAGAAAAGACAAATCTAGGAAAGCATAAATTATATCTGCAACTAATATAATTCTTAAATTATTGAATTATTTGTTTTGTAAAATGATGTGAATACAATTTCTTCTTAAAACAATCAAAAAAGCCAATATACAAAAAAAAAAAAAAAAAAAAAAAGAAAAAAGAAAAATGAAAAATGCCACAATGTCAAATTATCTATGAAATTTTTTTTTTATTTGAAAAATTTGAAAAAACTTTGTTGTAATAGTCTCCTGGGATGTTTATTAGTTCAAAGCTATAAGTTTTGATATGTTTTAAAAAGAATAAAAGAAAATTTCTTTCTTTTAAAAGATTGGCAAAAAAAGAAAGAAAATGTGAAAGAATAAATTATTTTCATAGTTTGTTTATTTAAATGATAATACAATAACTTTAAAAATTATTGTATTTCTAATACAATAACTAAGAATTATTGTAGTATTTAAAAAACAATGTATACTTTATTGATGTATTACTTTTTTAAGTTATAAATCAGTTATAATGTCAAAATTGTTATTTAATTTGATGTAGAAAAAAAAAAGTATTTATTTCTTTGTCTACAAATTTTTATTCCAATTTAGTTTTAGAAATTCAAATTAGTTATTAAATATATACAATGAGGAAATATTACAAAAAAGAAAAATGAGCTAAAGGAATGAAATAAATCATTTCTATCTGCGATAACACAAAATTTTTAATTTTTATCAAATATATGAAAAAAAAAAAAAAGTGTGACATTCAATTAATAAACAAAAATGTGAAAAAATGAAAAAAAAAAGAATAAATATGAATAATTTAATAATAAAATATGCAAAAAAGTATAAATAATTTCAAAGATTGACTAAAAAAAAAAAAAAAAAATGGAAATTTTTATTTGAAATATTAAATTTATGCAAAAGTCGTATTTAGTATAAAATGAAAAGTAGTATTTTAGATGAGAAAGAGAAGCATTTTTTGTCTTAAAATGCAGAATGAAAATGAAAAGCTAAATACTTTCTTGTTTATCGTTAAGATGAAAATAAATAAATTGATTAAAAATTTTATTTTTAACACACTTTCCACAAAGCAATAAATCAAATTCAAATTTCCATTATTTTCTTTTTCCTTTTTCTTCTATTGCGGATCATTAATTTGAGATAAAATTTTGAGAGTGAAATAGTAGTAATTTGATAGAAATGAATCATTTTTTGGAGTAAGTTAATCATTCTAAGTGCTTAAATGATTTAAAGTTATGTGCAAAAGTAGCAAACAAACAAAACAAAAAAAAAAAAAAAAAAAAGAGAATAAAAATAACAAAAATATTTAATGCAAAAGTTAAATTCAACATTTTGAGCTCACTTTTTTTTTTAAAAAAAAAAAAGTTCGTTGTTTTTTTCAAAATTATAATTTATTGAGCAATCGATAAAAATGGATTAATAGAATTAAAATTATTCTGTTTAACTAAATTACTCAAACAATAATACTAAAAAAATTTCTGTGATTTATTAAAAATTTGTTGTAGAATACAAAATTTTGGTACGAATACGAATTGTGAATTTTAGAATTTATTTTTATAAAAATTATAAAATTATATCTGTTGTTTTTTTTTTGAGATTTTAAATAAGTCAAAATTATTGAATATGTTTGTTTACTACGTAGAAATTTCAACACATCATGTGACAACCACCTGATTTGTGCCGGATTTTAATTTGTCACAGAAACACACACGATCTGACTCTACCAGTTGTGATTATTTAAAAATTTTAAATGAGAAAAAAAAAAAAGTAGCACAAGAAATGGATATAAGAGGAAAATATTAAAAACAAAATTTGTTAAACTTTGAACACAGATTGATATCCAAATAAGAAAATAGGGAAAAATTTTTTTTTTTTTTTGCTTTTTCCATCAATCTTTTTTGTGAAAAGTTTGTAGAATCAGTTTATGTTAGCCAATGAAACATAATTTATCACATTGTCTCTTTGTTTGTTTGTTAAAAAATGTCTAAAATTTAAAAATAGAATAACAATAAATAAAAAAGAAAGTAAAAAATAAAACAAATTAATTAATTAATTAATCAAATAGATGATAATAATTATAAAACAATGATTTTCCTTTTTTCTTTTTGTCTGATGATACGATTATATTTTATGCATCATCCAAGATTATAAGTATATTAATAGAAAAGTAATTGAAAATAATTTCAAATATTTGGTACTTCAGACTAATCACTTCAATTAAAATTCCAATAAAATTAAAAGTCGTATTGTATATTCAGACATAAAGAAAATAAAATTCTAAATTGATGTCAGTCTTTCACAGTTTTGTCGATAAATTGAAAATGTAGAAATTATAATTTCATTTTGGAAAAAAAAAACATACAAAAACTTATTTTGTATTTACTTAGATTTGTATGATTAAAATTAATTCAAAAATAAAACTAAAATTAATGTTTACAACTGGAAATTAAAATAATGAAATGGCATGAAAATGAAATTTTTTAAATATTAAAGAATAAAAAATACGAAAAATACATGAAAACATAAATGGATGAAAATAATTGATATATATGTATATTAGAATGAATTTAAATTGTTGATATATTGAAATGTTAGTGTAGTGTAGTGTAGTTTTAAAATAGCAAACGGTCGAGTTATCCTTTCATCTCAGATATTTTGATATTACATTGATCATCGCTTTACAGTAATAATAGCAAAATGTCATCGCCAAAAAAGAAAAGTTCCGAAAAAAAATTGAAGGACGAAGATGTAAAGACTAAAAAGAAGCACATAATTAAAAAAGTTAATAATTATATCAAATTTATTTTTTTCACTTTCTTTTTCTATTTTCTATCATTTTTTCTTCTCTTTTCAAAATCACAAATTAATTTGTCACAATATCTCGAAAATTTTTTCTTAAATTTTCTAATTTATTAAAAAAAAACTTATCAAATTAGTGCAAATTTTTGTCATGTATCTTTATTTTAGGATCAAAAAGTAGAAGAAAGAAAATTTGGCGAATCATTATCAACGTGTTCGGACGTGGAATGGGATAAAGCTGATCCAGCTTATGCATCTGAACTTATCAATGTGAAGAAGAAAGCTGTATGTTTTAATTTATTTTCAATTTATTAGTCTCTTTCATCCCAACAAAAACAAAAGCTAAAACTAGTAAGGAAGAAAAGTATGAAAATATATTTGAATTGAGAAAAACAATTCGCAAATGATTTTAATATTTGATTTAAGAAAAGAGAGAACACTTCTCTAATATTCAACTGTGATAATTTTAATATTTATTTAACTCAAAAAAAGAATAATAAAGAAGAGAATATTTCCTAATTATAATTATTTAGCAATAAAATAGCATTCATTATCATCCAATTACTTAATTCTAATAATGAAATTTCATTCAATGAAATTATTTGATAAATTTTAGCTACAAATTTCATAGCAGTGATGACAATCCATTAAATACTTTCCAGAATAAAGTGACAGTTTTTGCTGGACCTGGTGCGAAAACAATTGAACGAACAATCATTCGAACCGATACACTTTCTGAAAGTCTTGGTATGAACTAGATATTTATTTATTTTCTAAAGGGAAAACATCAATTGCAGACTACAAATAATATTATTTTTAGTTCATTGTGATTAGTTTTTGTTCGTCTTTGAATTGTAAAATTCTTCTATACACATCTTTGCTCTGATTTGTTGGAATGATTGATAATGATGATGATTCATGATGATCATAATCATAACAATGACGATTCATAATGATCATAACGATGATAATAACGATAATGACGATTGATGATGATAATAATGATGATAATGATGACGATTGATGATAATGGTGATAATGAGGATTGATGATAATGAGGTTTGATGATGATGATGATGACGACGGTTGATGATAATGAGGATTGATGATGATGACGGTTGATGATAATAATAAGCTTTCAGACGAAAATGCTGATGCAATTGGGCGTATGGCATCCGCTATTGCGCACATTTTTCTTTCCGACAAAAAAATTCCATCCGTGAATGTTTCCATTAATCTTGAGGAAAGTTCAAATGAGTCTCAAGCAGCGAAAGCATCGTGAAGAAAATACGATTTCATGACTTACAAAGAATTAATCTTCTGGTATTATTTATGAAAAATTAAATGTTAAATTTCTTTTCTTATCGCTGCTAAACTATCAATTACTGTCATTTCATCAAATTTAAAATTTCACTACAATTACAATTTCAAATCAGGTATATTAAAAAAAAAAAAATTAAATATTTTTGAAATATTAAATTATATGAATACATTCCATAATCAAAAGACAGACAGACATAAAAAAAAAAAAAAGATTACCTTTGTTTAGATATTTTCTCAGAAAAAGATAAAAAATCTCCAAGAGTTGTTGATACTTTTTATAAAAAAAAATGAAATAAATTATGCTTTTAATAATGCTGCATAATGTTTGAAAAAAAAAAGAAGTCAATTGTTAAAATTTGAAAAAATAATCAAATTTTCTACTTAAAAAATTTCTGAGAATGCATTTTTTTCAGACGTAAATTCATGTAAAAATAAATTACGAACCTTTTCATATAAATGTGTAAATCAGTGCTCAATGAGTAATACATATAATTTTTGCATCATTTAACACTTATATTAAATATATAAATATCATAACATATCGAAAATTGAAAATTTCTTCCTGAATTCATAGCAGCGTATAAAATATTAATGATGCAATAATAAAATATTCATAACTATAAATAAAGCACTTAACAACAGCAAAAAAAGAAGAAAGAAAGATTAACTTATTGAGAGAAAAAATAAAAAATAATTTGTGTAGATCATAACAAATCGTAGTCAAGCAGTACTGATAATGATAAAGAGATAATGATAAGAACATTTAGCTGCAATGAAATTTTGCTGTCATAAAACGATGAGCATGAATGCGGGACTTGTTAGTATCTCGGCTAGTTTGTTTGTCCGTGGCGCTGTTTGCTGTTAATTGTTGGCGCTGTTTGTTATCAGTTGTTGACGTTGTTTATTGTTAATTGCAGTTTGTATGATATAAGTGAGAAAGAAAGGAGGAAAATCTGCTATGTTTGCTGAGCTTTTTTTCATAATTTTATCCTGATTTAGTAAGTTAATTAACAGATAAATTATTTAATTTTTAAGACTCTGTAAGTTCAAGCAATTTCATTTAAAAATAGACAACTTAACTGATGTTATTCAGCAGAAATTCTTGAATTTCTAAACTTATTTGTGACGCTGCTCTTGTTAACATGCTTCTTAGCTAAATAATTGAATAATTAAGAATTTCCTTTTCTTTTCTTCGAAACTTTTCGCAGTGTATACTTGATTGTGCTAGCTATTCTCCGCGTTACACTGGTACTTTGATTTCAATAACCTGTGAATTACTTATCTGTCATTAATTATAAACTATATTTGGTTCATTTTGTTGTGATCATTGGCGTTACTTGTTACCATTTGTTTTATGCATTTTTAATCTTTTATGTTTTTTAGTGTTTTTCTGGTTTGGCTTTCTCTTAAAAATAGTTTTAGGATTTCTCAATACTTCTTAAGATCTGTTTAAAATGTTTTTCAGGAAATGAGTGTTCGTCGACGTCGTCCGGCGCAATATCAGAATTTATCGATTAAATATATAATTGGAAAAAAAGACCTCGAGGCGGAATGCTTTCATCGACAATATTATCATGTATATCGGGCAAGGATTAAACTGTTGAGGAATCGAATTATCGATAACGCAAAACTGTTACTTGGTATCATTTTATATCAATGGAAAGTATGGAGCAGAAACAAAATTTCAAATAACTTTTATTAATATCGATAGTGTTACTAATATGAATCGTTTGATGAAAAATGAAATGAATTAACAGCAACCAATATCAGAAAATTAGGACTTAGTATCATAAATTTTTTAAATTTGGTATTTTGATGGTTTTATCGACATTAAAAAAGAAATAGGAATGCAGTGGATAGTCTATCTGTAATTGGCGAATTTTAGATTGGAAGTAGATGCTTTTAGGTGATGATATTGAACCATGTCGACTTACAAAAGCTAAAAAAGGTGATGAAGTTTTGGTTATTGGTACAATAGCAAAGCGTGTTAAATTAAGACCAAGCGTCCTTCGTGATCTTGCGGAAGAGCAGCTCATCCTTCCACAACCAGTTGCTGAAGATAAGTAAGTTGATTTTTGCTGTTTTGGAGTTGATTTTGTTCAATTGATTTTAGTAAATTTCATATGGTCCTAAAATTTTCTTTGAGATTATGTGAAAGTAATTCTTAACTGCAGATTAATAGGCGAAGAAGATTTTGTGGAATTTGAAGACGACGACCAAATTGTACGTCTTTCCGGTGATTTTGTTATGGACGAAGTTGCTACAGGATGTGTGGTTGGTATATATGGCAGACAACTTGATAATGATATCTTTCAAGTTATTAAGATAATTTGGCCTTCTAAAGCACCGCAGCCGACATATCCAGTTTTAAACGATGACAGGTAGTTTTATGGCACTATTTAGAATGAAGAAGCAATTGTTATAGCAGACAGTCTTATTTTGCAGTGGTTAAATTAGTCTAATTCATTCTACTAAAGTAAACAACTTCATTTCGCTTTCATGATAATGAGTGATTTTGTTAAGGTATATTGCGTTCGTCTCGGGATTCTCATTTACTGGCCAAGCCGACGCTGAAAAAATATTTTCTCTTGATTTGTTGCAAAAATGGCTTTGTGGCTTACTACCGCTTTTCGAAAAAGTTTGTATATTTTGAAACTATTTCTTAATTTCAAATTCTATAACATAAAACAGTTTAGGTATCACTCAGCAAAGCAGACAACATACTTCTATAATTTTCATGTGATTACGTGAAAAATGTATTTCTGTTTTAATAATTGAAAAAAAAGCTTTCCTGTAAATAGGTTACCTTCAGGAGCGTGATATTGTAGAAAGAACAGTACGATTGGTAGTAGCCGGAGAAAGTGTTGCTATCACGGAGCAGGTAAACTGCACATTTAATGCGATTTGATATTATTTATTTCATTCGAAAAAAAAAGTGGTAAGTTTACTTTGTAATATAAATTTACTTTGTACTTCGAAAGTCCTTGAGATTTTTTTTCAGGGGAGAGAATTTACGACAGCTGCTCGTTATCTAATCAAAAATGAGGAATGTCCAAACGTTGAATGTGTAGCACATATGGATAAATTTTTATCAAAGATATCTGTAAGTTGAGTATGTTCTTGATAATTATCCGCCGTGATAAAATTTTTAAATGCATACATTTGCATTAAGTAATATATTTTTGATTACAAATCATTAAGTAGTATTTTTGATTACAAATCTCTTATCTCCATAACCAGAGTTGAAGAAAACTTTATTCACAGAATTTGCTGGAAGTTGATGTGATGCCTGGCCTAGGTGATCCATCTACTTATTTAATGCCTCAGCAACCCATTCATCGTGCAGTATTTGTAATGGGTTCAAAATACGGGAGAATGCTCAATCTTGTTACGAATCCTTACGAATTCAGCGTGGAAGGCGTTCATATTTTAGGAACATCCGGTAAGTCAAATCAAAATCGGTAAATTTGTGTGTTTTTAATTGTTTTTTTTTTAAAGCTACACTGACTTTTGCTACAAATTATTGGCATTTAATTTTTAGCTTCTAATTGAAATGGACCATCTAATTTTGCTGCTCATCTGTCATATAGATACAAAGTTTATACATAAACTATATATATATAAATTGTTCATGCCCCTAATTTCATATTTGAAAAGGTTATTGCATGCAATTTATTAACAAACTTTTCTAGGAGAGTGCTTGTCTGATCTCAAACGTTTTACGAAAACATTAAGTGGTGTTGAATTACTTAGCAAAGTTCTGGACTGGCAACACCTGGCACCGACTATTCCGGATACCGTAGATGGATTTCCATTCATAGATCGAGACCCATTCATTATTGAATCATTCCCTCATATACTTTTTGCTGCTAATCAGCCGGAAGCATCACATGCTTTAGTTGAATTTGAAGGAAATCGGCGAACACTTCTTCTTTCCGTACCGAGTTTTACAAAAACATTCTCAATGGTGCTTGTAAACCTACGGAATCTTGAAGTTATTGAGCATAACTTTTTTGTTGACCGGCTAATTTGTGACATTTAATGCATCGTGCAATCTGTGTAGTTTTTTCTTCTACTTGATATAAAGGAAGCATAGATTAATAAATTTTTACCAGTAAAAAAGTATGCGTAGAAGGTAAAGGTATAGCAAAAATTACATCGTGGCAAAATGAAAATAAATTAAAAGTATAGATTAAAAGATGACAAATTTTAAGATAGTCCTAAAAAAAGTATCGTCGCGACATTTGCAACAAAACATTGTTAACTAATTGTGACATTGCATGGTAATGATAAAGTTAAATAGTAGCTTGAAATCATGTCATTGCATGGATATTTCTACATATACAAAATTGGCATATTTAAATGTAAATGCTAAATTCTATTTTTGTTCATTTTATACCTTTATATTGAATTGATGGAGTAGTAATGATATTTAGTAATACATAAATCAAAAAGTTTATTGCATTTTAGGAGCATGCAAGAAGTATTGAATTGATGATAACTAGCATAAAATGCTTAAAATTGTAAATATGCTTTATACCAAACTTAAGCAAATCACTGAATTCATTTATTTCAGTTTTTTATTCTCACGCAGCATTACGTATTACTGATGGGAGTATGTATTATATGTCTCTAGCAGTTACTAAAATTTCTTTTTTGTTCGTTGTAACCAGGAAACTAAACAGATTCAAAGTACACGTCCGAGTGCGCAAACTGTAATGTACCCCGTGATATTCTTTTACGGATGGTTTTAAGCTGTTCTTTGAAATCTTATTTCTCTTTAAAAGTGTAAACAATCAAAGGATTTTTTGATATCATTTATAATGATCTTAACTTTTATTCTGATTTTTCTTTTTTTTAAAGGATTTATTGTTAAAAATTACCTGGGTTTTCTTCTTTTTCTTAAAAAAAAAATATTTTTTAAAGGAGCAATTCATCAGAAATTATTCGAGTACTTTCATAAAAGAATGTTTAAAATTAATTACTAAAGAGTTCCAATAAGTAGCATAATGTCCATTATTGGTTTTCTCTTATTTTTCTTTTTTTTTTTTGATTTGTATCCTTCGGTGACATATTTTTCTAAAATACTTTTCAGCATTCAATGTTACACTCTATCACTTCAACTATTATCATTTATCAGCAATAATCACTCTCATGCTTGATGCTAATACTTCTTTACTGTACTATTGTTATGTAGTCTACAAAAGTAACATTAAGTAAACAAATCATTCTTTTATCATTGCCAGTATTAGTGGTCAATCAGTAATCAGTCGATTAGTTAATCTGTTTACTTCTCCACTTCATATTTTAAACTAATAACAAAAATGGAAATCATATCAAATGAAAGCAATTCATTTTTATTTCAATGATCATGTAAATTAAACAAAAAAAAAAAATGTCAAAGCACAAAAATGTCACTTAAAATAATTTAATAACAAAAATTTTTTGTTTAGAAATGAAAAAGATAATTTAAATAATAATTACAAATGAAAAAAAAAAAAAAAAAAGAAATATTCAAATATGTTTTATGTGCTAAAAGTTTCGCAAAGCGTAAACAATCTGAAAGAATATAATCATACAAATGTGACAGATGCGACAAAACGAATTTGATAATTTGATTAGTTTAACAGTTCGAAAGAAAATATCTAAGTGATAAAGGAATGAAAATAAGATAATATAAATATGAAATATACTGCAAATGATTTGAAATAAAATTATAATTTATCATGATATGAATATAAAATGTAAAGATTTAAATGAAAGTTTGTGATTGCATAGCATTTACACTAATTTAGCAATAAATATTTTAAATGATAGAAAAAGAAAAAAAAAATTATTCCATAGAATTCTAAATATTATTTTTATCATTTATTATTTATCGTTATTTCATAATTGACTTTTAAAAAGTAATTGATAAAATTTTGGATGGAAAATTTTAAATTATATTTGGGTAAAATTTTAGTCTTATTTACATCTATTTTTATCACATTAAATTCATTTACAAAAGCAAACTCTATGACAGAATATGTATAAATTTTATTTTAAAGGTAGTTTATGTTTTTTTTTTTTCTATTTTTGTTCGAAAATTAAAAAATTATTTCAACAATTAGTTTTCAATGATTGATAAATAATTTTTAGTAATTTGCAATATTTGATTAATTAATTTATTTTGATGCGTTTTGATCGCTCAAAATGCTTTATGATCATGATGATGGGAAATTTTGAGAGAAATTTTTTTTATTTATTCAAAAATTAAAAATCTTTGATCAATTTAGTAATTCTTTGAAACGAGCAATTTTTAGCCAATAATTTGTTTAGAAAGAAAAGAAAAGAAAAAAAAAAAAAAAACGAAGAAATTTCTATAAATGATAGATCATCTTTCAGCGATTAAAGATTTGCTGCTGTTCAATTTAATGTCTTTAACATTTTGTTTGTTTGTTTGTTTTTTTTTAATTCATTTTATTTCACATCACTTCATCTTTTTTTTTTTTTTTTTTAACTAAACAAATTTTTATTTTTTAAAAATTTGTTTTTTTTCACAAAAACTTTGTTTAAAGTTAATCGATCTTATCATTTGTGTGTTCTATTAATGCATTGAGCAAAATAATATGATTCATATGCAATTATTAATGATAAAAGAATTGAAATTGATGTAATTTGACGTAAAAATTGTGGAAAATAATTTTTGGCAAAATATTTGATAGAAATGCATTAGTCAACAAAGTGTCAATTTAAATCAGTAAAGAATGTTACAGTAATCAAATGATTTGCTTCTTTTAAAACGATTAATTTTAAATCATTTCTCTAGTATATGCTATTGATAAGAGAAAATTAATCTTAGTCTTTTATATATCACTTATCACTCAGTTAAACTTTAGTGATAAAAGAATACAAATGAGTTTTTTTTTTTTTATATCATATCATTCATTTGAGTTTTGGTGATAAAAGAATGATAGAATAAAATCAAAAATGTTGTATACTCATCAATAATCATAAACTTATGCAAATAATAATCAAAATTTATACCTAATTATACAAATATTCCTCTCTCTCTCTCTTTCTCTCTGAGTGTATGTTTGTTAAAATTTTTTTCAAACTATTCAATGATATCATTCTTTATACTTTTATCACAAATATATCGAATATCTTAAGTGTTATAAAAAATAACTAGCTGTAAAAAAATTCTTAAATAATCTCTTCACACTTTTTTTTCTCTCTCTTTACATCTATCATCATATTTCTTTCTCATTTTTTATTTTCTTTTCCTCTTTTCATCTACCTTTTTGTTTACATTTTTATTTATTATCACAAAATGAACTTACTTTCATCCAATCACATAAGCAAGAAAAGAGTAAGCAACCGGAACAATCCTTCAAATCCATTATAAAATACATCATTTTCAAATGTTTTCCTCATTATTATTCTCTCTTCCTCCTTATTTTTGCTACAAAGTTTATTCTATCATTTTCAATTCATTAATTATTTATGAAAAAGAAATTCACAATTGTTCATTAATTAATTATTTATAAAAAATTTTAATTATCAATTCATTAATTATTTATGAAAAGAAATATTCACAATTGTCGTTTACTTGTCTCATTTTTTCATATATTATTTTAAATTCATTAAATATTTATATTGGAATTTAATAGCAAAAATAAATTTTCAAACATTTTTTAGAAATTATCAGAAAAAAAACCTCAGGTAATATCTTTCCATAATAAATTATTCTTATCACAATATATTATATATAGATTCATTTTTATAAACAAGAATAGATATAATTTATATTTCATTCATTTTTTTTTTTCGATGCTAACAATTTACCTGTCTATCAGCTAATTATTAGCTATAAGCTAGGTAATTATTCAACTAATCTATCGTTATCATTAATACAATAATAATATCATAGAATCGAGTAGCAATCTTTCATTTTTTTCACTTATCAATGTTTTTACTGATAAGATTAGTTACTGATTTACTACTGCTACTTTAAACTTTATAAACTTTTCAAATGTTAACAATGATTTATTCAAATTTATTATTAAATATAATACATAGCACATATTGTATGTTTGGGAAGAGCTTTCTGTTATTGCTTGCACACAACTAAATTTGCACATGAATGTATGCATGCATGCATGCACGTGCAATGCTATTATTGAAAATTGCATTCATCAAGGTTTTTTCATTAATTTGCTTTTTTTTTTTTAATTATTTGCTGCGGTAGATTTAATTTTTATAATTTATATATACTTTTGAAGCTAAGAAGTATCTCAATTATGTACAGACAAACACACACACACACACACACACAGAGACAGACACTCATATGATATCATCTTATCTCTTATCAATCTTATCACTTTTCCTGATAATACTCAAGAATTTTTAAATTATCAATCAAATCGTTTCTTTTTCTTTCCTCGAAACATGCATATATGATTATTAATTTTTCACATATAAATTTCAAATATTTTTCAGTTTATTAAAAAAAAAAAAAGAAAAACTTTACAAAATTGAATAATTTTGCTTTTCTAAAAATATTTAATCAAAATATTATTTTCTTCAATTAGTATTATTACTGCATTTTCTAAAACAAAAATAGCATACTAAAATTGTAAATAACAAAAAAAAAAAAAAAAGGAAAAAAAAAAGCAGCTGCTAACTTTTGCTTTTCAATGATTAGTAAATGTTGAAAATTTCGAGGAATGAATCTTTGGTTTGAGTGATTTGCAGAAAAAATAAAAATTTTAAAGTGGAAGAAAGAAAAAAGAAACACCGAACTGCTAATTTAACTTTATCAATTTAAATAATAATTCATTATTATTTAACTACTCAAAAAGCATCAATGAAATAATTGTTCTAAAATTGCTAACATTTTATGTTTTCTTTATTTTATACCAATTTATGGATATTGTCAATTAATTGATATCACAGTCAAAACTATTAAATTTATCAGTGACATATATCAATTCATCAGTGTATAAATTTAAAAGCTATTAAATTTAAATTGTATTTTAATATTTAAGCCATAAATTTTTGCAAATTAACAAAAAAAGTCTATTATATTATTCATTACAATAAATGTATGATCAAAACAATATAAACTTGAAAAAAAAAAAAGAAAATTTTGAACTGAAATGGATGAATGAAAGATTTAAGAAAATTCTTTGCAATTGATTGATTTATTAATCCATAAAATCTTCAAAACTATCCAGTATTATTATTTATTTTATGTGCTCTTTTTTTTTTCTTTTTCATTTCTTACTCTTTTTAAAATGAAAAATCTTTTGATAATATTTTAATATAACAAATTTCAAACTCAATAGAGTCTTCTTTTCTGGCTGTGTTTGTCAAGCCCGTTGCCTTGGTATAATAAAAAAAAAATTTAAAAAAAAAAAAAAAAAAGAATTTAATATAGCAAATTTAAAAGAAAAAGGTTAACAAAAAAAAATTTTAAATAAAAATTAAGATTATGATTGTTAAAATATTATATTAGTGATAAAATTTGTCTATTATCATTATCAAATGATTCTATATAATAAATTGATAACTTAAAAGTAATCAATGCTTAATTTACAACCGCATCACCTGTCCAACTTTCTTCCCTTACCTTTCCCTTCTAACTTCAGTCTCTCCTTCTACTCCGTCGGTCATCCTCATCCCATCAATCCAACTTAATTTAAGTATTACTGTCATTCTTCTTCCATCCCTTTTTACACATTCTTTACACATTCGGAACGAGTGGCATTGAATGAAAAGTTTGTATGCTATTTGTGATATATTTCTAAATTCACTGATTACTTTCACTAATTAGTAATTTACGAAAACAAAACAAATAGCTGCAATGTTTGAAAGAGATTTTATTGTAAGAATGATCGAATGAAATTGGTTTGTTGTTGATTTGTCATTTGTATGCTTATTTATTTGCGTTTAAGATTATACATTATATAATATAAATTACGTAATACAAACGTATATAAAGACATGAGTTACGTAAGTACAAACGTATACAAAGATATAAGTTACGTAATACCAACGTATACAAAGATATTAGTTAAGTAATACAAAAGTGTGCAAATATATAAGTTACTAATAAAACTTATACAAACATATAAGTTACGTAATACAAATGTATACAAATATGAGTTACGTAGTACAAATGTATACAAATATGAGTTACGTAGTACAAATGTATACAAATATGAGTTACGTAGTACAAATGTATACAAATATGAGTTACGTAATACAAATGTATACAAAGATATGAGTTACGTGTACAAAAGTTACGTAATATGGTGTATGTGTATGTATATGTGAGTTATCTAACATTGAAAAAATGTAAAGTTGTTTTTTTTTTATTGCATAAATGTAATCACAATATAAAGTGCATTTTAAGTATAATTTTTTTTTGCATTTCATTTTAAAGTAAATTAATGTATTTCATAGCTTAAACATGCAGCATACAACATGCAACATGCATAAAATGCACGTGTTTTGCATGCATATTTATTGATGCATGTTCACTAGCTATTTTATATTGATCGCATTGCTAAATGTAAGTAAGTAAGTAAGAGATATTGGTGGTGTGAGTGAATAAATGATGGATGGATGAGTCAGTGAAAGAGTTGTATGTTAGATTTTGTGAGAGAAATAAATGTTTTTGTTAATTTTAATTTTACTTCATTTCAATCTTCATTCATTTTATCATTTCATTGTTTATTATTATTATTATTATTATTTTTAAATTCATTACTTTATCAGTTTATTTTATTAATTTTATAATTTTAAAAATAAGAAAGGTGAATAAAATGGGATAAAATATTATGTTAATATTTTTAAATGAAATTATCTTCTCTCTCTCTCTCTCTCTCTGTCTCTGTCTCTCACTTTTTTCTTTTAGTTTATTAAATATAATTTAATTTTCATATATATATCATAATGTTTTAATTAGGTGAAATTTTTTGAAGAAAAAAAAGAATAATTTGAAATTAAAATTTTTAAATTATTATTATTTAATATTATGGACAATTTTTATTTATATGGATTTGTGAGGGGTCTACTGATTGATTAATTCATTGGTTTATGGTATAAAAATAAAGGAAGGATATTGAAATTAGCACAGAATTTATTTCTTTATGTAGTGATAATATGATAACTTGATAATGTGATAAGATATGTATATATGTTGTATAGTGGAGAGTGCTGCAATATTGCAATATTATAGATAGATTAGGATAACCTTGACATAAGGAGGTCAAATGCCAATCATTTTATGATTATTTGGGTAAATGTTGAAGAATGTGCTAACCCTTTTATGATTATTTGGGTAAATGTTGAAGAATGTGCTAACCCTTTTATGATTATTTGGGTAAATGTTGAAGAATGTGCTAACCCTTTTATGATTATTTGGGTAAATGTTGAAGAATGTGCTAACCCTTTTATGATTATTTGGGTAAATGTTGAAGAATGTGCTAACCCTTTTATGATTATTTGGGTAAATGTTGAAGAATGCATTAAGCAGAAAAAAGAAAAATTTTTACCATTTAATTTTCTTGAAATTATTTTGTTAAAAAAAAAAATCATATTTTAACATATGCTCAGATTATTGTTTAATTGATTGATTGATAGATAGTTGGATAGATGGTTGGTTGGTTGGTTGGATGGATGGATGGATGGTTGGCTTCTTTGATTTATGCTATTTTTATTTTTGTTTTTCCAAGGGTGTAAACGAGAGAGAGAGAGAGAGAGAGAGAGAATGAGGAAGAATAAAGCGTTTTTTTTTTTAGTATAAAGTTTCACTCTTAATAAAAGTGCATTTTTCAGGAAAAGAAGAAAAAAGAAAAACATGCCATCTCGTTCACTTGCCTCACTTAATGATCCATCAAAATTGGTTTCTTTCTTTTTTTTTTTTTTTGAACTTAAAAATTTTACATTTAAAAAGTTGTTTATATTCAATTTATGATTTTTTTCAATTTGTCTTTTTTTCTTTCTTTTTTTTTTTTTTTTTCAACTAAAAATATTGTCAAGAAAAAGAAAAAAAAAGGGTTTTTTTTTCTTCAGAAAGTTACCGAAGTGGTCAGCTATCAACTTAATCATATACCTATCATCAAAGGTCACTTCGAAAGTTTATCAGAGAAAGCACAATTATTCATTGCTGAAAAAGCTGACCTGCTAACACCACGTGCAATTTACATTTGTGATGGTTCTGAAGCAGAATATAAAGAGCTAATTGGTGAATGCTTAGAAACAGGTGTTTTAACACCATTAAAAGCATACAAAAATAATTATTTGTGTCGTACGGATCCACGTGACGTAGCTCGTGTTGAATCAAAAACATGGATGATTACACCTGAGAAGTATGATTCAGTTTGTCATACAGCTGAAGGTGTAAAATCAATCATGGGTCAATGGATGTCACCTGAACAATTTGGTAATGAATTGGATGATCGTTTTCCGGGTTGCATGAATGGTATGAAAAGCAAATTTTCTTTTTTTTAAAAAATTTTAATTAATTTTTTTTAATATCTAATTTTTTCCTATTTATATTTATTTTATATTAAATTTGATGAAAAAAAAAAAAAAATATTTGATAATTTACAGGTCGTACAATGTATGTTGTACCATTTTCAATGGGTCCTGTTGGTGGTCCACTTTCTAAAATTGGAATTGAACTTACCGATTCTGTGTAAGAATTAAAGTTTTTTTTTTTTTGCTTCGATTTGTTTAATTTTTAAATTAATTAAATAGTTAGAAATGATTTCATCTCTCCCTCTCTCTCTCTCTCTCTCTCTCTGTAATCTTTTATTTTATTATTCTTATTTAGATATGTTGTACTATGCATGAAAATTATGACACGAATGGGTGCACGCGTTTGGGATCTTTTGAAAAAATCAGGCGGTGATTTTGTGCGTTGCATTCATTCAGTTGGACAACCACGTCCTGTTCTTAGTAAATTTTTCTTTCTTCTTTTAAATCTTTTAATAATTATATCATATTTTATCATCAATTTTGGTTAAATAAATTATTATTAATTTATTTCATGCAAATTTCAGCCAAGATTATTAACAGTTGGCCATGCAATCCAGAAAAAACAATCATTGCACATCTTCCGGCACAACGTGAAATTTGGTCATTTGGTTCTGGTTATGGTGGTAATTCACTTTTAGGCAAAAAATGTTTTGCTCTTCGAATTGCTATGAATATTGGTTATGATGAAGGTTGGATGGCTGAACATATGTTGGTATGTTAATGTTAATGCTAGACATTTTAGGATTAAATTAAACTTTACTACAACAAATTAATCTGTTCCTTTCTTTGATTTTTTCATCTTATCAATCTATGATTGTCAATTACTTATCATTTAGTCTAATGAAGGGATAAGTTTTTTTTTGTTTTGAAATGAGAAGAATTTTGGAATAATTGAATTTTATAGATCATGGGTATTACCAGTCCGCAGGGAAAAGAACGTTTCGTTTGTGCAGCATTTCCATCTGCATGCGGTAAAACAAATTTAGCAATGCTTGAGCCAGCTGTTCCTGGCTGGAAAGTACGCGTTGTTGGTAAGTTTTAATTAAGTATAATAATATATCAGATCTAGAAAAAAGAAAAATAATGAAATTTGATTGTAACTTTTAAATGAATTGTTTTTTTATAGGTGATGATATTGCTTGGATGAAATTTGGCGCTGATGGTCGTTTATATGCTATAAATCCGGAAGCTGGTTTCTTTGGTGTAGCACCTGGAACATCTCACAAAACAAATCCTATGGCAATGGCAAGTTTCCAGGAAAATTCGGTCTTCACAAATGTTGCTGAAACCGCTGATGGTGAATACTTTTGGGAAGGACTTGAGAAGGAGGTGAAAAATCCGGTAAGTTTTGTTTTGCTTAACTTGTATTATCTGTATTATTTAGTTTTTTATAAATATTTTTCGATGCAATTAATTTTTTTTTTTTTTTTCTGTTCTATATGTGTTTATAAACGGTTTGAAATTTAGAAGGTTGATATGATTGATTGGCTAGGAAAACCATGGCATCTTGGAGACTCAACGAAATCATCCCATCCAAATTCACGATTCACTGCACCCGCAGGTCAATGTCCGATTATCCATCCAGACTGGGAAAAACCTGAAGGTGTACCGATTGATGCAATCATTTTTGGAGGCCGAAGGTTTACTGTGTTCAATTCGAATGATAAAAATATTCTTTAGCAATGTCTATTAATATCTATGGACAAGTGATCGATTTTTTTTTCTTTTTTTTTAAGATTTTTCCACGTTTCTTTGATAGAGAGAAAGCGGAGGCAAACTAAGAGAAATTGACGTAAGCAGGAAGGCGAAAAAAATTTTAATTCTTTAAAAAGCAATCAACACCACCAATGTTTATTTTATTTATCAAATATATAAAGTTTACTTTAAGGCCTGAAGGTGTACCACTTGTATTCGAGTCACGCAGTTGGGTACATGGTATTTTCGTGGGTGCATGCGTAAAATCAGAAGCTACTGCCGCTGCTGAATTCTCGGGTATACAGTATAAACATTTTAAACCAATCTATTTAATGAATTTTCTTACCTGCGAATTCTATATTGAGTTGCAATCTGTTAAGTTTTAAGACCTTCAACCACTCAATATACTTTAAATATATTTTTTCTTTTATCAATTAACTGTCATTTCTAATTTAGGTAAACAAATTATGCATGATCCAATGGCTATGCGACCATTTATGGGTTACAATTTCGGACGATACATGCGTCATTGGATGAAACTTGGACAACCGCCACATAAGGTTTACTAAGCATTCTTTTTATTTCTTTTTTTTATTTCTTACTTATTATTTATTTAAAATTACTATTAGTATATCATTATGTATGACAGTTGGTTTAATATAAATTTTTCAACGAACGAAATGTTCTAAATCGATTTATTAAAGGTACCGAAGATTTTCCATGTCAATTGGTTTCGTACAACTGCAGATGGCAAATTCTTATGGCCTGGTTATGGGGAAAATATTCGTGTTTTGGACTGGATTTTGAGACGTTGTGATGGTGATGACAGTATCGGCTTTGAGTCTCCAATTGGTTATATACCGAAAGAAGGTAAATGTAGAAGAAATGAAAAATTAGACTTTGCTTTTGCTGTTGTGAGCGATTTAGAATTATGTGAAGTTTTCCTTTCAAGAAAAGATGGCAAATTTAGGTTCGATTAACCTCAGTGGTCTTCCAAACATTAATTGGGCTGAATTGATGTCATTACCGAAAAAGTATTGGGTAGAGGATATGGAAGAAACCAAACATTTCTTCGAACAGCAGGTAAGTCATTTCACAACTGCAAGTACTAGGTAATTTAGAGCAGTATAATTCGTGATGAATGATTTCAATTCAAGTGGAATTCATTCCTTACTTTTCAGGTTGGCTCAGACCTTCCTCCCGAAATCGCAAAGGAGCTTGAAGAACAAACAGCTAGAATCAAAGCTATGCCATGAAATTAACACTCAACAACAATAGTTATGAAATGACTTTTTTCTCCTCAAATGTTCTCAGTAACTATTGAAATATGAATTATATTTTTATTTTGTCATTATAATCTGTTAGGTTTATGCAGTTAACTTTGTTAGAATCTATAAATTATTCCTGTAAGTAGGATCATCAATAAAATTTCTAAAGAGATAATATTAAGGAGTGAGTTGATTCTGGACTTTTTGTCACATTTAAGCATTCACCATTAACTGATTATTCCATATTCTCATGTGTTTGCTTGAAACCTCATCTGGTATAAATTTTATTGCTTTTTACTTTACAATGTTATTAGTTGCTCTTATGCATTGAATACAGATTTCTTTTTCTTGCTTTATTGATACAGCAAATTCTTATCCTTTGAAAATCACAAGAAATCTATTTAAATGGCTCTCTCTAGTCATTTTACCATCAATTAAGTGATATAGAACATTTTCTGATAATCTAATTATTTATGCATATATGATTTCAGATGATGAGTTAAGTCTAAATTTTGTCCAAGCCTATTTTCAAAAATATATGAGATAAGAGAACTGCATCGCTTCATTACTAAAAGATTTCTAATAAATAATAAGGTGGCTTTCCCATTATGAATTTTCAAATTTATTTGTTGTAGATATTCATTATTAATGATTTTTCAGCTCACTGGTAAATGAATTATTATTCCATCACAGCAGTTTAAAGTAAAAGAAAGTAGCCGATCTAGAAGATGTACCACAAATTAAGGAGAAATTTTTCTTTTTGGTGCAAATCTTTTAAAGAGAAACAACACAGAAAGTGGATCCATTTTACCACAACTCTAAAGCAATAAACTATGGATAAAAAAAAAAAAAAAAAAAAAACAGTAACAGAGTAAAACAAATTTGGTACCTGAGTTTGCTACCAATATTAAACCAAATCATTTGATACTTAACAAGAGTGGAATTATTAGTTTGTACAAACCAGTGTATGAGTAGAATATTGGTAACAAAGAAAATAGTAAGAAATCAGCAAAAGAGTTTTGCATCATCATAAGCTATTCACTTTTTTAAAGAATAGTTTACAATACTCGTAACTACTTATCATTACAGCACACGCAAACGAAACTTTTGTTACACGTGGCACCACCCCTGCAATACATAAGAAATGAATGGAAAAAAAATGTGTCGATTCAAAAATTTATACTTCGGAAAATACTTCTTTTGTACATTTTATTCTACAGACAAATGATCATAAATTAATTACCTGCAAACAAAGATCTGAATCCCTTCTTTTCATAAAGTTCTTTCATAATACCGAAAGAGCGCTTTGATCGAATTTCCATATCACGTCTTTCTGTGATAACTGTATTACAGCCACAGTTTTCTGTCACTTTCATACTCCCATTATTATGTCCTCTTATCTGCTTTATAGTCTCTACCTAAATTAATTGAAGACAATTTATCGAACAGTATGTAATTACAAGGTTTTTTTTTTTTTTGCATTATCATAACTTGTCCTTTCATATCTTTGCTTAATACCCGAAATGTTACAAGCTCTCTGAAACAAAAAGTGCCAAATGATTTGATGAATGACATCGGTTCATTTAATTCATCTACGAATTAGATTTTTGATTGTTTAGTCTCAATTTCTCACAAATACACATCACATATATTGATTAACTCTGCTTCATTGCTTCAAATCTCCTACTAAGCTTTCGTTAGAATTTTTTGAAGAAAACAAATAAAATTGATTAGCTACAACCTCTCCTAAAGTAATTTGACGATGAGTTTTAATGACGTCAAACGGAGTTGTTACAAATGCTGCAACTGAACCAGCCATTGCACCACATATAAAACTAATCAAAAAATTTGTTTCCCGTTGATTGAATCTTTGTAAAGCATTCGCTTTCAAATATTCATATCCTGTCCAATACACAGCTGAAATTTACTTTGTTTAGTAAAAAAAAAGAGCTACAAATTAATTTCCAAATAATACAAAAAATTCATGCAAAATTACAAACCAGAAAACGGCATATCACGCATTAGCAAAGGACCCCAACCACGCCACAAACTGATCCATCCTTCAGCTGCTTTCGATCGTTGAAAAGCTAATCCAATATCTGAAAGCAAAGTAAATATATAAAATAATATTTACAGTGACTATTTCATGCTAAACATTTTAAAAGCTCCAAAAATTTTTTAAATTACATATCAACATTAGCACTGAAAAATAGAGAAGTAACTGTGACATCAATTTAGTTACTTAATAACTACACAGAATATACACCATTCAAAAAAAAAAAAAAAGATAATTCCAGAAAAAATCAATTCACGCTTTTAAAGTCTTAAAGCCATAACTAACTTCAACATCTTTTATGTTTGCATACATGTAAATATTACTTTGTAAGGTTCTGATTTCAATACTGAATTTGAATTTAAACCCTTTATGTGTAAGTACCTTTATATGTAAGTCGTTCACTTTGCATTTTTGTCCTTATCAATTCCATTGGCGAAACAATAGTGAGGGCAACTAGACGGGCAGATGAACCAGCAACCAAAGGAATCCAGTGAGATTTCTGATTATATTTCTCTCTCAACCAGCACAACATATTATCGTAAACTGTATAATAAAGTACTGTTGCCGGTATAGCCATAATCCTAGAAATGTTTAATTTGTTTGTTACTATTACTAATTTCTACCACTAAAATTTCTACCATTAAAATTAATGTGAATAATTTACAGTGTCGGAGAAAGCCCACTCCACAGTGAACGAATCCCTTCTGTCCTTGAAATTTTGAACAATGCATCCTGAAAATTCAATATTTCTTGAAAATCCTTAATATTATTTGAATTAAAATTATTGCAATAGCTATTAAAAGATAATAAGTGCTTCTATTGAAATTTTAATTTTCGTTAAATAAAAAATAAAAAAAATGTTACCATCGTTCCTGTAAAATTTCCTGGTCTTGCAAACCATTCGCATGGTTCTTTAGAATTCACATCAGCACAAGCTGTACACAAATGATCCATCAAACCATTGTAATACAAAAAGCAAGTGCCTTTAACAAAAGGATGCGCTTGTTGCTGCAATCGTATTTTTACGACATCCATTGGTGTCACTGAAATGAACATATCACTGATTATTTTAAAGAAAAATAACAAAATTAGATGAAAGACAACTTTTTTTTTCATATTTTACAAGAAGACTAAAAGAGGGGAGAAAGAAGACTAGATTGAAAAAATATGTTAGGATTAATAAGTATGGATAAAATCTTATTTGAATATAGTAGAGTCAAAAGATTAGATAAAAAAATGAAGCCAGAAGTTTCTTCCCTTTTTCATAGTTTTGCGAAAATCAGTTATCCCAACTATTAAATCAGTTTTCTGTTTCCATAACACTCAAATTGTATTCTATAGCAACTGATTGATCAAAATAATTCAATCAGCGAATATCTCATATCTTACTACATTTGTTAGTAAGTATACATAAAACTGTATTACGAATAGAAAATTTCGATTTACGTGATGTTCCTAGTAATTAAATTAGAAGCATAGAAATTAAAATTTAAATGTAAATTTCAAAAGTTAGCTTCTTATAGCAAATAGTAATTTAAAAATGAGAAAACTAACTTAGTAGTGAGGTTATAATAGCACCAGAAGAAGCAGCCATTATCTGCTGGAGAAATGGCGTTGTACCAGAAGAGTAATCCTTTTCATTATGTTCCATGCGAATTTGTTTTTACCACGAATTTCATCCAAACTAATTAGCGAGCTAATTAATATCTGGTATAATAAAAAGATTTGAATTATATTGATAAAGAACATAAGATCAATCAATTTCTATTTCCAACAAACATTCATCAATAATTCATATTCCTCACTCCGTGTTCTACTTTTCATCTGATATTCAACAGTAGGAAATGGACTTCATTGCTATTCAAGGCAATATGTATTCCGTATTTTATAGTAACGAATGATAAACGATATGAATTAATCATATTTATCTGAAAACAACATTAAAGAAAACAAAATAACAGTTTAGTTCATATAGTTTATTACCGCCAATCTTATGCGAACCAGATAAAATTAAAATTAGAAAAAGGAGAAACAAAAAAGTTTGTTAGAAATAAGCACCCTTCTAATGTCAAGCAGTTAGAAGATAAGAAAAAGAAAAACTAAAGAAGCCTGTATAAAAATTTGAAAAAACGAAGAAAAACAAAGTAAAAAAATCAGAAAGATTCAAAAACAAAATCGAAAGAATCAACAAATAACAGCAGCGACATCATATAATTGACATTATTAACAATCTATGTCACTTATCACTACAAAAAAAGACGAATGGCATAATACACAGTTTATATGGAATAAACACTGAAGTGAAATAAGTTATCATTCTTAATACAATAAAAAGAGAAACATAGATCAATTGGAACTCCTATATACTATTGTGTTGCCCAAATAAAATTTGTTGCCGTTATTCTGCAGATAAATTTTTCCACTCTGAATATCCACTTTGAATTGTGCTGTAAATAAATTTTAACAGTCATTTTCTTGAGCTCGAGCATAAATTATATAATATACTCTTAAAAAAAAAAAAAGACAAAAAAGCTTACCAGAATCAGGAATTCGTTCGTTATTTTCTAACGAATTTTTTGATCGTATCAACTTCCTATCGCCACCTAAGGGATCCAAATATCGCCACAAAGAAACAGTTTGTTTAGCTGAAAGCAACATATTCCAAAACTTCTCAAATAAATCATCACGAATTCAGATAAACAAATTTCTTTCAAACCGACAATTTCAACATCCTGAACTGAAATACTAGAATCAAAATTGAAACTTACGTTTAAGATCTTTTGAAACTCTCTTCAAACGTCGAATAATGATTGCTACAGTATCGCCATTTATAATTGGTATTTCAATATCAAACAGACCAGAACAAGGATCAACATTTCGAAATGTAATGGTAATACCAGGCTATAAACAAACAGTGCTGCTAGCATAAATATGACGAATTAGAAGCACTAATAATTTTCAAAATTTATCACAAAAATATAATAAAAGGCATAAAATACTACGAAATATTAAGAAATGAATGAATGAATGAACAAGCAACTTACTTCCTGTTCTTTATACATTATGATCGGCTTTCCAGGACAAGTCATTTCTAGTACATTTGCTGGCACTACTCCTTTTACATCAGTAATGGTAACACTTTCCAGATCCAAAGCTGATAATATGTAATCCAAATTCTAGAATCAATAAAACATGAAGCTAACAAAAATGTATAAAACCTGAATTATTATAAGTAAATTTTAAACAAAATTTTGCAAAGCAAACTTTTCAACAACAAATATCAGTTAAAACAAAAAGAAACACATCAAAACCTGCTCCAAAACTTCTTTCTGATCAAATCTACAAGCAATATCCAGGGCTGATTCACCGTGTATTGCTAAGTTTTCACGTATCAGTTGAACGAAAGGCATCGTTTTTTTCATAAACTTTTTTAAACTCTCTATTGCACCTAAGCGACGAGATATCTCTTTGTTATCCGGTAATTCACCATTGCCTTCCTGGAATGCAACTCAGTAATTAGTTAGAAACTATAGATAATGTCACAAATATCCTTCATATTAGCATAATTCAACTGAGTAATAAAATGAAAGTGGCTGGTATAAGAAGTGATGGATTTAATAAAAAAAAATCAAACCAGATAACATTGATTCAGTAAGCCAAGCACTTCCTTTTGCCAAGATGGATATTCTTCTGCAAAGTATATTATTGCTTCCGACGGCGGATTTGTATCTTTACCCTTTTTTTGTTTCAAATTCATGTGATTTTTCAAACGTAATCGGAAATCCTGCAAATGAACTAAAATTTACTCCAGTACAAATAAGATCATAATCTACAAAGAAAATCACTTTTAACAAAAGCAATCAGCAGAACCAATAAAAACTAATGCATGATAATTTGAAAGCAAACTCTGATTGTATCATCCATGAATTCGGCTTTTTTTGTTATGAGATCATCAGCAGGTGGGATGATAGGCCATTTTGCACACACAATAAAGCCATCCTATAAGTTAAACATTAATAATTTAACATTGTTCCTTATTGAACAATAAAAATTGCAGGAACATTCTTAGTGCTAAGAGTGGCATATCAAATTATAAGAATTCCATTGGTATAACCTTTCCTAAAATCTGCCATATCTGCTCAGATACATGAGGGCAAATTGGTGATAAAATAATTGCTTGTGTTTCAATCCATTTGAAAACCATATCAACATGCATTTCAGTATCGCCTCCACAATGCTCGCGATATTTGTCACGATAACCCTGAAAAATAGCATAAAGTTTAAATTATTCAATAAAACAGAGTAAGCATGAAATTTCTGTTAGTTAATTTAATCATTTAATACAACTGTATAGGTTATGATGCTGATTATTTCATATTTCAGCATACCATAGTGCACTATTTTAAGCACCCCTTTTTTTTCTTTTTTTTTTTACAGCTTCAGACTAATAAAACACTCAGTACAGTAATGTGAACAAAATAACCAACAACAAAAAAAAAATTATTTTATCAATCTGTACGAAAAAATAAGAAAAAAAAAAAATCTCGTCAAGTTACCTGATATTCAAAAAATCCGTGTTTTAAAGCTTCCTTGAAAAGCGTTTGCTCATAGCTATCAAATGTTTTTTGAATTGCGCTATTCATTTCATTGTCGAAAACCTGATCAGCAAAAGTAAGTTTCTGTCCACTGCGCAAGATGTTCTGTTCTCGTAAAGCAACCATTTCACGTGACCATACAAGAAGATTGTATAAACGCAGTACTGCTGCATCAGCCATATCATAAACAAAATTTGCATCTTCCACGTAATCTCCTGCGTCCTGAAATTGGAAGTGTTAATCTTTAAGAGCAAAAATTCCGTAATACAAGTAGTTAAGGTAACGAACAAAGTGTAATTTAAATATGTTTCATCTTTGAGATTCAGTTTACATGATATAGTGAAAAAGAGATAAGTCACTAAGAAAAGATGCCACATTGTATCACAATGTGAAATAATAAGCAGATCGGTGGGACAAATTCTGTCTTTTTTGAATATTGGATATATTAGAGGAAATTTAATAGTTTACCGCCAAAGAAATACGCATTCCATCAGCCGAGAACAATCCCACAGTTTCGCTAAGGGTTAGAAAATTGCCTGTTTGTTTGGACATCTGAAATGTTTTATTTGAGATATTGCTGCAGTAACAAAAAAAATACAACTCGATAAAAAAAGCTTTCGCTAACATATTAAGATATAAAAAGTAAGACAATGAAACCTTTTCATTATTTAGTAACAGATGTCCATTTGCTCGTATGCTTCTAGGCCACAATTCAGGTTGATCTTTCCAGATGGCAACGTGGTTAAACAAGTAATACGTAAGGTGATTCTGTAGAAGATCTTTACCGGAAGCACGCATATCAACCGGGTACCTTAAAAATGCGCAGAAACTTCAATTCATTACAAATGAGTAAGTTTAATGTATCTACAACTCGAAAAATGCTTCCACTGAATAATCATGGGCGTTAACAAAAGCTATGATTTAATATATTTTTTTTCCTCTTCCTGCCTAAAATTCTATATAAAAAAGAAATGATGTAATTATTTCCTGATACTGAAATATATCTATGAATAAACAGAACAGAGAAATTTACCAATAAAGAAATTCTTTTCTGCATAGAGCTAATTGTGATTCTTGGACCGGCATTGTTTTCGCATTGTAGGGCTTATTTAAGAATATGTAATCCCAGCAATCATCAACCATATCCGATGCTCTATAATTGAAGAATTATTGGATATCTATAGAGTCTTTTAGATATTTCTTGAATTTTACTACATTTATTCAAACTTTTGAAAAGTACTTGATTCCAGCCGGACCAATAACGCTTCCATCAATAGTACCACCTTGTAGAAGATGTGCCACTGTATAGTAGGCGTTATATATTGTTGAATCAGAAAGTGATTCAATAAGATACTGAGGATCCCATGGCAATCTTGAACCTAAACCATATGATCGACAGCAAGCATGCTCATGCAACCAGTCAATCGTCGCATCCAAATTTCTTCGAACCTAATGAAAAATAATTATTTAGAAATTAATTTGCATTTTACGATAATTAATCTACAGCTAGGTATTCTAAAAACAAACATTTGTTCAAAAATTTACATCTTCTGTATATGTATTCAGTTGAGCCAAAGCTTTTTTCGCTTCCTTCTTCCATTCTTCGTCACCATAATTTAAATACCTGCCAGGAATAAACAAATGAAAAAAAAGAAAAAAACTTATGTGTAAGACAGATTTTTAATTCAATAAACAACAAGAATAAAAATCGACATTATCGAGGGATGAATGATCAGATGATTTGCCACATAATTAATTTTTTTTATGAGAGAAAAAGAAAGAAATTCGTAAAAAAAAGTTGGTTCACACACTTTGATTCCTTTTTTTTTTTTTTTTTTTTGTATTATCTTGCTGAATGCTCTCATTATATTACAAAAGATATACTATTAATAAATTTACTAATGCTTCGAAACATATGTTAAATCATATCTGATTTTATGCATTAAAGAATTCCTTATTACATAATCTATTTTTTTTATTCTCGAGACATACCATTGATCACATAAAGCCACAACGCATTCATCACCAGAACGCGATACAACTTTCTTTTCGGGTT